GCTCGCCGTGGTCCAACCAGTTCGACCCGCCGCTGGACGAGGCCGGCGGCGCGGGCGGCGTGGGAGCCGGCGGCGCGAACGAGGGCGCGGGCGAGGGCGCGATACCGAGCGAGCGCGTGCGCAAGATGGAGGTCAAGGCCAACGAGGCGTTTGACGTGTACCGCGAGCTGTACTACGAGGGCGGCGTGAGCAGCGTGTACTTTTGGAACCTGGACGACGGCTTCGCCGGCGTGGTCCTGCTCAAGAAGTGTACGTCCCAACTCCCTTCTTTGGCAACCCCCCCCTTCCCGGGGATGCAAACCCCCGAACTGGTTCCATCTAGATTCTTCTTCTGTCCAATTAACACACACATGCTTAGCTTCACCGCCCGGCGGCGCATCCGACGGCGTCTGGGACTCGATCCACGTCTTCGAGGCCATCGAGCGCGGCCGCACCACGCACTACAAGCTGACCTCGACCGTCATCCTGTCCCTCGCTACCGCCGGCGGCGACCTCGACCTCTCGGGCAACATGACGCGCCAGGTCGAGCAGGACCTGCCCGTCGACGCGGACGAGAGCCACATCGCAAACGTCGGCCGCCTCGTCGAGGACATGGAGCTCAAGATGCGCAACCTGCTACAGGAGGTCTACTTCGGCAAGGCCAAGGACGTGGTCGGTGACCTGCGCAGCGTCGGCAGCCTCAGCGACGGCGCGCGCGACCGCGAGACGCAGCGCGGCATCATCGGCAGCATGCGCCGGTCGTGAGGGCCCGGGGAGGGGGATGGCGGGCCGGGGACGGACAGAGCGGCTGAAAAAGCAGGGACGTGGTGAAAGAAGGGGGGTTGAGAGGGACATAGACGATAGTTCGTGCGGATTAGAGGGTAGCGCGACTTGTCCGGTGATTGCATACCTACTTGCTCGTCTTGCAGCGTGGCTGGAAGGGCGGTTGGTCTTGTCTACATTCAGTTACAATATAACATATCATTTTTGCCGGCGACAGTCGAAAGAGTCTTTTGCGAGGTCTCAGTAACGGCCCGCTTCACACAGCGGTCTGCCTAGGCGAGCCGAAGCATGGAGAGACAGTCTCATCGACACCGTTATTAGGTCTCGAAGCATGGCGAGACAATCGGCGCTTACAATGTCTTAAGGCAAGCCTGGCTGTGTCGTTCGAGGGATCGCGTGTGCCCAAACCCACTAAACATGTTTCGTCGAGAGTTTTAGCGAGATACAATTGGGCATCTGGCAAACGGCGGGCAAGACGAAAGCGCTCGACAAGGAGAGGGGAATCTGCGAGGGCCTGTCGGTCGACCTGGCGACCCGGGGATATAAATGCCCGGCTTGCATATTCAATGATGGGTGTTAGTCGCCGATGTCGTCGATTGCGTCAGGCCAGCAACGGGATAGTTCGGTGGGCTTTGCCCCGAACTCATCAAAAGCAAACAAAACTATCGATCTACTGGTAATGCGGGCTATACACCGCGTGTCGGCGCTGGGTAGTGGGTGGTCGAGACAAAAGCCCGAGGGGGGTGATACCCTCTGCCAGCCAATTCCCCGGACCGACAACGGACCAGTAGTGTAAGTCGCGCTGAGACGGCACATCTATTCCTGATAAGGGGGTATTTGTGAGAAGGAGATGCCCAAGAATAGCAGCCATATCACGGCAGGAGTGGCCAAAATGGTGGGAGGGAGGCTGGCGCCACCGCCGATTGTGGGCTTGGCTTTCGGGTGATGGGACTGGCAAATGCGGATGTAGGTGCGCGACGCGCGCGCTGTGCCGGAAAAGGAAGATTTTTGGCTCGATTTCGTCCCTCCTCTTCCCTCTCAAAAACATGCCGCTCGGCCGGCAAAATGTTATCCTGAGTCAACCTCCATGTTTGAAAGAAGCCACGCGCCGCCAAGGGAACGACGGCAGGAAAATAGTTCGCCACCGAGTCAATGGGAAAAAGCAAAGATATCAACCGCAGTGGTCGAAAAGTCAATTGGCCGAGAGGTGTCCCCAACCGTCAGCATTTGCCGCGCTCTATATGTCTCAGACAAAGGACTCCTCGCCGTCCTGGGCGGAGACAACATTGTCGCAGACAAGCATCGGCGGAATTTGTCCATGATCGTGACGGCTCCAAGTATGGTGGCGTTCTGGAAGAAAGGTTGTCAGGCCACGCAAATTACCTCAACGAGCCTTTTTTGCCACTCTTGCTATTTTTTTTTTCTTGTTTGTGGAAGACTCCGCCTCCTTGCAGCAAGTGTTTTAGCTTTTCGTAGTCGGTGTTGCCGCCAGCGTGCCGACACCACCAACAAGACTCTCGTGCAGCAGAGGCATATAACAGACACGGACCTGTGATAGTTGGGCACTCGGCGGCGCGGGTTGTGGGAGGTGAAACGGAGCGACGATCCACCATGTGTAAGAGCCGTCCGCGGCTGACAACTGTTAAATTGGCTTCGTTCCGCGGGCTGGTGACGACGGCGCGAAGTTGTGCCTGGAGCTAGCAAAAAGCGAAAGAGACTATGCGAGCCTTCGTTGGCGACGGCATTCTTCTAGAACGCCTCATCGAAAACTGGGTGGGTGTGGTGATGTGGTACCTGCAGGTCCCTCGTACCCAATGGTCTAGCTTTCTGGTCGACAAGAGACGAGGAGGGTGTGGTGCTCCAGGAGGCAAAGTCTATTTGTCAGTCGAGAAGCAGGTATTGGTGGGCAGCCGCGTTCTTCATGGTGCCATATCTTAGACCTGCATGCCATGGCTGGTTGGACGGAGGCGCGGGCGCGTGCTAGGACAGGACAGAGGCGGGCGGAACGACTCCGTTGGGCTGGGGATGATCTGAGGACGGTTGCAATGAGATGTATAAATATATACATCGTATAAGCGAGCAATGCCATCGCCGGACCTATTGAGCCGCGTCAAGAACAAACCCGGCATCGAGTTGTTTGAGGCAGGTGGGAGATTCCAGGTCAGCCAGGGCGGGGCGGTGGGAGCAGAGCGGATCATCCAGGGAGCGACCAGTGGAGTCCGTGCTAATGTAGCGACACACCGCTCTCCACAGGGCTTGAAGGCTTGAGGCTTGAGCAGGTTGACGAGACGAGGGCATCAAGCAGCACTCGTCCAACTATTCGTACCTTGCTGGTAAGGGGATAAAGCCACCGTGTTGCCTGGCTTGGCTTATAAGCAAAATGATCATGTGTGTCTGACTTGGAAACTAGTAGAGTGCGCCACACAGCTGCAACCTGCACGCTGCAATGCGAGTCTAGATTGCAGCAGAGTCGACGATTCCAGACAGGGCTACAGATGGGGATGCACGAAATGCAGGTCAAAAAAAAAAACAAGAGGCCAACCCAGGCAGGTATCCCGAGAGGCGATTTCCGCCACTCAGGGCAGAGACTTTCACCGACAAGAGCTTGGATGTACAAAGCAATAGCCGAGTCTGCTTTCTTGGCGGGGAGAAATAATGATGATACTAGACGACACAAAAAAGGCAGGGAATACAGCAAAAATAAAAATGAAATAATGAAATAGGAACAGGATAACACCAGTCACTTGGCGACTTGGCCGGTCACAAGGCAACGGGCGGGTAGGCAGCGGCCCGCCTTTGGTGAGCGGAGACAAAGAGGTTTAATCTCCCGGGGCTGTCGAGCGCTGTCGTCATTTCATGTACAGCATAAAATGACAGTGAGTATTGGACGGCGCCTGTGTAGCACAAAAGAGAGTAACAACCCCTGCGGCTGACGTCTGTAGACTACCATGACAGAGGCTTATTTCGATCTTGTTTGTTTTTCATTTAACTTGTACGTAAAAAAGGGACGAAAGGAAGTGCCCGCGACACCGACACTTTACGAGGCACTCTTGAGGGGCGTGGGGTTGTTGTAGACGGTGGATCTGGTGGCCACAGGTGGCTCGCTGCTGGAGTCTGCAAGCTGGAATCGGAGGGGTTTTAGAGGCTATTAGTGGCCTTTAGCAGTTGGGCTAGGGGTAAAGGCCACTGTGGTTGCTGGAGGGCGGCTGGACGGTGCCGCGACAGATGAGCAAGACTCGTACTGAATAGTACTATGTATTGCCTCCTGATGGAGTCTGTGCTGCCTCATGTAACCTTTATTAAACTACAGTCACCAGATCCCGCACTTGCATATCACTTTTTGAATTAATCTAACAGCCATCTCAAGCCCACAACTGAACCTGACGACAGTGACGACGGCGAGCGACAGGGATCCCCCTCCCGCTCCATGTCGCACAGCTAGCGCTGCACCTCACTCCTGTCCTGCCCTGTCCAGCCCACTGCCTGCAGCCAGTCCCGTCCGCTGTCGAGGAAATCGAACTGCTGGTTTTGAATGAGTCGTGCTAGGTCATACCCAAATAATAAGGTGAAAAACGTAGGTCTACGGTACGGATAAGGTACACGGGAAACAACTTTACCTGGCCATACCTAAGCTTCTTGTTCATCTCGCCTGCTGCGCCGCTATCGCCCACCCGTCCGCGCCGTCCGCCCGTCGCCGAACCGCACCTGCTCTTGCACCGTACTAAACACTAAATAATAAAGACGCTCTGCTGCCCCTCCTTCCTGCCCTGTCCGTCCCACGCGTCGTCCGTCCCTCCTTGGCCAAACACTCGACAACATCCCGTCTCACCTTTAGTTCTCCCACTTGCAAACAACACCTCTGTGTTCGTTTATTAGAAGACGCATGCCGCCGCATCACCATCCTGTCCTCCCAATACCCACCTAGCCACCAATTCAGACAACCCCGTTTCGTCTACATCACATCGTCCAACACCAGCCGTCACAAACACCAGATCTTTCTGGTCTCCTAAACCTGTTAGTCAGTCCCGCCATGTTCCGACGCTCGTTTGTCGCATAAGTCAAGCTTTTTTGCCCTGTTGCCTTATTCTCTACCTACTTTACAAAACCTATCCCTGCCCTCTCTACCTCTTGTGCCACATCTCTAACCGCATGGTCCCAAAATAGCCTCGATACTCTGCCTCGACCCGATTCTCCATTGGCAGCCCGCTCAGCCCCGTTTCCAATCGCGCTTGACTTTCCAAAAGGAGCACGTCGGCGCCAAAGCATTTCGTTTCAGTTGTGGGCACTTCGGCTGCTGAGTCCGCGACCTTCGCCTGCTTTGAAAAGGCCTCCTGCATACCACTACTGCCGCAAACGCTCTCCTCGACAACCCGAAACCTCGAAGCGCCCACAACGACATGGCAGACGTCAAGCCTTCCGTCCTCATTGTGGGCGGTATGGGCTATCTTGGCCGGTTCCTCGCCCTCCACATCCACAAGAACAATCTCGCGTCCCAAGTTCGTCTGGTCGATAAGGTTCTGCCTCAGCTCGCCTGGCTAGCTCCTGAATTCTCCGAGGCGTGCTCCCAGGATAAGTTTATGCAGGCAGATGCTAGCAAACCCGGTATGTTTTGCACCAGCGAACTAGCGTTTGCGTTGGCACCAAGACTGTTGAATGCTAACAGCCTATTGCGCTCTAGATGGTCTTGCTAGAATATTTAATCGCCCCGATGGCAAAGAATGGGACTATGTTTTCAACTGCGGCGGCGAAACAAGATACTCCCAGGAGGACGAGGTCTACAAGCTACGATCGCTAAGCCTCTCTGTCGAGCTCGGCAAGGAGGCCGCCAAGCGCAAAGTCAAGGCATTTGTTGAGCTCAGCACTGGTATGGTCTACAAGTCGGACTCGGCACCGAGCAAAGAGGGCGATAAGCTCAAGCCTTGGAGCAAGATTGCCGTCTACAAATTGCAGGCTGAAGAGGAGCTAGCCAAGATTAGCGGCCTAAATCTCGCCATTGTGCGACTTCCACACGTATATGGCCCTTACGCTTCGCAATGGGTCGCCACTGCCCTATGCATGGCTCGAGTCTATCAGCACCTTGAAGACGAAATGAAGTGGCTCTGGACAAAGGACCTGCGCACAAACACGGTCCATGTTATAGACGCTACGCGAGCGCTGTGGGATATCGCGGCCTGGTACGACGCCGGCAAGAAGAACTGGGACGAGGCCGAGATGGGCAAAGTGCCGACATTCAACGTGGTGGACAAGTCGGCCACGACACAGGGCACCATGGCCGAGATTATCGGCGACATTTTCGGGATTGAGACTGGATTCCAGGGCCAGCTGGTGAGCACATTCGCTCGCCTGAACCTGGACAGTGTTGTCGACGACGTCAATGACGAGGTGCTGGGACCCTGGGCAGACCTGCTCAGCGATGCTGGCATTACTCGTCCAGGACCTCTGACACCATTCATGGAAAAGGAACTTCTTAAGGACACGGACCTGAGCATGGATGGAAGCAGACTAGACAAGCTGCTGGGATTTACGTACGAAAAGCCTAAGGTCACCAAAGAGCTGGTGGAGGAAGTCATTGAGAGCTACAAGCGGATGAAGTGGTGGCCTTAGCGACTATGAAGGATGACGGCGCGTCGATTTAGCGGCATTGCATTTGCGTACCTGAGCTACAAACAATAGGGCGAATGCAGGAGGGAACGTTTAAGATGATGATACAGATGAGTGTTTAAGACTTGCAGTAACGGTTATGGCGGTGACGGTGGGCCACGAGGGCGACAATGTATAATTAGAATATATCTGAGTCGAGCAAGGTCGAGCAAGGCAAGTAAGAGGGCCTTGTATATGAAGCTAGTAATTCAAGATGGCATCTAATGCGCTTGTGGGGTTGTTAAAACGAATGGTTTCAAGACGGATATTATTTCATTGTCTTGTGCTGGTTATGAGGCGAAGACAGGGGCGGGTGCAGCGGTGCAAGGATGTTTGATGCCGTGCAGACGACGACCAGGACAAGGAGCATGCGGCTGCAATAGTGGAGTATCGACATTTGGGCGGCAGATGAGCCGAATGCAGGGGATGCAGTGAGGAGCATTTCAGGGTTGTTGTATGGAATTAAAGTAGGAAAGGAGGGATGCAAGAGAAGAGCAAGAGAAGGGCACGAGAAGAAGTCAAGACGGTAAGATCTTTGAGATGGAGAGCGGAGGAGAGCAACTGGAGCGGAGACAGGCAAGGACAGAAAACGGGAAAACACTAGGATATGTGGTGGTATCATGGCAGGGCAGAATGCGAAATTACATCGACGTCGACCATACGAGCAAGCTTGTCCGTTTTATTCGGGGTTTGCCAACATGTCCGACTAAGCGGGCGGGAGTCGGGAAAAGGGTTGCAGTTGGGAACGGGAAAGGGGGTCGAGTTCCTAGCCGCACATAAACAACGGGTGCGGGGGTCACTTGAAGAGGAAACGGGGGTCAGTTTGCGAAGGCATTCCACGGCACGGTGCCTGGATAGTTATGCACGAGGGACTCGGGGGCTGGAGCGATGCTTGGCTCAGCCCTTGGACGAATGAAATGAGCCGAGGCCCAGACAGCTGCGAAGAGAGCACACGTTGTTCGGTTGCCCCTCAGCGGTCCGTTTAGAAGAGGGGTTGCAAGGCAAATGCCTGGAGCTAGGGGCCTTTTTAGCGTGGTGAGGGGAGGGGGATGCTCGCGCGGGGTTTGGTTGCTGGTTTACGTCTATGGCTGTTACCTAAAAGGTAGGTAGATGGAGATGGACTGGGGATTCCTTCTCTTGTTAAAAAGTCGCGGAGTTTCCTGTTTTTTTCTTTTCTTTTAATCCTCGATGACGCCGTTTGCTTCGCGCGATTGAGTGCTTCCTGTCCGTTCCCCTATTGATGACGACTCGAGTATAACATACATACCTTACCTTCTAGCTGCACTGCCCGCAATCAGCCTCATTACCCCGCAATACCTCTTCTTTAATTCAACAAAAATCCAAGCTTCCCTCCTCTTCCTCCATTTCACTTTTGAGAAGCTACCTTATACCCGTTCGCAATCATGGCCGCACCCCCTGAGAAGACGACCAAGAACCTCACCGGCAAGTGGAACGTGGTACGTGCCTCCCCCCCCCCCCCCCCCCCCCCCCGACTTCTCTCTTGTTTTTGCCGCTACTAACGTCAACACTTACAAACCAGAACTACACGTACTCGGACTCGAGCGAGCCCGGACTCATCATCCAGGGCATCAGCTACCTGGTGCGCAAGGGCATCCTGGCGGCGACCCTGACGCTCGAGACGAACCAGTACGAGGCGGCCCCCAACCCGCCCAACGAGGACGCGCCCGCCTGCTGGCACGTCGACATCGTGCAGTCGGCCTCGGGCATGAGCACCGAGGAGCGCCGCTGCCTCGACAACACGTTCCGCCAGCACTCGGACTGGCTCTTCGGCAACGTCCGCGGGCGGTCCACGTGGGTCGGCGTCGAGGACATCGAGGACGAGTACCTGAAGCGCGGGTGGCTGGTGGAGGGCGAGAAGGCGCTGATCCTGTCGCATGCGGAATCGGAGGACTACGGATGGGTGGCGGACCAGATCTGGGGCTTCCAGGAGGTGGACGGCCAGAGACGTCATTGCAGGAACATCGTGGTGGCCAAGGATGCGGAGCGCGCGGAGTTTCGCTTCGTGTATGACTATGAGGAGTGAGGGGTGATATTTGGCGGATAAGGGTCTTGAACATGGTGCCGTTTGATGGGCTGGAAGAAACTTGCACAAGTTTGATACCTATAAATGGGTAGATGCGGATATCATGATGCCCTCGCTCCTGCTTTTCGCTATATACAGTCTCGCGGTATAATTTTCCTCCCTCCCTATACTTTTTCTTCTCCCATATGCCACCCTCTTCTAGTTAAAGTGAAATCTTCTCCTTGTATAACAAAGTTCCATCACCGAGCGTCCCGCCAAGCTTTCACGCCGGCCTCCTCTTGACAAACTCCTCCAGGTCCTGCACCGTAGCAACGCCCAGCACGAAACGCCTGTTCTCGTCCGTCACGACCGCAAACTCCTGCTCCCAGGCACCTTTCCCTTCCCCGTCGCCGCCGTCGCCGTCGCCCCGGAAAAAGGCCTCGAGCTCCTCGAGAGGCGTCTGCATGGTGATGACGCGGTAGGTGCGTCCGCGGCGCTGAAACCGGGTCATGGCGGCGGACAGCGGGTCGGCGGGACCGACGCGGCCGGCGTCGAGCTGGGCGCGCAGCCGGGGCACGGCGACGTAGCCGAGGAGCGCGCGGGTGGCGGCGTCGACGACGGTGAGGTGGGTGTAGTCGCGCTCAAAGGCGGACTGCAGCGCGTCGGAGACGGTGTCGGCAGGGGTGAGGGAGAGCGCGGCGGGGGGGTCGAGGTCCTCGACGGTGGCCTGGGTTTGGTGCTGTCAGTAACGCGTTCCGGAGAAGAGGGCAGGTTGGTGATGGAGGGAGATTCGGCATTTTCTTTTTTCTTGGACGTACCCCGCGGTAACGCGCAGCCCACTGCGAAGTGGATTTGCTGCTGCCGGGAGTGGCGGCGGCAGCTTGTGAAGCCATGGCGGCAATTATATAGGAAGATCAGTAGATAGAGGTGGGATTCGGTGGGGAGAGAGGCCTAAGGCTGCTCTTCAAGGCGAGTTGAGGGGATATGCAAACGTTGGAAATGCATCCATCATGGTGTCCCCGCCACTGTCGCAATAATTTGACATGGGTGGGGCACGCCAATGCGCTTCTGCTATTATGTCAATCGCATCTGCATTTTTGGCGAAAAAGGTGAAATTTATTTTATATGCATAGGGAGTCAAAAAATGGTAGGATATATGGCGGTTGAGTTCGCTCATTTTATCAAATATTTGAATTCTTGGGTTCTGAGAGAGGAGCGCAGGGTTATGTCGCCTCGAAAAAGCCTCAGACGCACATGCTGATGGAATCCCAGACGAAATACGATATAACAGAAAAGACGATGATCTAATGAGTCACACTCTTCATTGAACTTCGTTTCTGCAATCTTACTCGCCCCGAAAAATCAGTTCTAGAGAACCGCCCGGCCAAGCTGTCGGAGGCGGTCGGAGCTCAGTGCGGGCCAGTCCGGCGCGCGCCCCACAGGAGCTCCGTATATTGCGAATGGCCTCGTGAGCAAGTCAGATCTCTATACTCTGGGGCCATGTGGGATATTTCGGAGACATTTTGATAGTAGCTGGATTCATTGATTGGAATGCTGTAGGAAGCCCTCGACTGAACGATGCAGGCACCCCAAAAGCCCCGCGGCTTAACGGGTGTCAATATGAGCGCCGGAGCTGTATGAAACCATAGAAACCAAAACGACACTGTAAGCATCAGAACCCGGTCATGAAATGGCCGTAAACCAAGAACGAACCTAGAACATCCACACGTTGTGCCACTGGCCGCGGCTGGCCAGTCGTTGATGTCACAAATGTCAGGCATTCAATTAAAGAGGAGATAGATACCGCAGAAGGTGTGTGTTGCCTGGGCCACGCTACCAGGCTGGCTGGCTGGCTCCCTTAACTCCGGGGCAACGCCTGACTTTCGGCAAGTTGCTCTGGCGAAACCTACCCAGCAGCGCAGCCTCCTTTGCATCTCGTCTCGTAGATTGGGCTTGCACGTTTTCAATTCAATTGGGAGCTCGTAATCTTCAGCTTGTATACCCAAGGTCCAATTTGATACCCATATTGCCAGGGCCCCTCGTCAAGCATCGCGACGTCACTTTGGCCTCAACTCGGCACCTCCCAAAATAGCTCCTCCAACTGCTGTCCTTCTCCACAAAACTCGTCCTGCCCAGCTCATGCCGGTTTAAGCTGTCTCTCGTTTTCGCCGGCGGTATTTATTTCCTCTTCCTCCTCCCGCATCCCACCTGCTCCAATTCATCAACTAACCGCCAGTCATTGGCCAACCTCACCACTCACTCCTTTGTACCTCTCTCTCCTCGTTTCATCAGCAGCAATGGCCCCTTACTACCCGTCTCTCGACGCCATCCACGGCGCCGCCATATACACGCCATCCGCCGGAGCCCGCCTCGCGCACGGCCGACCGACGCCGTACCAGGCCCGGCCGGAGCTCTACGGCGCCGCCATGTCCGTCGTCGAGGACGCCAAGGACAAAGCCAAGAAACTGAGCGCCGAAGCGCAACGCGAATTCGATCTCGCTGCCGGTCGGGCGAGTAAGTCGACGGGCAAGATGGAGCTGTACTCTGGCTCGTACTACGCCGCCTGCACCTTTGGCGGTCTCATGGCCTGTGTAAGTCAAGAGCGCTCGATTACATGGTCGCAAAAATCCCAATTCACCCAAGAGGAGCGCCTCTGCCTAACACGCGACCATATCCCAGGGTCTCACCCACGCCGCCGTCACCCCGCTCGACCTCGTCAAGACGCGCCGCCAGGTCGACTCCTCGCTGTACAAGAGCAACGTCCAGGCCTGGCGCACCATCTACCGCGCCGAGGGCGTCCGCGGAATCTTCACCGGCTGGTCGCCAACCCTGCTCGGCTACTCGGCCCAGGGCGCCTTCAAGTACGGCTGGTACGAGTACTTCAAGAAGACCTACGCCGACCTCGCGGGTCCCGACGCCGCCGCCCGCTACAAGACGGGCCTGTACCTGGCCGCCTCGGCCTCGGCCGAGTTCCTCGCCGACATCGCGCTCTGCCCGTTCGAGGCAGTCAAGGTGCGCGCGCAGGGCACCATGCCGAACCCGTACGCCGGCGCGGCGGACGGCATCCGCAAGGTGGTCGCGGCCGAGGGCGTCGCCGGCCTGTACAAGGGCCTCTACCCGCTGTGGGGCCGCCAGATCCCCTACACGATGATGAAGTTTGCCTCGTTCGAGACCATTGTCGAGATGATGTACGCGCGGCTGCCGGGCCAGAAGACCGACTACGGCAAGGCGGCGCAGACGGCCGTGTCCTTCTCGGCGGGCTACCTGGCGGGCATCCTGTGCGCGGTGGTATCGCACCCGGCGGACGTCATGGTCAGCAAGCTCAACGCGAACCGCGCGCCGGGCGAGCCGTTTGGCGGCGCGGTGACGCGCATCTACAAAGACATTGGCTTCGGCGGGCTGTGGAACGGCCTGCCGGTGCGTATTGTCATGATTGGCACCCTGACGGGTCTGCAGTGGATGATATATGTAAGTGCGGTTCTGTTCTTGGGGTGTAGGAATTCGTGACTAACAACGCGCAGGACTACTTTAAAATCTTCATGGGCTTCCCGACCACGGGAGGCGCAGCTCCTCCCGCCGAGCAGAAGAAGTAGGCATGATGTGGTGGGTTGGTGCTGCTCCTTTGACCTTGTACTTGTTAGTCCTATATGCTTTGTTGTCTGAATACTATGAAGAGAGCTTCTCTATTGCAATATTCTAGGAACGAGCTTTTCCATGCGCCCACCTGGTTCAATGTATGGCAGCATGGCCGGAAGATTGAGTGCCGAACCCGTAGATTACGTGAACTCGGAGCAGCGAAGTCGAGGTCGGTATCTGTCTCCATATAGTAGGATGGTTTATCCGGAGCCAGTGCTTTGTACATAGATGGCGACGAGAAAAGCCCTGGCTTCTTTATGGTGCATCGTACGTGGTGGCCAGCCGGCCGGTATCTTTTGCACAACGACTACTACCTCCAACAAGCCCAGAAATCATGGCCGTGGCAAAAACATCAGAGGTGCTGGGTATGCGGGATGTTTGTTGCGACTTTGCCGTCAGCATACTTGGCAGCGAGCGGGATTGGCTGGTGTTGACGGGGAATAAGCCACCACCGACGTCGATGGCTTCCGGTGTGGAGGGGAGGACGGGCCGATAAGTTGGCAAAGGGACATTTATAGGCCACGCTCGACCATGGGGCGATATCCGAAATGTATCATGGTTGGATATGTCGCCGGTGATGAGTACAATGCATGCATAACGCAGAGGGAATCAGGCCATGGTAAACCCTGGACCTGCACGAGCCCGCATATACGCAGCTGCCTTATTTGACAATAGATGCATGCATGCGTAAAGGCTCTTTATCTAGGACCAGTAGGAGTGAGGTTAAATGTCCCAGCTCCAGAAGCACCCATAATGCAGATCCCTCATCGGTACAGTTCCCCTCCTCTTCGACTCAACACGCCACCACATCATCAAACACAAACACACTCTAATACAGGTACATCTACTGACCTTGCATGATACGAATCAGAATTTAATCCATCATCCCTCAGAGAAAAGATCCTGCAGCCCACCAAATATCCCATGCCCGCGGCCAAGAAAATACCCGCCACGCCAGAACAGGCTGCTCTCTTCCAGACGCTCGCCATCGGCCATACGCCGTGCAACGCCATCTGGCTGGAGGATGGGACCAGTTACAACATTACCGGGCCGGACCGCGAGGAAATGACTGCCGATTTTTTTCAAGCTCCTGGAAGGCAATATGTCTGATCAAGAGTTTGCGGACAAGTGGCAAAGGTTGAAATACCCCGACAGGCCGATGCGAGGAGACCTTTAGGAGGGGGTCATAGACTTTGACAAGGCTAGCCTTACATGAACTCTCACACAAGCTCTCTGAGCAAAGCATCTCACATAACACCCGGCAATCCTTGTAGCATCTCTCTTCAACTGAAACGCACCAGATATCGTTGACCCTCATCAATAAACAAACAAAAAAAACAAGTGACCGCCCAGCTAGCAGCTGCATCCGCAGTCCTTGCAGCGGCCTCCCCCGCACGACTCCTTGCTGCCGCAGTCCCTGTTGCGCTTGCAGCTCTTCCAGTCGCTCAGGGGGCCGCCCTTGGTCGTCCAGCACCAGGGGCCCGACCAGTTCATGTCGCAGCGCTTGAAGCACCACCCGGACTTGGAGCAGCCGTTGCCGCCGCCCTGGAAGCACCCGCGCTTCTCGAGGGCGTGCCGCTCGTCGGGGGGCAGGGCGCTGACCGGGTGTTCGCGGCAGACGCGCACGGCGTAAGGGTCGACGCCGTCGGGCACGTCCATGACGCCGAGGACGCCGCAGAAGGCTTCGGCCTCGGCGTAGGAGAGGTCGCCGCGGGCGAGCGCGGTCGCAAGGGGAAGAGCCGGGAGGATGAAGACGAGGCCAAACTTCACGTTCGAGGAAGAAGGAGAAGAGGACAAAGAGGTGAAAGAGTATGTAGTTGAGTTCCTCTCTCTCTCTCTGTAAGCTCCGACGAGGTGATAAATGCTGCTTATAAAGACGCAACTTTGAAGGGGATCGGAAAACCTCTTTATAATCGCGCTACACGCCAATTTTCGACAAAACATGACATGATCTAGATATTGTTTCAGTCTTCCGTATTCATTACTCTACATTATTGGCGTGCTATCTGCAATCGCAACCGGTGAGCCTCTGCTCGAGCGCCCGATACTCTCATCCGTCTATGCCAAGCCGCAGGTAATTGCATTCAAAAGGGGTTCGGAAGAGATCTTGCGTCTATTGATTGCATCTAGAGCGAGAGCTATCATGTCTTGCCTGCAAGAACTCCCCGCTCAAGACCTTGGCTGTGTTACATGACGAGCAATGCCAACATCCGCTGCTAGGGATAAGTACTCGCGGTGAGGGCACCATTCCATGAAGCTGTAGACAGGCGAAATCGCTTCTTATTTCTCTTTACCTAACTTGTTATCCTTTGCGCAACATTCGACGTGGGGCCCCAAAGATGAAGCTTTCCCTTTCCATCTGCGCCGCCACCAGCCTTTTGCAGACCGTCGTCGCCGGCAATTACGACTTCCTATACTACACCGATCTAGGATGCAACAGCCGAGCCTTTGGCTGCCGCGCGATCGACCCCTGGGTCTGCTGCGGCTCGCCACCGTCGGCATCCAACTATAAGACCGTCAAGACCAATGGGGGCAGCGCCTCCGCCGTCGTCCTCTTCACCTACGACGTTGACGGCCACTGCGGCAACTGCCAGTCCACGGCCATCCTCGGCAAGTGCTACCTCAACTACCCGTTCTCCAACGGCGTCATCATCGCCGTCAGCAACCCCTGCCAAGCGTGGAACGCCAAGTTGTTGGCGGCCGATGATGGCGGCGGCGTGCGGTGCAATGGGAAGGCGGCCCTCAACTTTGCCTCGGTGAACGGCGTCAATTACACACTGCCACAAGGTGTGGAGGACGAGATCGGTAAGGACCTCGTGGACCTTGGGGACGAAGAGTTTGGCATCAAATGGGCCCATCTCAGAGATGATTGAATGCGTAGTGAGGTTGCAGGAGCCTTGCTCCGGTTCGCTCGCTAACTGTGTAGTGTCTTACATATGTAGTTGGTACAATAGACGCTTTTTGGCCTGTACGGTCCTAGATCTCGTAACGAACTTGATTGACTGGCAAGTATTAGACGGCAGTTATAGAGTGACCTTGATTCGTTCTTCCGTGGTTATGAAGGATCCTCTTCCGAAGGTCGAGCCTAGATGGGGTAAGTGAGTGTCGTTGGTGCAACTCTCCGACCAGACGGGGAGTTTTGTGGTGTACGTTTCGCTAGGCGTAAGCTTGGCCCTTGTGTCATGCGTTGATACTGCTGTACCATTGAGTTTCTTGTTGCATGGCTTTAGCCAGTTCGTTCCCTATTAAGTACAGTCAGTTGCTGTTAGCTGCGGAAGGGGCCAGCTGGCTCGTATGACTGGCGAAACGCCCAACTGGTTTGGTCATTTCTAACCCTGGTAGTGCAGAATGCGCGGGGTAACTAGTGGCTGGAATGATGGGATGGTGGGATGGTGGGATGGTGGGTGGGTGGATGGGTTGGGGCTGAATCGCGGGTGTCATGATGCGTGGTTGAGGAAGTTGATGGCGTGGAAGTGGTGTGAGGGATAAGTGAAGTCGGTTCGCTTCATTCACAACTGCCATGTACCGAATTGTTAGTGCCCCGCACCATTCGTGGCAGGTTCGAGTATCCTTGGTACCGTCATATGTCAAGAAGAAGTCGATTGGGTGTCGCAGTGGCTGATACTGCTGGCAGAACTTTGTTTGCAGGATGCCGCATGAAGCCTGAAACGACAAAACAATAAAACCTTATTGAACATCATACCAAGTAGTTACATATTATCAGCAGCGTGCAGGCATCAAGCATTGTCGTCGCAGCTCCCCCAGTGGCTTGCGTTCGGACTAGGCTAACGTAGGCTCCCCCACTGAAGGCCCCGTGGCTCCCCTGTAAAACTCTCGAATCCCTCACAAGGTCCCCCAGTAACCCCCCAAAACGCCGACAACTAGTTGGATGGGTACCTCCGCGCTCCCTACTGAATACATATAAAACACATGTATCTTATCTTACCTTAGGTAATCCCCGTCCAATAGCGCAGCACCCGCAGCCTGACTTGTTGGTCGGCTGCCTTGCTTGCCTCGCAATCTTCAGCTGCCTCATGCTCGGCGTCCTTTTGCATCCCTCCATTTTGCGAATCGCCTCTGGTCTATTTTTCTCCTCCCCTTCACCTCGTCTCGTTTCCGACTTTTTATCTTCGCCTCTCACCATCCATCCCACTCATGCGCCTTGGCAATTCAGGCACACCCCGGCCCGCTGTACCAGCACCCTAACCCAAGCCACAGCCACCAAACAGTTTGATTTGCCCTGGTCACAGCCTCAGCCCGCGGTCCCTACTTTACCACTGTTAGCAGCGCAATTTACAGTACAGAACTGCTGCAGAAGACCTCCCATTGATAACTGGTGCTCCAAAAGTCTCACTTTACCCTCCCCGGCCAGCCCCAGCTCGCCTCCGCATTTCATAACTCCGCTCACCACGCCCGTCTTGCTCTGGCTCTCACATCGCTCACCCACAACGACATCTTTACCACTTCTCTCGTCTTCCGCTTCCGCTGACAGTCGCCACCCTTTCGTCTTCTCTTCCGACCATCCTACGAATGACCGTCTCCTCCCAGCAATTGTCCACGTCCTAGAGCAGGACTCGCGCTGCTGCTCGCCGTCAGCCTCGCCTGGCCGCGCCCCAGCTGAGGCCCTTGACCACCAACCACCGACCACGACGCAAACACCACGTCTCCCCGCAGACTCACCTTCCGCATCTCTGCCCACCCTGACGCCGTGCGCCCTTGCGCTCCCTTGCCGTGATGCCTAGCCTCTTTAACAAGATCAAGGGCACTGGCACGGTATGTCCGCCCTTTCCCGCCCGCATCAGCCGCCCCAATTCCGCATGCGCTTTTGCGGGTCGAAGCGTCACCATCACCAAGTCGCCCAACGCTGACCAACTGAACCGAACCCCTCTAGCCCTCCACCACGCCCACTGCCAAAGATGCTCCGCCCAAGAAGAATGATATCACTACCGAAGTCACTCCTCTCGAGAAGATGCTGCAAAACGCCGGAGCACTCACTCAAGACGGTCGCGACAGATTCCTAGGCTTCGAAAACGTGAGTAGATCCGATCTGAGACAGCATATCGCCCCCAACTCCTCAACCAAAGCTAATTTTCTGCCATTTAGTTTGGAAATACTTGGTAAATAGGGCCTCTCGACATTAATGCCTACACTATTAACCCTACCTAGCTACTGCAACTCCATCGTCCAAGCCCTCTTCCACTCCGACCAATTCCGCGAAGGCGTCCTCAACTACCCATCTCTATCCCCGACCGATACCCCCAACGGCCCTCCATACAAGCCAAATGTCACCATTCGACCGCCAGTCACACCCGCTACGCCTGCCACGCCGCAAAAACAGCCCAAGCTATCAACATCTCAGGCTCTCAAGCACCGTCAAGCCCTTGGCGCGGGTCCGCCCATCCCTGGCCAGCCGCCTATCAAGCCAGAGGACAAACCCGACACGCCAGAATACAAGAAAAAGCAGGCCATGCTCAAGGGTCCCATTCTCGAGCTCGCGCAGGAGAGCCGCGTGCCCTATGGCATGGACGAATGCACATTCACTGGGCTCAAGGACATATTCATGGCCCTCACCCAGAGCAGCTCCAGAACTGGCGTCCTGAGCCCCCAACGCTTTCTGGAAATCTTTAAACGCGATAACGAAATGTTCCAGAGCTCAAATCATCAGGATGCCCATGAATTCCTACGACTCGTCCTCACAGACGTAATTGCCAGCGTGGACAATCATGCCAAGCATATCCAAGACCAGGTTGCCACAAACGGCTCGTCCGAATCTCTGCACAACGGTCTCTCCGTGGGACTTGGACCTGGTTCCTCGTACAACTCGCCAGGTACCGGCTGGGTACACGATGTTTTTGAAGGCGTCGTGACGTCAGAAACAAAATGTCTCACCTGTGAAACAGCATCACAGAGAGACCAGACCTTTTTGGACTTGTCCATTGCCCTAGACGAGCACAGCTCTGTCACATCGTGCCTGCGCAAGTTCTCTGCCGAGGAAATGCTGTGCGAGAGAGACAAGTTTCAGTGCGACCATTGCGGTGGTCTGCAAGAGGCCGAAAAGCGCATGAGGGTCAAGAAGCTGCCCAAGGTTCTCACCCTGCATCTCAACCGCTTCAAATACACGGAAGACTATAGTCGTGTCCAAAAGCTGTTCCACAGGGTTGTATATCCCTACCATCTACGCATGTTCCACACTGCAGACGAGGCCGAAGACCCAGATCGCCTTTACGAACTCTACGCCGTCATTGTTCACATTGGTGGCAATGGATATCACGGGCATTATGTCTCCATCATCAAGACTAGAGACCGCGGCTGGCTCTTGTTTGACGATGAGATGGTCGAGCCTGTGGACAAGCATTTTGTCCGCAATTTCTTCGGTGACAGGCCCGGAATGGCCACTGCTTACCTCTTGTTCTACCAAGAAACGACATTTGAAAAGGTCCGCGCTGAGCAAGAAGCCGAGGGTAAAGAAGAAGTTCGACTCGCGACGGAGGCCGCCAACATTGCGCATGAGGAAAGCGACAAGGCAGACGAAACACCTCTGTCTCGGCAACAGACACAACCGATACCTGTGCTAGCTGAGCAGAACCAATTGTCCAACTTGGCGCATGCCAAAACAGCGCCAGACCTAACGGCACGCCCGCCACTTACAAACCAAGCCTCGGTCCCTTCGACGCCAGCTGTCCCATCAACATTGACGCCCGCTAAGTCAAAAGATGAGCTAAAGCGAGAGAAGAAGGAGCGCGAAGCTGCGGAAAAGGCTGCTCGCCAGCAAGAAAAGGAAGAACTGAAAGCCAAGGACAAGGAAATAAGAGAGTATGAGAGAAAGCGCCGCGACCAGGCCATTTCCATGATCCAGGCTAAACGACAAGAGCAAGAGCAGCTGGAGAAGGTGATGCAGGCCAGCAAAAAGTCAGCCGCCAAGGAAGACGATGCGCGGAAGAAGGAAGAGGGCAACGGCGGTGCGTTTGGCTTTCTCGACCGTTCGAAGCGTGGCAGCAAATCGGGCAGCCGTAAAGCATTCGGACTCTTCAGCAAGGACCGAAACGGCGACGATGCCGCCGGCGACGTGGTCGTCAATGGTGACGCACCTGAGAAGGAAAAGACAAAAAGCCGCTTGAGCATAGGCCTAGGGCGCAAGAAGAGCACCAATCTTTTGTCATAGCGCCAGAGTATTAAGGCTTGCAAGGTTTTAACGGAGCAAACTATTCATCATTTGCGGTTGGTGTTTTGTACAATTTGGATATATTTTGCTTCCTTTTTTCTACATGTTTGTTTGCAGGGCTTGGCGCCTTGCCTGGTTGAGTAGAAAACAGCGGCGTCACATTGTCTTGGGAGCGAATTTCTTTTCGAATCAATCTTGACCGGGTTGGATGCGTCAATACTAGATTCTTTGTAACCAGATTTGGGAGATGTAGTCAGGTAATCGATTGTACTACAAGGCATGTGCTATTTGAAGCGTGGGTGGGATGAGAAATAACCTTTTGACGCCTCGGTGACGGACGGCGCGCGTAATGAACGTAACAGGGTAGTTGAATACATGAAAAAGAAAAAGAAATGTTACGGCAAGATTGAAGACAGTGAAGAGAAACAAGAGAAACGACAAAAAAGGAAATGCAACTTGGCGAAGTTGTCTGGACTAACCGCGGATTGAACGCGGGACCTTTCCGAGTACACGCTTAAACATGCGAACGGAAAATCATACCACTAGACCATTAGCCCGTAGATGGTTATTGCTAGAGGTACTTAATTACAACTAAGTGATATACTGTGGAGCGTGTGAGTGCACTTCAGCTAGTAGTCACAGGAACCAATGGAGCAGCGAAGAGGACAAATAGGGTTGAAAAACAAGTGAAACTACTACAGTGTCTCGGGACTTTGTTCAAAAAGGTACAAGGACAAATTGGTGGTGTTGTTGGGAGAAGTGAAAGGGTGAGTGAGGACAAGATTCTCTGCCAAGAATCTGAAGCTGGCGTCTACACCGCGAAGTCTATCAGAGCAAACCAGTGTTCAAGCGTGAGTGGAATAAAATGGGGGCAGTTTCTATTGCTATTAATTCGTTGTTCTTGAAAATTCGGTAGAAGATGCGTTGACATATTGTACGTCACTTGACATTGTTGATTGATTATGCATGTCAGCTTTCTGTATAAGTCGGCCCACGACTCCATCGTCAGGGACAGGCTGTGCGCCCTACGAAGATGCCAATTTGAACAACCAGAGCATCATTCTAGAAAGCCAAAGCGAATATTAGCATTATAGCAAGCTTCTTTTAGAAGGACGAAATGTGTCTGTTGCGATGAGCCGAAACATTTGTGCCGAAGACTGAGACTCCACCCATCTCCCTTCCCTGCGAGATTAGCGCCACCTATTTCAGATCTCGCAACCTCACCTCTCAAACGCCAGCTATGCCGCGTGTAATACCAGCCGCCACGACCCATACATAATCTCTCCATATCAAACCCTCAATTCCAAAGTTTGCCGCGACTGGACACGCACGTTTTCAACAACCGCGCTCCCCCCGTCTGCGGGCCTCCTTCCCCATCCCAGCCCACCATGGCGCCGAACCCCTTTGGTATGAACTTCACCCCGTCCAAACGCCAACGTCCACCACATTATCGCCGCTCGTTTTCTCACTAACCCGGCCGGAGGGACAGACCTCGCGCTCGACGCGCTGCTCTTCGCCGTGCCGCTCGCGCACCTCCTCCTCGCGCCGCACACCAAGGTCGAGGAGTCCTTCAACCTGCAGGCCGCTCACGACGTGCTCGTCTACGGCACGCCCACCTCGCCCGCCGCGCTGACCGCCGCCTACGACCACTTCACCTTCCCCGGCGCCGTCCCGCGCACCTTTGTCGGCGCCGTCGTGCTCGCCGGCCTCAGCCAGCCGCTCCTGCTCGCCGGCGTGACGAGCTTCGCCCGCGCGCAGCTGCTCGTCCGCGGCGTGCTGGGGGCGCTCAACGCCGCGAGCCTGCTCGTCTTCCGCCGCGCCCTGGACGGCGCGTTCGGTAGGGGCGCGGGCCGCTGGTGGGTGCTGCTGGTGGTCGGCCAGTTTCACCTCATGTTCTATCTGAGCAGGACGCTGCCCAACATGCTTTCCTTTGGCCTGAGTATGTCCCTACACCCACCCCGCGTGAACACGACTGACTGGCTGACGACTGCAAAGCTACGCTCGCTTCTGCGTTTCTCCTGCCCAAGGCGACGCCCGCCCTCGCGCGCGCGCGCCAGAACCAGGCCCTGCTCCTGCTCGTCCTCTCCGCCGCCGTCTTCCGCGCCGAGACCGCCCTGCTTCTCGGCAGCACCTGCCTGCTGCTGCTCCTCCGGCGCCGCGCCGCCCTCCGGCAGCTCGTCCCGCTGCTCGCCGCGCTCTCCCTAGGCGCGCTCGCGCTCAGCGTGCCCGTCGACTCGTACTTTTGGCAGCGCCTGCCGCTGTGGCCCGAGCTCGCCGGCTTCTACTACAACGCCGTGCTCGGCTCCTCCTCCGCCTGGGGCACCTCGCCCTGGCACCACTACTTCTCCTCCGCGCTGCCGCGGCTGCTGCTCAACCCGCTCGCGCTGCCCCTCGCCGCTTTTTCGCTGTCGCGGCCGGCCACGGCGCGCGCCGCGGCGGACCTCGTCGCGCCCAACCTGCTCTTCGTCGCCGTCTACTCGGCGCAGCCGCACAAGGAGGCGCGCTTCATCTTCTACGTCGTGCCCGCGCTGGCGGCGGCCGCCGCCCTCGGTGCCAACTACGTCTTCACCCGGCGCGCCAAGACGCTCGCCTACCGCCTCGCCGCCCTCGCGCTGCCGCTGTCCGTGCTCGCCTCGCTGGCCGCCAGCGCCTCCATGCTGCTCGTCTCCTCCCTCAACTACCCCGGCGGCGACGCCGTCACCCAGCTCTTGCGCCTCGCGCACGCCTCCTCCGACACCGCCACCGTTCACGCCGACGTCCTCACCTGCATGACCGGCCTCACCCTCTTCGGCCAGAACCCGCACGGCCTGCCCCTCGCCTACATGGCACCGTCACCGCAGCTCCCGCCCGGCGTTACCCCGCCGCTGCTGCTGTTCGACAGGACCGAGGACGAGGCGGCGCTGGCGCGGCCCGGGTTCTGGACGCGCTTCGAGTACCTGCTCGTCGAAGACCCCGCCAAGGTCCTGGGCGGCCAGTGGCGCACCGTCGGGGTCGTGCACGGCTACGACGGCATCGAGGTGCTGCGGCCCGGCCCGGCGGCGGCGGACGACAACGAGGGCGGCGAGGACGGCATGCCGACGCCGCCGCCGCCCGTGCTCGGCCGCGCCCTCGTCGTGCGCAGGGTTCGCGAGTTTGTCCGGGCCTTGACCCGCGGCTGGTACGCCGGCCCGCGCATGGCGCCGCGCATCCACATCATGCAGCAGGTCAGAGCACAGTCGAGCCCAGGAAAGGCGGCGACAGCATAATAGCGAAGCTATCACAGCAACAACATCATGTATAATATAAATACCTAATTGCACACCTTTATTCACTTCAAGACTTGCTTTTTTGATGACCTTTTTTTCCTCGTATTATATTGGCAGCAGCGGTATATATGAAAATGAAACAAAAAACTGCCCAACATGAGTAATAAAGATATATGCGCCCGTCTTGGTCGCTGCTCGAATCCGCGTGCAAAGAAAACACTACAGCAGAAAATGCAGACGAAAAAAAAAACGCCAAAGCTGTGTCCCAGAACAAAAAACTACAACGGCGAACGCACCATGCAAGGCCGTGGAAAAAAGACTGACATCTCGTGTCGCTCATCAAGTGAAATCCTCCATCCATCCAGCCATCCATTCATGCTCGCCAGTTCCCACTCCATGACAAAAATAAGTGACAGAAACTCATAAAAAGAAGCGCAGAGGCTCCCCTGTATAAAAGAGAAAGACGCAAGGCCAAAGCCGCATGTCATAAACAAGAGCATGTAGTTCCAAAACATCAATGGTATCCAATATATCGTGTCTCGAGTATTCAAAAGGGGTTGTTGAAAGGCACATCCAGCCACTTGTTTAGTTCGGGCCGCCTTCAATCTGCTTCATATTCTGGTCGGGAAGCGGCCCGTAGAGAGCCTTGTACCGCGCAAGCTCGTCTTGTTGCTGCTTAAAGTGCTCAAAGATGGCCGCCATGGGCGCCCTCAGTTCGTTGAGCTCCTTCAGCACAATGCTGCCCTTGGCGAGATGGCGCATCGCCAGCGTAGACACGCACGTCTCGATCCTGCTGACCTGGTGCTCCATAAAGTTGACGAGGAACCGTTCCGTCACCTCGCCCCCATGCGACTTCATACGTTCTATCATCTCCGTTTCGGGGGGCTGCAGGCCAGGGCCGCGCACCTCTTCCAGCGTACTACACAGCATCTCCAGACGCAAGCTAATCTTCCAGAGTGCCCAGATATTTTCGGGGTCAAAGGAGAGCTCGCTGCTGGGAGCCATAGTGGCCGGCTTCTCAAGCTCATCACGCCGCTCATGTTGTGCGTGAAACTCGGTGCGGCCGGCCAGTGCATGAGGGTACAGTGAGTAGACAATCTCGGGGTTCTCGAGTCCCTTGAGCTTCTTCTCGCCCATCTCCTTAACCTCGAACCCTTGCGACGTAAGGCTGCGAAGATCCTTGCGGATAGCACTGGCGTATGATTCGTCATCGTATCCTTCTTCTGATCCTGCAGATCCGGAACGGTCCGTATCTTGATAGTTTTCCAGGCATCGCTGAATCTCGGAAATAAAGTCCGAGGATACGGTGATCTGGCCACCGTCAGCCACGGCTGAGATACGGGACGCCTTGTTGACCATGGGGCCGAAATAGTCCATGCGACGGGTGACCGGATCAGTCTCGCTCACACAGTCACCAAAGTGAATACCCATGCGTACTGACAGGCCCTTGAAGATGAGAGTGTTATCCTTATCGTATATCACCTGCCCAGATACGGAGCTGAGAATCTCAGATGGCCAAGTAACCACCAGGAGCTCGTTTTGCACGGCAAAGCACCACAGCAACGCAGACGTGGCGGTTGGGAAAGACACCATAAAAGCATCACCTTCCGTTTTAACTTCATAACCACCAATGCGCCGCAGCTGTCGTCGCATGACTTCGTTGTGAAGCTTGATAGCCGATCGCATGGCGCTGGGGTACATTTCCCAAAGAGTGGTGGAGTTCTTGATATCGGTAAACACAATGGAGACATTGCCAGTTGGTGCAGGAATTTCAGCTTCCAGACGGTTGAGTGATGAGTCAAGCACATCTCCCTTGGTCTTGCGGCCTCTTCTCGGGACCTGCGCATCATCGGGAACACCGGATGGGTAGAGCGACATGCTGGTGCCACGGTGCAGTCTTGATCGCTCCATTCTGCGCTTCAAGTCGGCAATGCTGATCATCATGACCATAATCTTGCCGGAAGAGCCATAAGCCATGGCCAAATCTCGCAACTTCTGGGCAGCACGCATCAGGTCTTGGCGTTCAGATCGAGCAACATCGGTGATCAATCCAGGAGAGAGATACTCCCAGAGCTCGCTGGTGGCAATGAGGATAATCTCATCGTGCTCTTGAATGGTCATTTGACGGACATGTGGCGCGGCTTGGACAGCAGGCATCAAGTCTACATAGCCGAATGCGCGAGACACTTCCAGCAAGTCATTGAGGCGACCATTGCGAGAAACCCAGCCACCAGCTTCGCGAATGCGGGAACGCTCACTTGGCTCAGCAGGATCGTGTTTGTGTGTAAGAATCTGGTGCTTGCCATCGGTCTGGATAACCATTGCTTGTGCATTGCCAATATTGGCAACGTAGAGATCCATGCCTTGCAGATACAGTACTGTAGCAACGCCACCAGAGTTGAGGTCTTCCTTGCTGAGAACGACCGGCTGTGCAGAGCCCCTGTGGGACTTCTTAGGACGATCTTCGGCGTGCTGCACAGCAATCGAGACAAGATCCTTATTGAGCGAAAGGAACGCTCGGCGCAGGGCGTCAACCGGAGTCTCGTTCTTGCGCGTCTTCAGGGCCTTCAGCTCCATGGCAAAGATATGGCCGAAATTCTCATGCAAATACTTGGCTATCTTTGATCCGCCACTAGAGAGTGCTTGGCCATCGAACAAGCCCAGAAGCATTTCCGTATCCGAAGAGTTGAATCGCGGCACAACCAAGTCCACAGTCGACAGATGCTCGTTCTTGCCGAGGGTATCCGCCATGCCGTAGGGGAGGTGGCCAGCCAGCGAACCAGAGGTACGCACTCGTTTATCTTCGCTCTGGTCGGGAATGCTTGGCTGTGTGAGCGTCACATCCATCAATCCCAGGACTCGGAGGTTGAGGAGTCTGCTGAAGTCGGTGTACTCCTCACGGTTCACCGCCCCAGGGCCGCCGGGACCCCAGGCGCTTTGCTTGATTTCGAGTCGCTTGTTGCCAGAGAGGTTGAGATATCTCAGATTCGGGTTCAAGTTCCAATTCCAGTCGTATGGAACGTTGGAGATGTTGTACTTGAGCGAGTTGTTGCCACAGTCGAGGACGGCCAGCTTCTTGGCCCGGGAAATGTCTGCCGGTAGGTTGGTAAACTTGTTTCCGTTTATGTACAGTGCCTGAAGCAAGCTGGTTTCCTCTAGATCATCTGCTGGCAACGTTGTCAAGCCATTGCCGGAGAGATACAGCTCCACGAGTTGCGGCCAGCTCTTGATGGATCGTTGAGGCATATCACCAATCTCTTCGTTGTAAGATAGGTTGAGGACCCGAAGCTCAGTCAGCATCGTGATTTGGTCGAAAACATCGTCATCCAATCGATTGTCAGCAAGCGACAGATTACGCAGCGAGCCTGCAAATGTATTCGTAAACCTCGACGAGAGCCCAGAGTCTTTTCTAGAGGTGGACGGCGGAGGCGTGACGGTCGATGAGGTAGTCTGGGAGGCTGTTCGTGAGACAACGGACGTTTTACGCCCGCCCTTGCCATACACAGATACAACAGAGCTCTTCCGGTCGGCGCCGTTCTGAGGAGCTGGAGAAGGACCAACACTCAGCAAAGTGCTGGATGCTTGACTCGGGCGCCGATCCTCCACAAGCTCTTCTGTGCTCGGTGTTGATGACAAGGGCACGAGAGGGCCTGTTCTGCCGTTTTGCGAGGGAGGGGGGCCTGCCGAGTCCTCGCCAGGAACGCGCGGCGGCCGAGACGCCGGTTTTGGAAAGTTGTCGAGAACGTTGGACGATGCATTGAGAATTTCAAGCTTGTTGGCCCACCAAATCTCCATTGGCAATTTCGAAATGTTGTTTCCTCGCACATCCAATACCCTGAGTTCTGTTAGGCACCCAATTTGCGGTGGCAGTTCGCCAACAGAGTTGTTGGCGATGCTGAAATGCTCCAGCCGACTCAATGCCCCTAGCTGCTGTGGCAACGACACGAAATAGTTCTTGTCGAGTACCAATCGCTCGAGGTTCGTCATGTGCGCAAAGGCCGAGTCGATGCTTGCGAGTTGAGCGTGGGAGAGGTTGAGGGTTTTGAGAGTCGGTACAGGCGCAATAATCTCAAACTTGTTCAGAGGATTCGAGTTGAGCTTAAGTAGACGGATGCGCTCGAAACCACCAACGAAGGATGAGATCTGGTTGTGCGCAGCGTGCAGAATTTCGAGTTTCGGCAGTTCCGATATGACGTCAATGTTGGTGATGTGGTTATACTTGATGTCAAGTTCACGCAGACTGATCAGATCGCGGAATGTCTCGGGCATCTCGCTGCCAAGCCGATTATTGGTAATCAGTAGCTTCTCAAGATTCTTGAGCTGTCCAATCTCGTCAGGCAGTTCGCCAATAGAATTAAAACTGAGATCCAAGTCGACTAAGCTCTGCAATTCGCAAATAAAGGTCGGGAAGGTGTCCAAGAAGTTGGAAGATATGTTGAGCGTTCGGAGGGCTTGGTAAGCGTTGAAGTACGGCGGAATATGCGTCAGTCGGTTGTTGGCGAGGTTCATCTTCAACAGTCCCGTCAACGTATCCAGCTCGGCATTGTCGAGTTGCTCGACGCGATTGTTGGATACGTCGAGATAGGTGAGCTTGGCCGCTCGGCAGAGGCTGAGTGGCAGTTTTCTCGCTTCGTTGTTGTTGAACTTGATGTCCCGTAGTTGCTTGCATGACTGAATGAAATCCCGCGGTACATCTAGAGACAGGTTGCGCGACAGGTTAAGGGAAATGATGTCGGCTGCCTTGAGGTAAAGTGAAATGGGAATGGTGACGAGGTTGCGGGCAGACAGGTCGACATAGTTGAGCTTTTGCTGTTGCGTCATGCCAAGATCCATGGTTCTGGCATGGAAGTCGCTTTCACGCGCTGAAAGGAACATGAACCGGCAAAGATAGCCATTGTCCTCGCGGCCGAGATCCTCGATTCTATCCTTCTCTTCGTAACCAACCTGCTGGAATAGTCGCTTTTGTATTAGTAGCGGTCTGTCTTGCGGCGTCAACACGCGAATCAGATCATGTTTCTTCATTATAATATTATAGTTTTCGAGGCCGTCGACAACGTATGTCTTCTTCATGACTTGCGTAATGACATCGGTGACAGTAGAGTCGAGCGGCATCGCATGCGTCAAAAAAGTACCGTCGGACCGGAAGATGCGGATGCAGTATGGCGATAGCTTTTCTTCGGGATGGGGCGGGCAGACAGCCTCCTCCGCTTCAGGCGCCTCCTCAGTTTGATCTTCCGTGTTGCGGCGCACCGCCCAACTGTCGGGTGCATCCCACTGCCCCTTAGGGTCAGGGGGATCAGTATCGATATCTCCTTCCAAGCTCTTCAGAAACGACGAATCTAATGGTGTCAAGGGAGGTGGTTTCGTCAGAATGCCTTCCATGTCGTTGAGATTCGTGTCGAGATGATAGACGTGGCCGGCAGCCCGATGTTCAGTTGGGCCAATCGCCTCGTCCTGGTAGTCGGGTTGCCTAAAGTTCCGACTTTTCTTTGAGAAGGGGAATTTATTATTAAATGTAGTCGATCGAGGGGGGGCAATATCCGGCGTGCCAGCGCTCCACTCCGGGGGGGTTGGTGAGGGCGTCTCGGTTCGAGAAAAGTCGGCTTTAGAGAGCTTGTTGGAGAGGGACTTTGTAGATTGAGGCAACTCTCGGAGCCTCGAGCCATTATCGTCTCTATCTTTATGTCGCCGGAGGCGTCCCAACAGGCCGCGTTTGGCATGGCCGGGAGATGCATGGCCGTCTGTCTGGCCGGTGCGGGAGGCGGGGACACTGCTGGTGCTGGGGGTCGGGCTCTGGGCCCTCGATTTCGTCTTGTACATGGTCGCGGCCATTCCGCGGTCGCGGGGGTGCTGCAAGCTAGCAGCAGAGTCTTCTCGGCTGGTGGTCGGTCTCAGTGTGCGGGGATCATCGTTACTCTTATTATGTCGATGATGGTGGTTGTGATGGTGGTGGTGGCCTGGCAATATCGAGTGACCAGATCTGGCGGAGGAGGAGGATTTGGGTGGGGGTTCGCGGGATGAGCCTTCGTTGATATATCGCTCTCGATCGGGACCCGTCATAGTATCCCTCACGGGAGCCTCGCCATACCGCGCAATGTCCTGTTTGATCGTGAGTCAGAAGCTGTGATAGGTTCCACGGGTGCCACGGGTGCCATGGAGGCTGAAAACGCAAATAGGAGTGCAGCAGCAGCGAATGGAAATTTGTGCGGTTTGCGCCAACTGGGTCAAGAGCCTGGGCGCATTGAGCCGGCGAGGGCCAAATTGCGCGCCTCGGCGGTCCTGGTCTAGGGGATAATTGATGGGGATGAAATGAAAGAGAAGAAGAGGCTTTTTCTTGGCTCTTTTTTTTCGATCTTGTACTTACCGTGTTGTCTTGATAAAGAAACGGTACTACCTCAGGGGCGGGCACGGGGGTTCTAGGCCTGGATGAGGCTGGTGAGGCTTCTCTGTCGGTCGCGTTTGAATGATGGCGCTCCTGGCCAGGGCGAGTGTGGCTATACGAGCGGGAGCGTTGATCTTTTCCTATTGACCCCGGCAAGCTGCTCTCTGAACTATCGCGGCCAGGGAACTCTTCGCCGAAGAAGCCCTGGAGCTTACGAAATCCGCCCCGTGGGACGCTAGCCTTGGATCCTTGGCTGCTGGCCGTAGTCGCCACGCTAGCAGCGGACGGTCTCCTTCCATCATGATTATAGTAGATAGCATCGGTCGCGTCGTTGTGAACTGACAGCTGGCCTGTGCGGGATGCCGATGGAGGTAGAGATGGCGAGGCTTGGTGGGAAGCAACGGAAAGACTATCGGTGGAATCGTTGTAAAAGCTCATGGGAAGCGGGCTGGCGTGGCCACCCGGCGCCGAGTTGCTGTGAGACATCCACGGCGCAATATGGGTGGGCGGCGCACCGGTGTTGGAGGATGAATTGCTAGGTCGGGGTTGGTCGAGAATGGCTAGATCGCGGCGATAGTTGTTGAAGTCGCCGTGTCGGCGCTCGTTATGGGAGAGATTGGAGTTGGTGTAGGATGGCGACATGTAGCCTCGAGAAGCGACGGTCGACGTGGTAGGCGAAACTTGCAAGTCATCTCTTGAAAAGCGAAGGGAAACAGTGTTAGTAATTGGCGGTTTGCGACTTTGAAGGGGGTGGCAATTTTGCTTTGTTTTTTTTTGTCCTTGTCGTACCTGGATGGGAGAGGGGTGCTGTCGATGCTCAGACGCGAGGGAATGCTATGGCGCGAACCGCTGGGCTTTGGGGTGCTGGGAATTATTGTAATGGATGACGAACGCGTGCTACCGGGGGGTAGAGAGTTGTTGGTTGCAAAGGAGCCGTGGTCAGCCGCTGAATGCTCATTCTTAGACATCATCACAGGCCAAGGCCATATCCTTGAGTCGAGCCGGGCTCAAGGTTGACACGGAGGGGTCGTGCGTCTGGAGGCGATGGGCTAGCAGGCGAAGGAGCTACCTCTATGTCGACATGCTGGCTCGCGGGCTGCGGCAAGGCTGAGCTGGAGAAAGGAAGCCGGACTGGAAGACACGGAAGAGGGATGCGCAAGTCGTCGGAGAGGTATTGCGAAGATGATTCGAAGCAAGACGATGGTCGGAGGCGATGGTGAGAGAAGCGTGCGTTGGTATGCAAGTTTTGCTTTTTGGCAGGCTGGGGTGTTTGGCGAGAAGCTATTGATGACTGGCAGCTTTTGGTTGGTTGGTTGGGAGGATTTGTGGCGGGAAGCAGAGCGGGCAGCGGAGGAGACAGCCGTAGTGGACACGGGAGCTGATGGTGACGGTGGCTTCAGTGGAGAGACAGCCCTTCCTGGCCTTGCATTTCAGCGGATAGCCCAGCAGCTTTTAGCGCCCTCCACCGCCGAAACCCACCCAAGCTGCTTCTTTTGCCCACTGAGAGTCCACTGTGGGAAGTGCGCGCAGTGCGCAGAGTGTGCGCAGTGCACGCGTTGTCGGCTGCCTGTAACCTGCGGATAAACCTTCATCCCCCTCAAGCTCCTTAGGACTTGGAACCTGTTACCCAAGCCGTCACACTTGCATTTCCTCTTACAATTGAAGTAGGGCGTTGAAAGAGATTAAGAACTAAATTGTCAACAAAGTTTTACAGACTCATCATCATCATCATCATTATCACATGCATCTCCCTACCCCGGCGCCATTTGTAGACGACAGAAAACCCTGTCCAGGATCTGTCAAAAAGGACCCCTCTCCCATGTAGGCGGAGTGGCTCCTAACACGACCCTGGCCACTTCATACAAACCACCACCACAAGCTTATTACCGTCAAATCACATCATCTGCCTCTGTCCATCAGCATCTGTTTTCTGTCAGTAAGCAACCCGGTGAACTCACATACGAATGCCTCAACCCCCCACGCCCACGCGCCGCCCGGCTTTGTTCTTCTGGCATGGCGCTATCGCTATCCGAGATGCCCGTTTGACCCCGTGAAACGCACGCAGACTGCTTCTCGCCTCATTTGTGCACCAGGTCATCATCCGGTCTGCTGCTGCGACAAGTCTATAAACATATGTCCCAACGAATATCTCTGTTCTCATTCTACCAGTCTCTATGAGAACGCTCCTATGTCCGCGCCACCAAGTGCCGGGCTGTGTTGGCGGCGCTTCCCGATGGCAATGTCTCGGCCTGGTGGTTGTGAAATTGGCATCTCGCATTGGAAATTGGTTGGTTGGCTGGCTTCTTTTCGCGAGGCCAATCGGCGGCGGCAACCTGCTGATCAGTGGTTACCCTACCCCGACGGCTCAAACATTTCCACCTCCATCCCCGTTGCCACGTCGTTGGCAGTCTGCTGTTGTGATCCTCCAACGCCCCCAGTCTCCGCTGACACGATTCTCGACGCTCTGGCCACCGCAGTCAACTTGGGCAGCGGCAAGCGGGCTGCTAGTAGTGGAGAGTCGATGAGGGGTGTCGATCGTGGAGCGAGAGAGCGAGCAGCCTGGTGCATGCAGCGCGGGTCGGGCGGACTTGGTTTGTCTCACTGTACGGCCAGCAATCAACCATGGTCAACCAAGGCCAGCCGACTGGGCGCCGCGCCACCGTACTTGTTGTTCGGCTGAGACCACCGGTGATTCGTTGTTTTGCCTCCCTCCCGTCCAACCAAGCCCACTTTGGCCAGACCACCACACAGCCATCACGACCAAGTTACTTGAAAGAGGCGTGTTTTCGTGCTACATGTGCCTATCTATTTTCTATACGTTTCAAGCTCTCTCTAACCATACTCCTCGCGCTCCTAGATAAACAGCGTGTGTGCAACGGCCATGTGCGGATATACCCGACACATCACTAAGTTACCTGCTACGGTGCAACCAGCTTAGGTGCTCCTCATAAAGCCAGCCACGCCGAGTTCCACCTACCCTACGGTAGCTATAGATTGTTAGCCTGGGGTTTGCAGTCGTGATAGACCAGTCATCCATTATTAATTATTGCTCGTATTCTCGGAAAGCCACTTTCATCGTATTATTGACAGGTTTAATTCTTTCATTGGAACTGACATGAGAATTGCCCAAAACTCTGCTCAGCACATGCATGAGGTGGCATTTGCGCTCCTCTGTTGGTATAAGCCCTCGCCAAGCTGTACTTCTCAAATGCCGAGCAGACGAGCCAGATACACCCCTGCCGAAATCCATATGAAATTCTTGAAACCAATAGGATATCTGTATTTTGAATGAGAATTTACTTCAATAACGCAGCAAACTTTACCCCTGCTGCGGCACTTGAAGCGCGCAGATTGTACAAATAAGGGTTACACCAGTTGCGTCGGTTGTTCCGTGGTCATGTTACATTTCGAAACGGCATTTAAAACAGGTTGTGTAGATTGAGTTTGTGAGTAATATATCCATGCACTACACTTGACAGAACATAAAATGGGCATTGCCGATATATGTCCGCCAAGAAGCGGTCACGGCCCCTGAGCTCTGACTGGCCGATCCGAAGCCGAATATTCTGACGGTTGCCTGTACGAGTAGGCATCTAAGGTGAAACTGATTCTTCTCGAAACCCATTAATGACAGGGAAGAGATGAGTGACGCATGCACGACAAGTTGAAGATGAGGCACACATGACAGAAGCGAGGACGCGAGCGCGGCTTCCGGACTCTAAATCTCGGGTATGGGGAAAACAATCAAAAATGAACATTTCGCGTTGAATCTACTTTGAAGGCAAGCCTCAGAATGCACAGACATGCCAAGAGATGTTGTCCCTGGCACTTGCACAGACTGCACCAGTCACGCACGAACAACGCAGTTCCGGAGCCAAGAACAGCGGGACATGGACCTCCCGGTGGAAGCATCGGGACGTTCGGGCCTTTCAAGCGATAGCCGACATGTAGTTCAAACATCGGCGGATTCATGCCAATGACGGAGCGACTAGCCGGGAGGAGTTTGAGACGGCAAGGGGCCTGGGGATCGTGAGTCCCGCGACACTGCTCAGACTTCAGATTAAGTATTGCAATGCCCGCAGAATAGAGGTTGGAGAATATCAGACGAGTAAAAGCATTCAATGCTTTTACGCCATGAGACAATGCAGGACTGGGCGACTCAGGAGTCCACGCCGGGAGCATGGCTACAAGGAGCCTGGCCATGATGCGCTTGTGTGCCGTGCCGTATAACTCGGCGGCATCTGCATTGGAGTTGTGCTTATTGCTGGTGAATGCATGTATTCGTAGTTGGGTTTGTAATTTTCCTTTACGCTCCCAGATACGAATCGCAAGGAAGCACCCTGAAAACGTTGTGACGGGGCCTGGAAGTTCCATCAAACGGGCGCAGCTCCGGCTAGGCGGTAAGCAGCCATGCGTGTAGGCGATGCTTTGTGCAATGCAAATTCAATAGCACAGATTTATTATTGCCAACCCTCACGATTTTCGTAGCATTTGTATTCTGGGAACACGTTGCTTCTTGACAGTTGCTCAAGCGAGATGTTCTGTGACAGGGTGTCGGTCCGGGATGCCGATTAGCGGCCTTGAAAACTGGGTAAGAAAGGCGGAGAGCAAACAGAGAGGAGTCTAGGGCCGCCATCGCAGAGGATCATTCTTCACAATCTGCCCAATGAGAACAAGACTGAACAAAGGAATGCACCGTTATGTACCAAGCCTCGCTGCCAAGTAGCCCGATGGCTTCCTTGGGCGCCTACCGACACCGCCCAGTCTGAGGAGGGGGCTCCGGAGAATAATCCGGAGCACGATGATGGTTCGTTGAGGTTACCCACTACGCCGGCGATGATGCATAGTATTTAAACGGCCCTCCTCCCCACGGACTGACAAGCTGCGAGGTCAGGTTTCTGATTTGGAATCTACACATTATCTGTAGGAAGCGCTCTACAATGCCCGGCCAAAAAGATCAGCTTCGGACCTGGTGGAAGGAGAGCTCCGTCTACCAAATCTACCCGGCGTCCTTTCAGGACTCCAATGGAGACGGTATCGGAGACCTCAAAGGTATCATTTCGCGAGTAGACTACCTCAAGGAGCTCGGTGTCGACATTGTATGGCTGTCTCCCATCTTCAAGAGCCCACAGATTGACATGGTACGCCAAACCCACTGCCTCTTCCTGGCGAGACGATGAGCTGATCGTACGTACAGGGCTACGATGTTAGCGACTACCGCGACATTCACCCGCCGTATGGTGACCTTTCCGACCTTGACGCCCTCCGAGACAAGCTCCACGAGCGGGGCATGAAGCTCGTCCTTGACCTGGTCATGAACCACACCAGCGACCAGCACGAGTGGTTCCGGGAGTCGCGCAAGTCTAAAGACAACCCGTACCGCGACTGGTACATCTGGCGCCCGCCACGATACGACGCCCAAGGTAACCGACAGCCGCCCAACAACTGGGAGAGTCATTTCCAAGGTATGCTCAGGCCAACCCGGCAGGACGCAAAGCTTGCTCACCACAGCTGAACTTTGTAGGGAGCGCCTGGGAGTATGACGAGGCCACCGACGAGTACTACCTGCGCCTCTTCGCCCTCGAGCAGCCCGACCTCAACTGGGAGAACCCGGCCGTGCGCCGGGCGTGCCACGACGTGACGCGCTTCTGGCTCGACCGCGGCGCCGACGGCTTCCGCATCGACGTCATCAACTTCATCAGCAAGGACCAGCGCTTCCCAAACTCGGACCGGGCGTTCCTCAAGGGCGCCGAGTACTACGCCTGCGGTCCGCGCCTCCACGAGTACCTCCAGGAGCTGGGCGCCATCCTTAAGGAGTACGACGCCTTTAGCGTTGGCGAGATGCCTTGCGTCAACGACGAAAGGGAGCTCATCAAAGCGGTCGGTGCCGACCGCGGCGAACTGAGCATGATATTCCACTTTGAGTTGTAAGTTGATGTGCTACGAAAAAGAAAGGAAGCTTGTTGCGTATCTGCACGACTGATGCTGACTTAAGACCTTGCAGTATGGATCTTGATCACGGCGTCGAGGGCAAATTTTCGCCCAAGGAAACCTCGCTCGACGAGGTCCGGAAGACGGCCAACAAGTGGCAGCGCTTCATGTACGACAACAACGGCTGGAACGCCCTGTACCTGGAGAACCACGACCAGCCGCGCGCCATCAGTCGCTTTGCCAGCGACGCCCCCGAGCACCGCGTGGCCAGCGCCAAGCTGATTGCCGCGTTCATGGCGTTCCAGGCTGGCACACCGTTTGTCTACCAGGGACAGGAGATTGGCATGACCAACGTGCCCAAGGACTGGACGATGGAGGAATACCAGGACATCGACTGCCTCAACCACTGGAAGTAGGTCCAAATCCATTCTTTTCATCCATGTTGTGAAGTATCAAGCTAACACGCACTCACCCACCCAGCCTTCGCAAGGACTCGGCCGACGAAGCCACCAAGGCGGCCCTCAAGGTCGAGTACCAGAAGAAGTCTCGCGACAACGCCCGCACGCCCATGCAGTGGGACGACACTGCCCACGGCGGCTTCACCCCGGCCGACGCCCGGCCGTGGATGCGCGTCAACGACAACTACCCGCAGATCAACGCCGCCGCGCAGGTGCGCGACCCGGACTCGGTCTACGCCGCGTACCGGGAGGTGCTGCGCCAGCGCAAAGCGCGCAAGGACATCTTCGTGTACGGCGACTTTGCGGCGGTCAACGTCGAGGCGCACGACGACAAGGTGCTGGCGTACACGCGCACCGCGGCCAACGGCGACGCGGCGCTCGTTGTATGCAACTTCTCAGCCGAGGCCGTGAGTTGGGCGTTCGAGGGCACGGGCGCGCCGCCGCGCGAGGTGATCTTCTCGCCGACGGGAAAGACGATGGCGGACGTCGCCGGTAATAACGTCGAGCTCGGCCCGTACGAGGCGATTACGCTGCTGCTGTGAGGACCGGGTTAAAAGAGCACAACATATACACGTGTACCGAGAAGAAGAAATTATACTCATCATGAACTCATCTATATTATATCTATACATGCATTGTACCCAAGACTCCGGGTAGATGCCGTCATAAGTCCCTCCGTAGCCCCGTCGTCTGGCCCTTGTGCTCCGCAATCTTGTCGTCCAGAAAGTCCATCAGCTCCGTCACGTCCGTCATGCGGGCAAATGCCTGCCTCTCGCGCCTGCTCAGCAGCGCGCCCTTGTCCGCACCCAGCCCGGGGCCGCACATCTCCTGCACGTGGTGCACCGCGAGTTTGAGCGGCAGCGGGGCGCGCGCGGCGCGGCACGCGAAGTGCTCGACGGCCTCCCACGGGCACGCGGCGTGCCCGGCGAAGAGCGCGGGGTTGGCGAGGAGCCCGCGCGCGGACATGAAGCCCGAGAGCCGCGTGTTGCTGGGTTTAGGGGTGACGGCGGGGGCGTCATCCTCGTCTTTGATGGTGAGCGTGGGGAGGTCCGGGGTGACGGGGCGGACGGGGAGGGCGGAGAGGTCGAAGACGTCGCCGGAGAGGAGGATGGGCAGGGTCCCGGCGTACCGCTCGGTGAGGATCTCGAGGGCCTCGGTGCGGATGGGCGTGGTGGACGGAGTGTGCCGCGTGCGCGGGTGGATGGTGAGCCAGTCAATGTTGCGGTGGTGAGGGTCCCCGATGACCGTGTCGATGAAGTCCATCGTCTTTCTGTTTCCGGGCGTCAGTCCCAGACTTGCACAACACCAAAGGACGCCGGGGAGCTTACCTCAGGTCGTTGTGCACCCGTATCTTGACACTCACGCTGCGGCCCCTCGGGCTCTCCCGATCCTCGTCCAGGCCGACGTCCCAGCCGTCGCGCGCCAGCCGGCCGCGCGTCGCCACCACCATGTCGCGCACCAGCTCGCGACGATCCATCAGCGCTGCGCCGAGCGTCTCGGCGCAGGCCCAGCCCTGCGGGCACCCGCAGTTGAGGTCCACGCCGGCGACGTTCGGCGCGGCGAGCGCGGTGGCGCGGGAGAGCTCCGTCGGGTCGTTGGCGCCAAACTGCAGGATGGTGACGGGCTGCGGGCCGTCGGTTCCTATGGTGAGGTCTGGCTTCCGGGTCAGGAACGTCCTTCACGATGGGGGTAGTTTGAAGTAAAAGAAACGCACCGCTGTCTCGCGCAAAGCTGCTGCGGTTAAACTCCTTGGCCAGGATCATGGGCGTCCAGCACAGGTCCACGCCGTAGTGGTGCACCGTCTGGCGAAAGGCGAGCTTGCTGTACCGCACCATCGGGGCGCAGGCGTACACGAATTTGTTCTTCTTCCGACACGCGTCGAATATCTTTAACGGGCTGTATCCTGGTTAGTAGAGATGGGCTGAAGGCGTTTGTCGGGTTGACTCACTGGGTGGTGGCCAGCACCGGGCTGTCCACCTCTATGCTCCCCATGCCTTGTCTGACTATGGAGGGATAATTAAATTTAATAATATTCTTTCAAGTGATGTATTTCTCATGGATCGTGTCGTCATAAAATTCGTCTGTGTTTGAATTGTTTAAGGTTCTTCGCTGTAGAACTTTTCCACCAACGTCAAAAGTGGGTCTGGCCAACTGAACATATTACCAACTCTTCTCTGCCTCCTCTGTTCAACAAAGACGTTATTTATTTCCTCTATACCATACAAAATCCCAATTTATCTAATGCTACAATAACGCCAGCAATGATCTTATTTCTTAACATAAACATCAAACGGCCATCCCGATATCATCCGGCGTCGCCGGCCGGGGCGCGTCCAGGTCGATGCCAAAGAGACTGTCCGCGTCGCCGACCATCTCGGCCGCCTCGGCCGCGGCGAGCAGCACCCTCCGCTCCGCAAACACCTCGCGCGTCCAGCTGCGCTCCGCGACGACCCGCCGCGCCAGCTCCGCGCCCATGTCCTCGTGGCGCGCGCGCAGCCGGTGCCGCGCGCTGTACATGAGCTCCTCGCGGATCGTCCGCTCGTCGAGCAGCCGGGCCCGGTGCGCCTCCAGCTCCGTCGCGCGCCACGCCTGCCACTGCCGGTAGCCCTCGTCCATGCGCCGCCGGAGCGCCAGCATCGCCACCCCCACCTCGTCCTCCTGCCCCTCCCCGCCGGCGACCCTCTTGTCGGCCCAGTACTCTCGCAGCTGCGCCTCGTAGTCGTCCTCGAGCCTGCGCTCCTTGGCCACGCGCCGCGCGAGCTCCGCGTCCAGCCGGGCCTCGGCGTCGGCGGTGCGCGTCGCGATCTTGTCGTCGATGTCGCGCAGCTCCGCGGCCTGCTCCGCGTCGAGCGCGGCCTCCTTGGCCTGCGCGTCCACCGCCAGGTCGCGGGCGTCGGCCTCCTGCTGCCACCCGACGACGCCCTCCTGCGTCTCGTGCAGGCCGTCGAGGATGCGCGCGAGCTGCTGGAACTTGACCTCGACCGTCTGCCGGCGCAGGATCTCGCCGCGCGCGCGCTCCCGCTGCATCGCGATCCGGTGCTGCTCCTGGATCTCGGCCTCGCGCCGCTCGAGCTCCTCGATCTGCGCTAGGATTTGCCTTAGCTCCTCCGACTCCTGCTCCTCGCGCCGGCGGCGCTCGTTGCGCCGGACGCCGGCGGCAGCCTTGAGCTCGTTGAGCTGCGCCATGGTGCAGGAACAGGTGCACCAGCGGCGGCAGCAGACGTAGCAGAACTGGTAGCCGCAGCGGCACGTCATGTGCTGGCACGCCTCGCGGTGCTCGACCAACGCGCGGCACTGCGAGCACCGCTTCCAGCCCTCCTCCTCGGCCAGCAGGTTGGTCATGTTCATCTCCTGGTCTTCGGGACACTCGTTCTTCCCGTGAGCAGGACGACGGCAGATGGTGCATGTCGAGTGGCTCTGCGAGCAGCGCGCGACACGCTTGGCGAGGTTGATATTCCTTGGTGGGATCACGGCTGAGCACTCGGGGACGTGGCAGTAAACGCGCTCGGCGATGGGCACCTCCCACTCGGATCGCCGCTCTTCAAACGTTTTCTTGAGGTCGCCGGGTATGTGGTCCAAGACTGTGCGGAATGGGATCTGGTTGAGACAGCACTTGGGCGGCCACTGTTGCTCGTTGGCGCAGGCGGCGGTGATGAGTCGGACGAAGCAGTCGCTGCAGTAACTATGGCAGACGACTTTGACGACATCTTTCTTGGAAAAGTCGTCAAGACAAGAAACGCATTCACTAAATCATGTTAGTTAGGCATTGTGCCAGAGTCGAGTTCCACCTACACCAGTTCTTGCGTCTCTGGCACGCGGACAGTCTTGTTTCGCCTCAGCTTCTGGAGCGTCTCTTGCGTGTCCGGCGCCGTGGATTCAACGTTTGCCTTGCTTAGTCGATTTTCCAGATCTTGAAGGATCGCTTCGCGGGCCGCGCCAGCTGCGGCGGTCTCTCCCTTTTCGTAGCTGCGGTGAAAGAGCTTCCGGAAGCCAAACTTGCGACGCCTGTCCACCTGCTCCTGAATGAAGCTACGTCGCGAGAAGAGCGATGCCGTGTCGCAATCCGGTTTAATATCCACCGACGAAGTATCAGTTTCTTTCTCCTTCGGCCCGTCCAGTTTGATGGGCAGGTACGGTTCCTTGTTCTTTGCGGCCTCTTGCGCCTCGGCCTCCTCCACGGCCTTTCGCGCGGCGGCGTCTTCCTTTTCTCGCTGTAATTGCTGCGTGACACGCGCTTGCACGTTGGCTATGGACTGGGGGATAATCTCGACGAGCGGCTCTGAGAACACCTTGGAGGCGTCGGCCAAACCCGGCGGCGGGCTGTATAATCGCCAGTCGACCTCGTCTCCGTTGGCGAGCGGTGCCGTCTGCGCTTCGTTGATCGCATCGTGGTGTTTCCGTAGCCATTCGTTCTGCAGTTGTAATAAGTACGCTTCAGGGTCCTCGACGATTTCGGCCACTGCTGTTTCGTCGTAGGCGCCGGGGATGGCGGGGTGTGATGAGGATGAGGACGGGGCTGCTCCCATGGGCTCGTTGCTGGTTTCCGCGGATGCACTTGCACTGCTGCTCCCTTCTCCGGCAGAAACCAACGAGGCTCTTTTGGTCTTGGACTTTTCAAGGATGCTGATTTTCATGGCGAAACGGACAAAAGAACAGTCTCAAGCTGCATCAGCAAGCAGTCACCCAGTCTGTGGGTGACAGCAGTTCGTGATTATAACAGTAACTAACAGCATGCCTACCTACCTCAACCCGCTGGGCAAGGTGGGCTTATAACGGATCTGCACCATGGGCACACGAGCTGCATTGTTCCATGGCGAAAACAGCCTTGCGGAATGGGGCATCCGTGATGTATATTCAAAAGCTAAAAACACCGAAAGGCTGGGCTAGGCAACGCCCAAGAGCGCCTCGCTGCATTTGCCTGGACACGGGGCAAACGTTGGAAACGCTGGTCGCCCAATCCTGATGAGGCATTCGGGAGCGTGCAGTGCGGCTGAACAAATTCCCACTCTTGCTATGGCTCGCGGAAACGCCCATACAGGGAACAAGCACGTAAAGGGCCGCTATTAATGGAAATGGACATAGCTTGTTAGTAGTAAGTGGCGTTTTAGTAGGAACCAGTGTGCTTTGTCTGCGCCCGGCTGCGCAGTGAAGAGGGAGCTTCTGGAAGCCAGCCATGTGAGGAAAATAGTGCTCTCCTCACTTAGTAGCAACTCGGCTGCCTACAAGCCTCGATTCTACTTTTGTGACCTCTACATCGGAATGAACCCTACGCTACGATTCTACGATTCTGCTCATTCCCGGTGCCGACCAGACCCGACGGGGGCTTCTATTCTTGCCCGTCGTGGCCCGCGACACCACATCTCACACCACCGCGAATAAGTGTATTGACGTCTGAGATTCTCGCGATAAGCAATGTACATCGATCGATCCGCAACTAAATTTTGGCGTAATTCTTGGCAAACTCGACCTTGTTGACACTGCTCTAGTCAGTATGGGAACATTTGTAGCGACTTGGGGCTTTCGCGCTTACCATGTACCAACATTGTCGAGTCCGACTTCAACGACGTCGCCGTCCTTGAGCCACAGTTGGGGCGAACGTCCCATTCCAACGCCGGCGGGCCTAACAAGTTAGAATATAGTTCTGTCATAGTGGACAGTAATGGCAGACTTACGTCCCAGTAAAGATGAGATCTCCGGGCATCAGCGTGACGCCGCGACTAAGAAGGGAGATGGTCTCCTTGACGCCAAAGATTTGGTCGGCAGTGTTACCATTCTACGCAAGTCAGCATGGTCCTTCTTCAATGCTTCTCGCAACGTACTTGTAATGTCTCGCCGTTGACCTTGGTCCAGATGGACAGCGACTGAGGATCCTCAATCAGCTTGGACGACACGATGCCCGGCCCGTACGGCGCCCAGCCGTCGAACCCCTTGCCGTGCGCCCACTGGTTGCCGTGCTTCAGCTGCCAGTCCCGGTGCGACAGGTCGTTGCCGACGGCATAGCCCAGCACGCAGTCCAGCGCCTCCGACTCGGGCACGTCCTTGCACTGCCTGCCGACGACGATGACCAGCTCGCACTCGTAGTCGAGGCCGTCCATCTCCTGCGCCATGTGCGGCACGGGGATCGGGTCTGTCGGGCCCGAGAGGCTCGTCGGCGGCTTGAAGAAGAGCACTGGATACTTGGGCTCCGGAAGCTGGTTCTCCTTGGCGTGGTCCGCGTAGTTGAGGCCGAGGCAGCGGACGGTGCCCGAGTGCGCGGAGGCGAGCGGCGGCAGCAGCGTGCGGATCACTTCGGCGCGGTCGGTGACGCGGTGCTGGCCGAAGATATCGCCCTCGATGATGAGCGCGCTCCGGGCCTTGGAGATGTCGGTCTCGCCGTCTGGGAGGACGGCATCGCCGTAGTAGGAGCGGCCGTCGTGGGCGAGGAATCTAACGAGCCTCTGTGGTGGTGGTTGGCAGCATCACTTAGCAAGAGTAGATGGTGTGTGTTTTAACAGAGCTAGACTCACTGAAAAGGAAGACATTTTATTTCTTATTAAAGTGAATAGTATGAATGAAGAGAAGAGGATGATATTGGGAGTCGAGGATTGGGGAACATGGTGCTTTTATAATGAGATGTCGTGGCTTGGTGTATAATTGTATGTGACTTTGAGCAAGGAAGGCACTTTGCAGTGGTGGTATAAGTGTCTGTCGGAGATGGCTCGGGGGCAGTTGGCCGGTGAGACTGACCTGGTCTCCACTGAATGAATTAGCTGCTCTTACTGCGCATTTCTTAACTGCATCAGTCACTGTATTCGCACTTTTGGCGCTCCGACCGCTAAACCGTTGCGCTAAGGTAACCGGATACAGGCAGCAAGTCCACTAGAGGCTCCTGTAATCAACTGCTGACCAACCTCCTCAACCTCACCAAACATCGCCAAATCCGTGGCGGATTCCTCGGCACCTCAGGCCAAATCACCCACTAACGTTAGCGCTGACAAGGCACATCATCTACTGACACTGACAGCTGCAAGATTACCATCTTGGGTGTCCATTTCGACATTCAGCAACCACCGCCTCCATCACGGGCATCACGACATTACGGCTATCCCGGCACCTGCCCGCCCGCCAGTCAGCACAATGCGCCTCTCTGGCCTCCAGAAGGAGGTTCTGGGCCTCTACCGCCACTGTCTTCGCGAGAGCCGCAAGAAGCCCGAGGTATCTGCGATGCCCTCCATGCCCTGGATCTGGATGCAGACCCCTCGGCTGCCCTTCCAGCTGCAACATCATTAGCGCGCCTTTACTAACGTGTCCTTCCTTCTCCTAGGCCACTAGACCGCATTTTCGAGCTTTTGCGAGGTAAGCTTGTTTCCGTCTCATCTCGCATTGCCCAAGTGAGCGTTTGCTAATGGCTCCTGTGCAGGGCAGAGTTTGCAAAGAGCCTCAGCATCGACAAGCGAGATTTTGCTGCCATTGAGTTTCTCCTGCGCAAAGGGAAACGCCAGCTAGAAGTGTACTCGTCTCCTGGAATTAAGGACATTCGGTAGCCGTGCTCCTGCCCTCGTCATATCTGAATGGCTCATGCCTTGACTTGGCCAACAGCCACCCTCTCCTGCCGCGGCAACACTCGCCTCTCGCCTCTCTGCCTCGGTATCATGCCACAATGGCCTCCTATTCATCCCCCCAACTCCTCGATCAGTGCTGTCTGCACTCCCTCTTGTGCTATCCCATGCTTAGGCCTCGTTATCACCCAACATTCTTCACCATCCTCTTCTGCACGCCCCTAGCCCGGAGCCGAGTATGGCTCCCCTGGCATCCATCCCCGAAGGCAGCCATTCGCAGCCTCTTTCCCACTTCAGCACTTTGAATGACTCGAAAACAACACATCGTCCAAATTCCAGAATCTTTGCGGCATCACGCCGACACACTCGCACCCGCTTTCAAAGACCTGAGCGGGCCGAAAACTGGGCAGCTCGACCATGCGCGTCTCAAAGTCGTGCACCAGTCCGGTCGACCAAAAGCACATTTGAAAATATTCATACCACCCCTGAAGTCACCTCCGACGAGCTTGCCGAGCCATCTGATTCTTCGTTTGACCTGGATTCTTTCCCCGTCCCTCCGTCTGTATCATCGACCTTGTCCAGTCGCCATGCCATGCCACCAGCAAGCTCTGGCTCATCTGCATCCATAACAGCACATGGAAGATATTTAAATGAGAGATATAGAGCTTCCAAGGCTCGACGCTATAATGCTCAACTCGACGGTGCAGTTGGTCATTCCAGCTCCTCAACCCGGGCTTCAGTGGACTCAGCACTGGTTGATGCCATCGCCAGAAACATTGTTCAACAATTTCGTCTATCGTCCGTTGGCCGGTGTCGACGTCATCAAGCAAATGCCAATGCTCCAACACATCGTTCTGACGAGTCACGAGGTTCGAGCCAGCAGGATGCAGTCGACCACTTTGCAAAAGACCTGGAGCGTTATGCCCGGCGACGCGCGAAAAGAAAGGCCGCAGTCACCAGGAAACAGTCTGCTGCTACCCTCCGAACAGTATCAGCTCTTATGCCGTTTCGTTCTGAGTTTGAAACTGCCGGCCTCGCCGTGACCTCCAAAGACCAAGCCAACCGCATTGACAGCTACATCACCAAGGCTGTAGAGGCGAGGGCGCGGCCAGATGAAGGGCTGTCTCGCAAGCCCAACCAACCCAAGCCTGCTGGAGGGAAGCCTATTCAGGTAGACGGATTTGACGACACGGAGCAGCCCAGTGATAGCCCAAACACTGAAATTTCTTTCGCTCCGTCCAAAGACATGGACGAGTGGCGTTATGCAATGATTGACGAGGTTCCAAAGAAGAAGAGCAAGGCAAAAGCGGGGACTAGCAAAAAGCCCAAAAAGCACTGTCTCTCTTGTTTCGACCATAGTCCTTCAACCGCAACAGAAGCTGGTTGGGCGCAACCTCAGCAGCTACCCACCGCTCCCATGCCGAAGTTCCAAGGCGGTATTGGGCCCCCTCCGCCGGTGCCGCCGCCACCAGTGCCGCCCCAACGGCCGCCTCGGCCCGAAGTTGGTTTGTTTGACATCGACCCTGCATCTGTGCCACATGCAGTACCGGATAACTTGACTTCTAAGAGCCATGCTCTCAGTCCCAGAATGCTGCCCTCATACCCACGTCGCAAGGGCAATAGAAAGGCACCAAACATATCCAGGCGCGGATCACCCCATCCGCGTATCATAGCCGCAAAATTAGATATTTCGCCGACTAAGAAGAAACATTCAAGCCCGAAAAGACGCATCCCACATGGACCTACGTCTAAGCAATACGACAGAACTATACAAGCAACTCCTCTGGACCTAAAGATGGCCGTTGAAGAGGCCAAAAATGACCCGAACCCCGAAAATCTTGGCTCCTCAGGACCTCGAGAGCTGCGAGCTGATACTATCGATCACGTCGGTATTTGCTGCAGGAGCAGCAGAGGCGTGCCATCTCGAGCGAATGCCAGGCCAAACATCCCTCGCCGTACCTCATCCATACCACAGATTATGTTTTCTTCCAGGCTCGACTATGACGACAAGGAAATCACCGATCGTGACGTACTTCGAGGTCTTCACATTGCAGCATCGGCTGCCTGCGACGAGGAGGTCGATTCGTTTGTGAGAAACCAAACTGGCCTCCGTATTCGCCGGTTCCTAGCGGACCTCATGGCTTTGGAAGCGCTAGCAGTCAGCCCTCCGGTCGACAAGAAGCAATGGGCTCGTCAGCGACGGGCAGAGATGCGTAGGCTAAAACAGTCGGTGCGACGTTCTCTAGAGATCAACCGCCTAGAGCGGGTGAATCAATTATGAGTTTTGTCATTAATTTGTCGAAAATCGAAGGAAGTCGGCGTGTATGAATAGTCGCAGTGGCGCGCGCAAACTATTCTTTGTATATTACCATGGACATGCTAGCGTCAACAGCTATTAATATGATTTCCCGATGCATCTCAATGTGGTTGCGTCTCGTGGTGGTGTGAGAGTGAGTGTGGCTTTGCAATGCCCCGCACGACAGCCGTCAGAGAATAATGCTTGCCGCGTCACTTGGGCTCTCCCGTCTCTCTTCCATCACCCGCAATTACCACAATGGATAGTTCCATCAGTCTGCAAGCCGTCGAGGCGGCACGGAATAATTTCACCGTCACGAAGAGTGATTTCGAGCATTTCCTACGATGCTGGGCGCAGCAGAACTGCGACGGCTGCATCAACACGGCTGAATGCTCCTGGTGCCCCTACGTATGTCCTCCCGCTTACACCACCCGCTCGAGCAAAATACGACTACAGAATCACTTTTACAAGAACAACGGCGATCTTATTGAGACGAGCGTTTGCTAACCATACAACTCTTGTTTGTTTCTTGCGACAGAGCTGGGCCTGCGTCCCCAACAAGCACCAGCCGGCGTTCCTGGCGCCCATCTACCACGACGACGTGTGCCCCGCGAGCGCGGAGCGCTGGGAGCTGCGCACGCGGCCGTTTGGCTGCCGCGCGTCGACGTACACGGTGCTGAGCGTCGGCGTCGGCGTGAGCACGACGCTGCTGGCGGTGGTGCTGCTCTGGCTGCTGGCGCTGGCGCTGCGGCACGTGCGCAAGAAGAGCAGGGCGGCGACGAGGCAGCGGTACGTGGCGACGTGGTGGACGGGGGACGACAACAACCGTGGTGGAGGCGAGACGCGGCCGCTGCTGCCAGGCCAATAAAGCCCAACCGCAAGGGGTGGGCGGGCCAGCCAACAAAGAGCGTGCACCAGGAGCCGGGTTGATCATCCGTCCTCGTTTTTTTGTGTGTTTTCCTTCGTTGGATTTGAGTATTTCTTGGGTTGTTGGGCTGGGGAGGGGGCGTCAGCCGGAGCTGACGGGCGGGATGATGGCCACCTCGTCAGCCGTCTGGATCAGCACGCCCTCGTCTCCGGCCGCCGGCACGTCTACGTAGTCGAGGTTGACGGTCACGAGGCACGCGTCGAGGACGGCGCCGCGGATGCCTGGGTGGCGCGCCTCGACCGCGGCCAGCAGCTGCCCGAGCGGCACGGGCGCCGGGAAGGACTCGCTGTCCCGGCCGGCGTAGGAGCTGGCACCGGCAAAGTACAGCACGGTGCACTGCTGCCCGGCTGCGGTCGCGGTCTCGGTCATGATGGGGCGACAATTTTGCTTGCTGAGCCTTTTTTTTTTCCCTGATCTTTTCCATCCTAGTTAGCGCGAGTGTTTCTTTGCGAGTTTTTTTATGACAGAATAATGTGAAGAAGTTTGGATCAGAGATCTTGGTGATAAAATTGACATCAGTGGAGTCAGGTAATACATGCTATTAAGGCATCATTTCCAAACAAGAGGAGGCATGTGCAGGGGGGATAAAAGCTTCGACTCACAATTTCGGACGGTTGTGTTTGTAGAGAGGAAAAGGAAAAAAAAATGGCGGAGTTGCCCGGAAATTTATACTCACTTCCAGTTGACCCATCGATCAAGTGGGGCCACTCGAACAACTGGGAACGACAGGATGATGAAATTGTGTATAAATTGTACTGTTTCCATGTATAAAAGGTTATCCATCAAAAAGAAAAAAATGAAATACCAATGGGTATCGCCGACCGCTCTCTCGCTAACAACCACAAAATCCCGTCTTTCAGGCCAACTTGTCCATGCGCGCCTCCAAGTCCTTAATCCAGCCCTCCATGACTGCCAGGTTGCCCTTGACGGTGTCGCCGCCCTCCTTGATGGTCTCCTCGAGGCGCTGCAGGCCCTCGCGCCACTGACGCAGCTCCGCGGCCGTCTCGGCCTGCCGCTGCTCGACCTGCTCGAGCGTGTGGGCGGCCGCTGCCGCATCGGCGTGGATCGCGCGCAGCGAGCGAAGGCGGTCCAGCAGCGGCGGCAGCAACGGCGCCAGGCCCTCAATCGTCGGCAGCACGCCGTACAGGGCGTTAATCTTGGTCTCCTGCTCTGCGCCCTCTGCCGGCTGCTGCTGCTGCTGCTGCTGCTGCTGCTGTTGCGGGCCTCCACCAGCGCCAGCGCTGCTGCTGCTGCTGCTGCTGCTGCTGCTGCCCTTGCCGAGCTCCTCGCGCAGAGCCCGGGCCTTTTCGCGCGCGTCGTTGAGCTTGTCCTGGTCCGAGGCGAGGGTGCGCACGCGTCGGCTGATGGCGTCCAGGTTCGCAGTCGAGGCTTGCGCCAGCGTGGCGACCTGCTTGTTCATGGTGTCGAGCGTGGGCAGGATGGCGCGCGGCAGGCCACCCTCGCCCGCCTCGGCGGACAAGGACGAGCTGATGCCGAGACCCTTTTCGAGGGCGAGCAACCGGCGGTCAAAGTCGGCGGCTTTTGCGAGCGCGTGGGTCTGCTCGTATGTGGGCGCGTATGTAATAGTATATGTAGAACTCTCAACTTCCTCAGTGGCCTCCTTGTCGGTGGGCGTCGTCTTGGCCGGCACTGTCTCGTGGGTAGTACCAGTAGGCATCGACATGCTGGCGAGCAGGTCGCTCAGAGACTGCAGCCGCGTGTCTCCTTGTGCATCTGTATCCGGCGACGCTTTGAGCTTGGCGTATTCGTCTTTTGCCTCTTGTACCTCGCGGGTGAGGCGTGCGATGCGTCTCTCGAGACTTTCCTCGTCGTCGTCGTCGGACAGGTCGCCGAGTTCGGTGGTGCCGTCCTGCAGGATGCGCTGTCGACGGCTGGAGGCCTTGTATGACTTGCGTTTGACATCGACGCGGTCGGAAAAGTCTACGCCTGCTGTGTCGACAGTCGCGGGTTCGAATCGTGAACGTGCATCGCCGATGCGTAGTCGAGAGTGCGAGATGCCCTCGGTATCGTCTTCGACATCATAAAACTCGTCGTCCGATTGCGTACGCGCAGCAGTAGTCTATAAGTAATGAGAAAAGCGCTGAGGAGCTCTCTGAGGATGTACACACAGGTATCGTGGAGTTGTCGTCTGTCAATTCCGGCGTTTCGTAAATATCGGGAGCTGAGAGGTCCTGCCATGCGACTATTAGCTCCGGGATCGGTATGATGGCAATTGTCGGCGACATTCTTACCAGGTCTGGTAGATTCGCGTATTTCCGGTTAAGCGCCATTGTGAAGCAGCAATCCTCCCGTTGCGCTGTTGTTGATGTCGTTGAAGTTGTGAGGGAACGGCCACGGGCGGTCTAGGGGAAGTTGCTGCCAACCCCACCACTTTGCGCTAAGCGTGGCCAGCATCAATTAGATAGGAGGTATGACAGAATGGAGAAAGCTTGCATTTTCAAGTCGGCATATGAGGAGAAAGAAATCTGTTCTGCATCGCTCTTTTAATTCTGAATTCACCCTCAATTGCGATTTGGTGTTTCTCTCCATGTATCATACATAGCTAGGTAGCTTGTACAAGTTGTAGTACCTAGCCGTTGCTATTAGTTGGGGCTTTACACAACGTTGGGGCGGATAGATGGTGATTTGGCGTGATTCCTACAGATTCGGCTTAATACCCATTTAGTTATATAATGGTCAATTCCATACTTAATTACTAATATTTGTCACAACTGGCGATACGACCGCGACGCTGTGGTTTATTCGGCATCCACGCATCTACAGTACATCCTGTGCCGATCCATCTTCAAGCTATTCGCCCCACTGTGCAAGACGCGTTCCCCAGCGCGGTTCACGATAAGTATCAGCGTTCGCTTGCTGCGTCATCTTCAGTAACGACCACACCCATGATATGCAGTAATTGAAAGCTGCATCGTAGACAGATGTGTCGATTATTCCGAGCCACCAGCCGTCACCTCTGTACTCTACAGTCATGAGCAGACGACTCGGCCTAACCGCCAACGCACCGGGGTTGCTTAAGACCGTGGGCAACCGTCCACGAAAGACGCCGACAGAGCCCATCGACGACGATGCCCCGCCGCTGTCCACTGACGACGAGGACGAGGACGCGTTCAGCGAGGGGACGGTCCAGGCGGCATCGGCCAGTGACCGAGCCGCCTCCTTCAAACGCAAGGCACCCCCAAGCCGATTCCGTCGGCCGCTCCCGCCGCTGCCCGACCGCGACATTGACACCTCCTCGGACGAAAGAGCGCGGCGGGCCGCCATCAAGCCGACGACGTTCGGGTCGAAGAAGCAACCAGACGCAGAGGCTGTGAAGAAGCGGAGGAGGGTGTCGAAGAGTCCCGAGCCTGAACGGCCGCCGGTTGAGGAACGGTTGAAGCCGGGCAGCCATCTGATGGACAAATACGGCTTCATAGGCAAAAGGCCAGCAAGGTCAACCTATGGAAAGTCACGAAGCTCACAGAGTAGCCAGCCAGGTTAGTTGACATACTACTATCCGCCTGGACCATTAGTTGCATCACTGACCGACTGGGGGGACAGGCTCGTCACAGGGTAGCTCGAAAGGCGCCAAAACGCTTCGCGTTCGCAGTCCAATAGAGAGTCCGCAAAAAAGGAAGAAGGGTTCCAAATTTATTGTGCCTGATAAGAATTTTCAGTCGTCCCCTTGCGGCTCCCCCAAGAAGCTGCTGACCAAATTGCACGGCGATTCCGAGAGTGAAGGCGACGACAGCATTCTCTCGTTCTTGAAGTCCACGAAAGCCACCCAAAAGGGCAAAAACGGCAAAACAAAGACCCCCGGGTCGTCGCCGCCGCCGCCACGAGCGGTGTTCAAGCTTCCAGAAAACTTTCTCGACCGGTCACCGGGCAGGGAACCACGGCCCGCCACCGACGGTGCCGACGATTTGTCGAAGCTCTCCTCCGACGAGGAAGAGGAAGCACCTGCCGCTGACGAGGAGGGCGGCGACCGGCCACGGCTCAAAATCCCCGCCACCATCCCCGACTCCTCCCCGCTGTCACCACCACCACCCGCTTCCGCCCAGTGCCCCTGGTGCGGCGACGAGGTCGAGCGCGCCCTCCTCGACGACTTCGCGCAGGGCCGCCGCCTCGACGTCCGCCGACAAAGGCGCTTCTGCGCACTGCACAAGCGCGCCGCCGCCCTGCACACCTGGCGCGACCGCGGATACCCCGAGATCGCCTGGGACGCCCTCGAGCCGCGCTTCGCCGCGCACGCCGCGCACCTGCAGGCCGTCCTCGACGGCGCGCGACCCTCACCCTACCACGACGCCTACGCCGCCAGCCGCCGCCGGACCGCCCGCGGCGAGGAGGACAACCTCAACCCGGGGTACTACGGCCCGCGCGGGCTCGTCGCCATGGGCGACTACCTGGTGGCCGAGTTTGGCGACGCGCTGAAGAGGCGCGCAGTGGGCGACGGCGGCGTCATCGCGGGCAAGGGCGCGGCCGCGTTCGTGCAGGCCGTGCTGGTCGCGGAGCTGGGCGTGCGGCTCATCATGGAGGACCTCGGCGTGGACGAGGAGGAGGCGAGGCGCGTGCTGGAGGAGAGCAAGGCGCTGGGGGAGCTGGTACAGCCAGAAGTCTGAGGATGAGTGCTGTGCATGTGTATGTGTGTGCGTATCAATAACGGTGGCTCATTTCAGCATCTACAAAAATCATGGCAACACCTGTATTTATATAGTCATTAGAGCGTCACGTCCGGGTCGGCACCGAATTCATTGGTTTGTTTGTTGTAAAAAGTTCTCATCTTGGCATTCATAATCGTACATTGTCTTGTTTCATATCTGATAAAAGTCACCGCCGCTCACTAACTATTATAAACCTGCCAGCATGCTCTGGATGCCCACCGAGGACGCGTCGTCGCGCCGCTGCACGAACGCCTGAAAGTCCGCCTTGGACAGCTTCCCCCGCGCGGCCGCCATGGCCGCCGTCTGGCCCGGCGCCAGCCCCCTTGCCTTCTCCCTCAGCGCCTCGGCGCCGACGATGAACAGCGAGCCGATCTCGGTCAGCAGCTCGACGGCGAGGCCAATGTCCCGGGCGAGCGGCCAGCCGCGTACCACGGACACGTACTTTGCAATGTCCTGCGTCACCATGAGGCCGCCGGTGGCGTTGACCTGGAAGCGCTTGAAGTGGTCGAAGAGCAGCCGGTGCAGCTCCGTCGCGAGCTCGCTGAAGAACTTCTCCGCGTTGGCACCGTCGACGGCGGCCGACGCGTGCTTCTCGGCGCGCCCCAGGAAGGTGCAGATGGTTAGGCACGTCGGCGTCTGCAGCGACTCGAGCTCCATGTCCTTGGGGCGGAAGTCCTGCTTCTTCTGCCCGCTGAGCGTCTTCGCGACGAAGTTGACGATGACATCGATGGAGATCTTGATGACGGCGTTGGTCTTCTTCTCAATGTCGTCAATGGCCATCTTCTTCTGCGCCTCCATGCTCTTGCGCACCGTCGTGTTGGACTCGGCGAGGCGGATGAGCACCGTGCTGTTGAAGCGGTCCATGATGGCCGAGATGGTGACGGCAGGGCGGATGGCTGGCAGGTACGCCATGTCGGGCTCCGTTTTGGAGTTTTCCAGAATGGTGGCCTGCATATGTGCAGCATCCAGTGCTGTTTGGACATAGACCTGGCCCATGTTGCTGAGAAGCAGGTTCATAAAGACGCTCATCTCCTTGGGTGTGTCGACCGCAGCTCCCAGCTCCAGCGTACGCTGCACACTCTCGGCAAGCCACTTGAGCATGCGCTTGGCGTTGGCAACACTCAGTGTTCCGTCGTCTTCGGAGAGCTCAATTTCATTCTTATTGTCCTTTTCCGCAATACCGGCGACGCGCAACATCGTGGCCTTTTGTGTGGGTGTCAAGTCGGACGACTCCAGACGCTCTAGGTAAGCATCCTTGGCTGACGCCATCAGCTGTGTGCCCTGTTGAGCGAGAGATGCCATGAATCCGGTCGGGGCCTTCTTCTTTCGCGAGTGGTACATTGTAAACTTGAACAGCAGGGAGCTATACATTTCTTCAATACTCTTCTTCTCCCTTTCAATGTAGAGATTGCCCACAAGATAAGGAACGAACAGTTCGTCCACTTGCTGGTCGAGTGTCTGCGCGATCTGGCCGGAACATGGCTCGGGATGCTCAGTCAGTCCATGTGTCTTGAGATCCTCAATCAAAGAGCTAATGTAACTGCGAGACGAGTGAAGCGAGCGCAAGAAAGCAAGCGACGACACGGTGTCGGCCTTGTCCAGGACCTTCTCCAAGCGTTGCTGGATCGACTGTTGGAAGACTCGCTGGATGAACTTTGCGAGGACTGTTTCGTAATATGGAAAGGCTCGTTTTATGATGAAGGATTCTTCTTGCATGACAATCTTTACCTCATCAATGAGCGACTGCAAGCTAGCCTCAACGCCCGGGGGAGTGGCATCAGGGTCCGCGATGGGCTCCCAAATGTCTGTATCCGCAATGACTTCGTCATTCATCAGCTGGTCGCGATCTATAAAGAACTGGTGCTGGTTTACAAACGCCGCAATGACGCTCGCGCCGCCATTGAAGTCGTGCAGCACCCTCGCGCACTCCAGCATGTCGTCAAAGTTTTGCTTGCGGTAGCTGTTATTGAACTGCTGCAGGAGGTCCTGCTCGAGTGACTCACAAAACCTCTCCAGGACTTCCCTCGTGTTGTGCGTCTTTACTCCGTTCCCGCTGCCGTTGCCGCCGCCGACAGAGCTGCGGCGCTGGCCGTTGGCGTGGCCCCACGAGGGTTGGTCGAGCTGCTGAGAGATGCGCATGAGCTGGCGGGCGATGACGGCGCAGCGAATCTTATTCTCGGCACCTCCCTGGCGGCGAATGTCCTCGAGTGACGCGAGCATGCCGGTGTCGCTGACCTCGCTCCAGCACTGGATGAGGAACTGGGCGTCCTGCGCGCGCCGCCGCTTGCGGTCCAGGTCCTCGAGCTTCTCGCCAATCTGCACGGCGACATTGCCTTCGCCATCGGATTTGCTCTGCACCTCGTAGTTGTTCGACTTTCCCGAGGCTGCGGTCCCGTCGAGGGCCTCAAAAGAGCTCATGGACTGGTCGAGCTTCCTGCCGAGCGTGTCGAGGGTCTGGTCGTGCTGGATCTCGGCTCGTCGCACCTGCGATAGGAGTTCCGACTCTTTTTCTTGCAGCTCATCTCCTAGGATGGCCAACTGGCTCAGTGCATCTAGCGATTGTCAGCGGCGGCTGCGCATGAAAGGGGGAGAAGGGGAGGGTCAAGGGTTGCTCACTCTCAAACGTTCGAATTAGAGGCTTCGCATCAAAGGCGGGTTGCGCCGGGCCCGACCTCCGGTTGATTGGCACGGCACTCTCCGCAAGGCTGTCGACAAAGTCGCGGACGATGAAGTCCTTGTTGGAGAAATTGTCGAGGGTGAAGCTGGGGCCCTTGGGGAAGAGGCTCTTGGCCCCGATGCTGGTGCGGTCCATTGTCAGACGCGGGCTTGGGGCGCAGCCCGGGCTGTCTACATGTGGCGAGCCGGTAGCTGTACGAATCGATTCTGGCGCAGCCGTCCCGGTCCTGGGGATTTGCTGCCGCTTGACGCTGTCGTTGTCAATGCGGATGCGAGTGTCACTGCTTCACAGCTTCAACAGCTTCTTTGGAGTTGCGGAGGCGCGTTGACGACTCAGCCCCACCACTCAACTTGGTATGTGGCTCCTGCGCCTGCGCCACACCCAGAGGACGCAAGCACATGCTCAGCTTGCCGCTGCCTTGCTTTTGGACAGCAACACTTTTATCTTTGGCCATCCCTCACTCGGCCTACACCTTCTGTCCTTTCTCACAGCCTTTTTTTTTTTACTCTTTTCTCTGTCGATCTGTTCCCAGCTACTACCACATCCATAATGCCTTCAACCGCAACCGCCCGCAAGGCGTATCGCGCCGACGCAAAAGCCAACCACACACTCTTGAGCGAGCAGGAGAGGGCGCGACTGATCAAGGTACATCGGATCGTCGTCACGGCAGAGCTCTTCGCTAACACGTACAGTCCCATTTGCCTCCCGTCAATGATAGCCCGCCGGTCTCAAAGAAGAGCAAGCAGCAAAAATCCCACCTCGGCGTACGCCGCTTCTTGAAGAATGCGCTCTTCATCTTCGTCTTTGCCGTCATGCACGGTATCTTCTCCCTCTACATCCGACTCCGACAGGCCTGGAACATTGTGCGCTACCAAATATCTTCCGTGCTGTACTACCACCACGGCACTCCGGAGTACATTCGCCGAGATATCATGGGCCTGCCGAAGAAGCCGAACCACCTAAGCGCCGTCCTGCGAGCCGAGGAGGATAAGCGGCCCAAGGCCGATCTCGAGCGTCTGATTGACGAGGCGGCGGAGCTGGCTACTTGGACAGCCTGTGCCGACATCCCGATGCTCTCCATCTACGAGAAGACTGGTAAGACAAACAATGTCATGGTTGAATGGCTCGTTTATTGACGAGCGTCTAGGAATTCTGAAGAAGAACATGCCCCGCATCTACGAAGCCATCCTCGCGAAATTTGCCCTGTACTTTGGAACGCAACACCCGTCTCTATCCGTTTCGTCGCCTCACCGCGAGACCGTGTCTTCCCCTGCCTCGATGAGCGCCAACCCTGCCGGTCAGCTGCGAGTTCATCTGATTTCTGCGCAGGACGGTCGCGAATCTGTTGTCGACCTGACCCGCACTCTTGCCGACATGTCCCAGAAGGGCAAGCTGTCGCCTCGCGACATTTCTATGGACCTAATCGACGCTGAGCTCTCAGAGGGCATCATGCCTGAGCCGGACCTGCTGATCCTGTTCAGCCCGTACGTCGAACTCTCTGGCTACCCGCCATGGCAGATTCGCCTCACGGAGATCTTTTGTCTCAAGGACAACGAGTCCTTTGGTTACCAAGTCTTTGTCAAGGCGCTCCGCAACTTCTCAAATGCTCAGTTCCGTCGCGGAAAATAGATACCCCTCACTCCTTCCTTGATAATAACCCGCACATTAACTTCATTATTTATTGCATTGTCGCATCTCTCTTCGTATCTTGTCCCATCGATGCACCGGCCCGCGCCCAACGTTATAGTTGTAATAATTTTCTGTCCCGTCCTTGGTCATGGCCCGCCGAAAGGTGATGTTGATTCTCCCCCCGTCCTCGCTGTTCTTGCCGGTCCTCTTGGGAATCGAGTGCAGCCAGCGGGACTGCGTCGTCCCGCGCATCAGGACCATGGCGCCGCTGGCCAGGGCCAGCTTGAGGCTCTCGGGCGCCGTCTTGTGCTTCATCAGAAAGTCGCGCTGGGCACCGAGCGAGAAGGAGGCGATGGCGGGATCCGGCCCCAGAAAGCGCTCGTCGTCGCTGTGGTAGGAGATGCTGTCCGCGCCGGAGGCGTAGTAGTTGACGAGGCAAAAGTTGAAGCGGCAGCTCGTGGCGGCCTCGGTCGATCTGCGCAGCGTGTCGAGGCACTGCGGGATCGGTCGCGGAGGGTAGCGATCATAGCGGCCGTCCGCCACCAGGGCTTGGGACTTGGCGTCGACGACGCACCCGTCTTTGAATCGCGACGTCTCGTCCAAGCCAAAAACAGTCGTCCATCTGCCCAAATTAGCAAAGAAAGTCATTTGGTGCTGTAGGTGATACAAACCTAGGGGTCCGTATGTCCGTCTCTATCCCACCACGCTTGATCTTATACCGGACCCTGTAAAACGGCAGCTCGGCGCGCAGAAACTCAAAGAGCTGGCGGGCCTGGGGCTTAGGCACAAAGGGGTCAAAGTAGACGAGATCCAGCTCCGTCTTGTCGTCTATCGGCTGACCGGGCACCGTCGGTGCATTGGGCGGTAGCAGCTCCTCGGCCAGAGACGCGGGCAAGTCGGCAATGTCAAACGGATACGCGCTATGCTTTGAGGTGGACGTCTACGCGCGGGTCAGCAGACAGACGGCGTAAGATTTGGATGAGGACGGTACCGGTTCAGTGTCGCATTCACGCGGCTTCTTTGAAGTCGGCGCGAAAAATGCATCCAACGTGCGCTTTTCGGGCATCTTCAAAAATTAGAGTCGTTGGAAAGTGGTGATGTAAGTGAGAGCCTTGCGTGTGGGGGGCGCGGCTGGCTACTAATAATTAACGTTAGTTAACTAGGGAAGATGTTGATGGTTGGTGGTGGGTGGTGGGTGGTGAGTGAATCTCGCCAATTCATGCCACCCTCAACTCGGAAGAAGAAAAGTATATATTCGACGTGAAGATTCCGCTACGCTCTCACAGATACAGTTATTCCCATCGCATCCGTCCCTAGGCATGTCACGAACCCCCCCCCCTCTAGTGCCCCATCTCATGCACAGGTTGTTGAGGCGGCAACTCGGTGGCAGGGTGCTGCGTCGCTGGACTACCGTACGTATACCGACCCGGGCTCTGGACCTTGTGATCATCGTAGCTGCTTTCGCCCGGGGCCGCACCCGCCGCCGCGTTCGCGTTCTTGTATCCGCTCGACCGCCTCTTGTACAGGAGCGCCAGCGCGGCCAGCGACGCCAGCAGCGCCGCACCGAGCGTCCCGCCGACCGCGCCGCCGATGACGGCCGCGTTGCTCTTTGGGCACTCCGTCGCTGACGCGTTCACCCCAGATGTCGCCGCCGCCGGTGGCGTCGTCGTCGTCCCTGCGGATGTCGTCGTCCCAGCGGATGTCGTCGCGGCCGCCGCCACGCCCGACGACACTGTCACCGTCTTGGCGGCGAGCTGCATCTTCCCCAGGCCCGTCGTGAGCAGCGCGCTCGAGTCAGTGCAGCAGTTCCCCGTGGTGCCAAAGTCGCGGCAGCAGTAGACGCCGCGTCCGCACTCCAGCACATCCAGGCTGTTCGCGCCTGTGTGGGAGGCTTTGTGGAACAACAATGGTCAGCAGCTTTACACATGTGTGTGTGCTTGCTCCGAGGAGCAGGCTACTCACGAGGGTTGCACATTTTCGGGCACTCCTTCGCCTTGCCCGTCTTGTCGGTGCATCCGTTGATGTACATATAGCCCTCGTAGTCGTCGGTCTGGGAGTAGCAGACGCCCGAGGACATGCAGATGTCCGGGTTCGCCTTGCCGAGCATGCAGCAGGGACTGTTGTCGGCGTCCGGGTTGCAGGGCTGGAAGCCCGGGGCCATTTCATTGCCCGTGATCCAGTAGCATTTTTTGCTCATTTTGGCTGCGTTGCGTGATGTGTATGATGAACGATTGATTAGTCGGCAATGTCGATTATATTGCTTTGATATGTCGATGGCGAGGCACGTCCGAGTTGGGGCGGCAGCATGCAGGAGGGATGGATTGCTGAGAATGGGCATGCAAGGGAACTACCATCTTTATTATGCAGCTCTGGAACATTTCTCGTCATGGAGCCGTCAAGAGGGCCTTTCATTTCCAAAAAGCGAACCAGGCTGGAGCGATCAGCGCCGTGATCCATCGGAGCCTTCTTGATCAGGGGGGGGAAGGGGTCCGAGTCAGCTCCTCTGCAGCAAAGAGTGGTGCAATTCAGGTTTATGGTGCAGAAACGTGGGCAAACATGTCAATCTCTCTTTATACAGCTTACAGGGCTGTTACCTCCCTCGACATTTGCTTCACAGAGCGCGTGGTTTGTGCAACTCCTAGGCGAGTGTCGAGTGCTACCATGTCAGAAAATCAAAATATCAAGTTCTGTGTGAATCGCCCTTTATTATTCTATATATTTCGCTCCAATTGCAGCCTTCCAAGTAAATTATTCTTCATAAATGGTCAAAATTTATCATCCCTCAAAGCCGGCGGCAAGACCTTTGTCGTGAAATCAGGCTCGCATAGATCCTAGTTAGCGCGGCCTTCCTCTGGTCCATTGATTGTACGTGGCTGTCGGCAAACCACTCATGCATCTCTGCATATTTCCATTTTTCAGCTTTAATCGAAAAGGGTTTTGTCTGCGGCGGGAACGCAACCGCCCTTCATCATGTTTCACCCATAGAGTCCGGGCGACCGACCTGTAAGCCAACGGCGAAGCGATCCGATGCCGCCACCCTACCTACTTCATTGCTTTTTTGTCGTCATTCGAAGTTACAAAGCTTTTGCGGTGGTCGGCACGAGTACCAGTACTGCAAGAAATTCTCTCATTTTACCTGTATCGTCACATGAATTGCAAGGGACGAGATATATCGCGATGACTACATTATGTAGCCGTTGAAGTTGTGTGGGGCCTGAGGCAAAAGCTCTGGCTTGCCACCAAAATTTCAACCTTCTGTTTTATCCCTGCCAGCATTTTTAGACATGGAGGTGAGCAACGTCAACCGCGTAGCACAAGCTAGGAAGGCATCATATCACCGAGCATAAGTGAAATCTAATATTCTACAGGCCGACGCCCTGCCCAGAGACATGAATCTGTTTCGCGCCCCCGCCGCAGCTAGGGCTGCCAAAACCCTCGACAGGACGCTCTTTGCGCGCGTCGTGCCCTCGGCAGCCGTCTCTGTCCGGGAGAACAAGATGCTGTCCAAGTACAGGAAGGAGCTCGAGCTCACAAAGGAACTGTTCACGCTTCCAAACTATCAGCAGGTCGCCCCGGACCCGGACCCTGCGCTGGCGGCCCAAGGCAAGAAGTGCCTTATCCTCCAGAGCCATATTAAGCCCCAGGGTAGGTTCCGGTGACCCATGGACACCATGCAACGGTTGATGGTCTGACGTTTACATAGAACCTTCCACTTGGAGCCAGGTGCTTCAGGAGGCTTCCGCGGCAGGCGACGTCAAAGTCGTCCCGTATGATATCAATATCGACTACAACTTGTGGAGTTACGGTACGACGGACGCCTCACTCTTTCACTCATGAGCCTGGCTGACATGGACATGGACAGTGGATGTCATGAGAAGCATCCTCCCCGTGGAGCTACAAAACGAGATTCCCACTGGCTTTAACACTGCCGGACACGTTGGTATGTGCCCCCCTCCTCTTCCATTCCCCCACTCCTCAAAACATGACCCCTCACACAACCACGCAGCTCATCTCAACCTCCGCGACCAATACCTCCCCTACAAGCACATCATCGCGCAGGTCATCATCGACAAGAACCCCAGCATCCGGACCGTCATCAACAAGGTCGACAACGTCGGCACCGAGAGCGAGTTCCGCACCTTCGCCTACGAGGTGCTCGCCGGGCCCGACGACCTCGAAGTCGAGGTCAGCGAGGCCGGCTGCCGCTTCCGCTTCGACTACGCGCGCGTCTACTGGAACTCCAAGCTTGGCACCGAGCACCAGCGCGTCGTCGCCCTCTTCCGCCCCGGCGAGGTCGTCGTTGACGTCATGGCCGGCATCGGCCCCTTCGCCGTGCCCGCCGGCCGTCGCGGCGTCTTCGTCTGGGCCAACGACAAGAACCCCGAGAGCTACCGCTGCCTCGTCGACGCCGTCCGCCGCAACAAGGTCGCGCCTTTTGTGCGCCCCTTCAACGACGACGGCCACGCCTTCATCCGGCGCGCCTGCGACGAGGTCCTAGCCGCCTCCCGTCGCGGCGACGCCGCCGAGCTACCGCCTCCCAAGGTCTCGCGCTCGGCAGCGCCGCCCGGCACGCCGCGACCGGCGCCGGAGCGCGTGCCTCTGCCCCCGACCGTGTCCCACTTCGTCATGAACCTGCCGGCGTCGGCGCTCGAGTTCCTGCACAACTTTCGCGGCATCTACCACGGGCAGGAGGCGCTCTTCGCGCCGCACACGGAGACGCGGCTGCCGCTGGTGCACGCGCACTGCTTCGCCGCCAAGGCCGACAACGCCACACCGCTCGACGACATCTGCGACCGCATCGAGCGCGAGATCGGCGTCCGCCTCGTGCCGGGCGATGCCGAGGTCGACGGCCAGGTCGGCATCCACGAGGTGCGCGACGTGGCCCCGGCGAAGCGCATGTTCTGCGCCAGCTTCCGCGTCCCGCCGTCCGTGGCCTTTGCGCCTCGCTCGTGAGCGCTTTGGTCTTTTCCTGCCAGCTTTTTAAGTGGGCTTTGACAAGAGAGAGAAAACTGTGGCAGTCGTCAAGAATGGGGGCTGCTCACCGAGGAACAAACCCATTCTCATTCCGGGCCATGCAGAATGGGTCAACAAATGCGCAGCGTTGTTATCGGTTCTTTCAGTCGCCAGTAGTTGACAAAAGCAAACATCACCCGGCCACAGCGCTTTGCTCAAGTTCTGCAGACGGGCACCGAGGACAATGAAAGCAGTTGGCTCACGCACACACCGTGTGTTTGCTGGTCCTCAAAGGAAGAGGCAACGGGACAGCCACGGATATTTTTTTCCCTCTTTATGTCACTCTATCGGGAATATGACGCGGTGCGCCGCATGGACCAATCTTTGGCAGGCGCAGGGCCATTCCCCAAAGGACAATGAGCAGCAGAGCGACGCGCTAGTTTTTCCATCGCGTCTGCGCAAAAGACGCGGGGTGACTCGGCGTTTTGCCATGGTGAAAGGAAGCGCCGGGGTAGGGTGGGCGCATCCGTACTCGGTGAGGCATCGCGTAGGATGCGCAAGTGACGACTTCTGCGAGTTCCTGTGTGCTCAAGACGCTCACATACCTCTAGGAAGTCTAGCCTTTGGACGGAGAAGACCGAGCGCAAGATCAAGAGACGTCTTGTCGCAGATCGGAAAATGACTGGGGATTTTTGGATATAGACTATACACAGCACATATATACCCATCTACCACGGATTGAGATGCCGGAAACTGGGAACGAGTGAATGAGTGTGCTTGGTCGAGATGCATGCAACGTCCCGAATTATATTCTCCAACTTTTGATAGCTGCCCAGGGACTGGCCGAGAAGCAGCTTCCCCAGAAGGAAGTTCCGGTTGAGGCAGGAACATGCCAATGTCTGGTGATCTAAATGCCTGGCGGTGATGAGGTGAGGCGCAACTTCGCCACCATTGCGTCTTGCATTCTGCTGCGGTACGAGCGCCCGCAGTAAAATTTTATTCCTGAAACTCTCACAGACTGCGGCCGCTCAAGTTTGCGACTCCAATTGACGATGCAGTTGCGAGCCATTCGCCGCTACGTCTCCCTTGCATCCATCCATTGTGTGCTATTGTGACAAGGCATCTGCCCTCGTGCCGCCTTTTTTAATCTCGACAGCAAAAAAAAGGAGAAAAAAAAATACGATCCATAATAAACTCTAAACGTTTATTTTTCTTCTTTTACTACATTTGCAGAAACGAGACATTGGTGTCGTAATCTGATTCGTTTTTTGTGACATCACATATCCCATCACATTCAAACGACGAGCTGATACCCAAGGGATGGATGGATGGATTGGCTAGCTAACTGGTACATACATGGCATGCACTCTCCAACTGCTCACGCGACGAAAATGCAGCCCTTCCTTCTACCGCGCCAGCCTCTTGAGAAAAAGAACGATGTGTTCATGCATGTCTCACCTATCTATCCTGCTTGCCTCTGTGGCTCTCGGTCACGTCAATAGTTATGGGATCATCAATCCCCGCGTCGCCGGTGGTCAATCAGTCCCCCGCAACCGTTTCTCGCCGACCTCGCCTCGGAGACCAATGCGCAGAGGCCGATTAGCTTTCCCTAAATTTATAAAAAGAATAATAATGACTCTTTTTTTTTTTTCTCTTCCCCCTTCTCTCCTTCTTCTCATGGCTTGCTTGCCTAACCCACCTGCTCTTGGCATTGACAACGCAATCGCGAGGCTGCATGAGCTCCGGAGACCTCCACCACGGCATTCCCCGCGTCCTCTGCATCATCCATTCGGTCATGGTCATCTAGTTATCCAAGGTAGCTTGCAATTTGCCTATCATGACTGTCTCTTTATCTACGCGCCGTCGTCCAACCATTGGAATCGAAAAACCTTGTTCTGCTTATCGGAGCGGTTATTAGTACGGCGCCAAATCGGCATGCCTTTCTTATCATGGATGTACAACTCACCACCTTGGTATATTAGCCTCGTTTCGCCGGGCCGACCTGGTTAGCCACACGGCGTGGGTGTGGTGTGCGAGGTGTGGTTATCTTTCTTACACACACACACTTTCTCTTACACATAGACTGCCTACCTGTTCACTGCCTATCAAGTTCCCTCACTAGCTAGCTTGTTGCGCCGCAATATATGTCGCATAGACACAGCACGCCAAAACTCCAATAAATCTCCCGAGTCCATGCTGGAGCCTTGAATGGCGACTTGTTCCATCAACCCGTACGCTCCATTTCGTACCGCTACTTGCCTGCACGCAAACGGAAACACGCCACAATCCGCCATCTCAGCAGGCAGACGGATATCCAGTCACCATCCCATACTGACATGCCGTACGCGTATAGCCTGCCGTGCTGCCGTGTTGCAGCCCGTGGGACCGCATCTGAGGCTCCCATCGACCCACTGAGGACGTTGCGCCGGCAGCAGGTGCAGGGGCAGGTCAATCGGTCAGTCTCCTTTGCTTCCAAGGGGGAGTGTCCGATTGTGCCGCAGGGGGTGGCTGCGCGTCCTGTGTGTCAGAATGGATCGTGAGTTAGTGCCATGCCAATCGCTTAGTTACCATTATGGGAGATTGGAGTTTGCGAGTATTACGATATATCGCTCAATAGCATCCAAGTGGTTTCAGTCGCTGTTAGCTCCGTCGGCAAGCAGCGAAGCGATGCGGCTGGGGCGCCGTGCGAGTCTAGGCCGCTTCGCAACCATTCTCGCAAAGGACAATGCAACTGCTAGTTAACTAGTTCCAAGCGGGACATGTCCCGAGAGAACCGTACTGGCACGCACCAAGAGCCGGGGACACGAAACGGAAGACTAGCTTTGCTCCAGCACATCCAGTGCATGATACTGGCCTCTTGGCCATCCATGTCGTTAATAGCGCCACACAGAGCTTAAAATATGCACCAAGACTTGTCGTTGCTGCAAGGCTCAAGAAACGGGGGAGTTAGAAGGCGACCAGCATGAGGCTCATAGGTCGCCCTCATGGCCTCTTCTGCTTCACCGTCTCTTGCTGGGTTGCAGCCTTCGATCCAGCCTTTGAATTCTTCTCTTCCCCACAGTCACACCAATTGAAGGCTCTGCAAATAAAAGCAAGTTTAAAGTCTACCATCGACGAAAGAAAATCGGACATGGATCCCAAGATATCAAGGTAAAAGCGGAGTTGGAGAGTGGGTTCTATGCACATCAACAGAGGTTGCATCGGCGCATTGCTATTCTTGGGCTTCCGGATTAGATGGGCAGAGCCGTCGAGTAGAAAGGTATAGTTTATGCTCTTCACTTGCGAATGTCTTCGTAACGCATCATGATTGGCGATTGGTGACAACGCAGCTGGATACTGTGGCTTGACGGATTCGAACTTGTTGCTCGAGACCCCAAACTACTGTAGGATCTGGTCCTCCAGCCGTAGCTGGCTAGCCTTCTTGGAGGCTAGCCTTTGAGACGATCAACATATCGCGACGGTGACACAAAGACATGCCATCGCGAGCCGGATGCTGATACACTGCGCCACACACCATGGGCGGCACGCAAGACTTGCTCTTTCGTTCGAATCCGGCTGGTACACCAGTCGCGCAGCTCCCTCCCACTGCGGACGGGAAGCAGGACGGCCGGGTCCCTGGCTGTGCCTGGACACTTTTTCTCGAAGGTTTGCCTAGAAGCTCTGTTCAGCACATCGTCTGCAAAGTTCAGCGAAGACACCATCACTGTCATCTACAATCAAAAATCAACCAGACGACCAAAACTCTCTCCTTGGACAAAGCCAAGTGATGACTCGGCGTTGGCGGTGAGCAGCGCTAGTTGAGCGCAACAGAGACGACGGCAAGCCCACACGGGACTCGATGGCACCATTCATTGGCACAACGCGCAAGTACTAGCTTGGTGTCGGGCCACAGGCCGAACAAGCAAGCCATACATTGATGAACAGTGCCTAAGACATTCCTGGTTGATTGGTTACCGAGATGCAAGTGCGAGTAGCAACTATTGTGCCCAGCTCTTTTAATCAGAATCGCGATGTTACAGTGTCTGTCTGTCTGTGTGGTGTGCTAGTATGGCGGGGTACATGTGTGTTGACTGGGAGGGAGAGTGGTATCAAGGACCCTTTGTTGGACATGACGTGTGAGTAACGCGTGAAAGGAGGCGAATCATCCGAGCAAGGAGGCGGCTCTTGATACCCAAATGTAGGAGTGATAACAGGGAGCAAAACGGTAGCTTCGTCCGAAGAGTTTGCAGCGTGAGGCGAGGCGATTGCGGGTGAAGTCGGGGCCGATGTGCAACACGACAACTCCGCCTGCCGACGCCGAGTAATACGGGCGTGTGGATCAAGCTGTAAGGGATTCAAATGGAGACAAATGCAGTCAATGAACGGGTATGTACATGCAGAACTGGGGCATTTGGCGTATCGTCCGCGAATCGGAGATTTGCAGCCGGGGGTGTCTTGTGTAAGTTGTTGATAGATAATGCAAGCCGGGGAGGAGGGGATAGCAAGCAATCAGATAGTTTGCGGCCAGAATATGGCGGGTATCACAAAGATGCGTGAGGCGAGATTTCCATCAGGGAAGCGGAGGCTGCCTAAGATAACAATTAGTGATGGCAGACAGTTGTACAGATTGGTTTAATATCAAGACGCCGAGTAGCGAGGCTCAAGGGTAGGGCGACACTCAAATATGCGGGACACAAAAGCGACTGCTGCGGAGGAAGGGGCTTAAAATGGAGAGCCGCGTGGCAGGCCTACCTGCGAAGGGATGGAAAGAGGCGACAGGTCGGTAGTTGTTGTGTTAATTGATGGCTGTCGTGATGTTGATGGAAGGAGGTTCGAAAGCAAACGACGACGATGGGATGCCAAGGATGACAGGATGATGGGACCGACCCAACCAGGTTTGGGGAGTTTAGCCCGATTTTAGTGGATAGGAGCTGTAAATGGGACCTGCTACAACTGCAGGGCCCGCTGGACGGTAGACTTGCAGGGAAAGCTGAGCTCCAGTGGGGCCAGCGCTGTAAGTGCTGCATTATAGCACGCCATGGCAAAACAGGCCACTAAAAGGATTTAGAAGCATTTCGGACAAACGGCCAAGTTCCTTGGTTGCAAGTAGTAGTCTGCAGCTAGCAAATTTGCACATCCACTGCTTCCTACATATCCGTACTTGTCTTTTGCCTCGCCGAGGCATAGATGTCGCGTGGTGTCGTGATAGACGGGCACATGTCGTGATGTGAGTTCAGCATGCCAGATGCCGTTGTCAGTGACAGGTGCGCCACTCGGGGCGGCCCCTCGTCCCCGCCGCTATGAATGAGACGGGATCAAAATTTTATTTCGGTGTGAGTAGTGTTGGCATGTTGAAGAATACTACTGGTAATAAGTGCTTTGAACCCGAAAACTTTATTTTTGCCAGATCTTTTGTGAGGACATTCCAAGAAAAAGCCATTCTGCCGCCAAAGATATGAAGGCGAGACAGAGCAAAATTATGGCTTGAAAAGAAGGGAGGGAGAAGAATAAAAACAAAACAAAGCATAAAAATAAAAAGCAAATTCATCCCCCCACAGTGTCACGGCGGAAAGCAGACTTTTCAGCAGTTGGTATTTCCGCGCCTGCGCCTCTATTAACACCAGTGGCGATGCTCAGGCGATGCTCAGGCCCGTAACAAAGCGAACGACGAACGACGCCAGCAGCCCGACTCTTCCTCGGAGAGCCGCCGCCGACCCCGCTAGCCTGCAGCAGGCACAGCTGAGAGTGCTCACCATACCAACCACGCCTCAACCATACCAGTAACGGAAGGGAAGGGCAATAGAAAGAAAGAAAAACCGTTTCTTCTGACAATCTTAAACCAGGAACGTCTGATCCCTGCTAGCCTGCATTTTCTTCTGCTTCTTGGTTGGCGGGCCGCGAACTGACCAAGCCTCTTAGCGCGTATGCTGGGCGAGGGAGGTGCTGCGGAAGCGTTGCTATCCGTGGAGAAGGGCTGGGAAGTCAATGAGGGGAAGAGGTGGCCATGGCGTTTGAGTGTTTGATAAGAAAAAAGGAAACGTTGCTACAAAGAAGGAAGGACGAACAAAGGACTGGTGGGATGGTGATCATACCCGTCCCCATGAAGCTGTACTGTGGTGTCTTGTAATACAAGAATGAGGTGCGAACTGGCAGGTACCTTGGTTAATACGAATCATAGCAGGGCGAGTCAGGTCACCATTGGCTCGGTTTCGTTTGCGGCCAGGGTTCCCCGCTTCCGGGGGGTTTTGTGCGACTCTCTGTCTCTGAATTTTACAGGGCATCCATCCACCATGGGGGATTGCCGTGGGCGCTGGGGTACATAGGTACGGAGCACAGGTAACCTGCAACGGGCAAGTATACGCTCCCTGCCAGTTGCCGACGCTGGCCCTGCTCGAAGGAGAAGAGAAAACATGCAGGCGAGACAATTGGTCTGGGCTTCCGGTAAAATTGAGCAACAGCAGATGAGCATAATCAAGGAACTTGCCGATATTGTGTTTTGGACCCAGCACGTCGTCATCATGCGATGCGCCGCTCGTGCCACGCCACGCCTCGCTCGCTTCCAATGCTGCAGGCATCTTGAGACTCGCAACTAGCAACTGGCAACTGACGGTGGGAAGAGAGAACCGGCTGCTGCATGCGCCAATGTGCCGTTCTGCAGAATGTACTTACACCACCACTTACGCACAGGTACAACCAACTGTGCGGGATGCGCTCAGACAAGACAGGTACCTTACCGCCAACGGATACCACGGCTTGCTGGAAGCAGCACAACACAGTCCTGGCTACACAGTCCCCAGCCATACCAGTACAGTGTAACGCTCTCAACGGCCCACACACACGGCACTAACAAAACCATCTCCAGCGATGTTACCAGTGCCTTGAGCATTTCAGTATGCACCACTCACTAGCCCACGATGCCATGTTTTGGATGCACATCCAACACCCTGCTGTTCCTAGTGCCGAAAAAATCTCTCTTCGTCCTTGATGTACCGGTACTAGGCTTCCAGTCCCCTTCTCCAGCCGCGACAACCAGGTGCTGCTCTGCTGTACCTAACGTGTCCGCCCTTGCCCAGTCCAGTCGCCTGGTGGCGCCAGTGGTCTAGCCCAGGTCTCTCCCCACTGTACCATTTTGCCATGGGCATCTGTCTGGCACCTGGCCTGGCCCCTCCGCCTTTTGCTGCTTCCAGGCCCTGTTTTGGTGTGGTTTAGTGCTGTACCAGTCGCCGTGGTGCCACGCCACGCCAAGGGCGGTACCTTTTTGTCCATGCAAAAGTCTGTGGATAGACAAGTATCTTTCCAAGTCCTGAGGCTTGCGATAAACCTGCCTCTCCAGGTCCTCCAGGGCCCGCCAGGTCCTTCCCTCGCCTCCCAGGTCTAACCACCCCCCCTTCCCCCGGAAGACCCCCCCGTAGCCCGCGCCCCCGAAATCTCTTCATCCTCTCGCCTAACTACTTACCCTTCCCTCCAAACTCAGACTTCTCTTTTGCTTCTTCCCACCTCTCTCTCGAAATCCTCTCCCTCCTCTTCCTTGTACATCTCTCCCATTACTTCCCCGGCCATCGCCTTTTCTCTCGTTTGTCAACATCGACTCTCTCTCTCGTCTCCTCCTGCCAACACCAATTCCCCACAGACACCATTTACAACGCCAACACCAACAAACACACCCCCGTCGCTGCGCCGTGCGTCACAACCTGCATACACGCTACGACAAATCTACCGCTCTACCACTACCACCTTACCGACCTCTCCGCCTGTATACGCACTCGTCCTACGACTTGGTCGCATCTTTGCGCAAGTCGTCGTTGTTTTCCCGTTCTCTGACGACGCCTGCACACAACGCCGTTCCTTGCGTGTTTGCACATCTTGACATAGCCAAACTTCACTTGTGCGGCCGCCGGCCCTGCGTCGACGATCTCCAATGAATCTCTAAATCCTCCAGTTCACCCCCGTCTACGCTCGAACTCGACGCAACCTCGCGCCTAGAACGCTAATTATCGCCATGGCTGTCGTCATTTCTTCAGAGGACAACTACTTTTCGTCGTCTTCCCTGCGACGCTCTGCTTCCAAGACCAAGTTCGATACGACCACCTTCAACACCTCGTCACACAAGATTCCTCCAGCATACGACCCCTCCTCCAAGTCCTCGTCTGAATCCGACGCCTCCTCTGTCCCTTCGTCACCAAGAACCGTCCATGCCGGGTCGGCCGATATCTCCTACGCTTCTACCCCTGCCACCAATCTCTCGATAGCCTCGGATTTTGATGACGCACCGCCTCTCGACGACTCACCAGAGGATCACTTTGGCCTCCCGCCCTTTTCGGATGAAAAATACTACATGCATCCTCATCTTGGCTACGACAACGACGAAGACGACGGTGCCATCGACCCATCTACACCCGCTCAAAACTACTGCGCCGTTGATGACTCGTCAGATACCACCTCTCGACCCGAGACACCCGAGCTCACCAAGCATGCCGAGGACGATGCTACCATTGCCAGCAAGCCCTCAAGGCAGGTCGACTACCTCTCCCATGACTGGAAGGAGGAGGATATCTGGACATCGTGGCGCTATATTGTCACCCGCCGAGGTGAGGTAGCCAACTCGGCCCGCCTAGAGAATGCCTCATGGCGAACCTGGATGAAGGCCAAGCATAATCTCAAAACCATCTCTCCCGAATCTCTCAACTGGTACGTCTGCACCATTCCACTCCCCTTAACTCTTGCCATGCGCTAATCTCCCTACAGGCTCAAGGACTGCGATGTAACATGGCTCTACGGCCCTCTGCAGTGCAAGCCTGGGCACTTATATGGCACCAACACTGAGACCTCTAGCTCTGCACTGTCCAAGACGGACTCCCTTGTCAACCTGCAAAAGAAGCCCATTCTCAAGAAGAGAAGCATGTCAGAAGTCATGCTGCAGCGTTCGATTCTCTCGGCCTCCCTCCTTAAACAAGCTGCCGCTGCTGTCCACGCCCAGGAGCGCAGAGGCATCCTCACTAACAAGTCCAAGCCGGACGACTACATTGCCGTTCCCCTATCATCCCGTCACCTCAGCGTTACCAGCAACAGCACTGCCGAATCGATAAACTCGTCGGGTTTGTCGTCGCCGGGCAATGAGCGCAAGCACATTCACTTTAACGAAAAGGTTGAGCAGTGCATTGCTGTGGAGATCAAGGGCGACGATGATGATGAGATGGACATGGAGACGTTTGGTGATGACCAGGACAGCGATTCCGATGACGGCTTCATGATGAAGCGTGTCAAGTCTAAGAAGCGCAGCGTACCCGCTCGTAAGAGCAAGAGCAAACGCAGCACCAACTGTGAGACAATTGCCACGCTGCCCCCAACGACACTCAAATATCGTGGGGACACACCCGAGCCTCCCGAGACGGCGATGAAGCACAGCCGCAGCCCAATCCTGTCGCCTTCGTCGTCGCAGGAGACGCTCCGCCCTACCAAGCAGGCTAACCGCTTCTACTTTGGCGAGGAGGACGAGGAAGACAATGACATCTCGGTGATTGGTTCCGGTTGGCGCTCTCCACCCATGGAGAGCGCACCAACTGAGTCGACGGGCCTGCACCGCACGTCATCGGGTATGTTGATGCCCTACGAAGCTGTTGAGAACCCCACTGGCGAGGGCATCATTGGTCGTGTCATTGATACTGTCAATACGGCACGCGACATTGCCCACGTTATTTGGAACGTTGGTTGGAGAAAATAAGTGCCTAGTCTGGCGTGTCTTGACGATGCGACTGCAAAAATGCAGCCACTAATATTCATGTGCGGCTCGACAGTCTGCACCTTTACGACTTTTTCTTTTCGTTTCTTTTCGTTTTATCTTCATTTCATTTTCCGTCTTGGATACCAACAAAATCGAGCTTGGCGAAGCGGCTGGTCTATTATGTTTTAATTGAATTTTGGTGTTTTGGTTTGGTAGCATATCGGCAGTCACTGGTCTACATTATTACTATTTTCCTTTCTTTCATTGTTTTTACTGAGCTTGAACCTCCCTGCCGCCTCATGGGAGACGAAGGGGGCGACGACAGAGACCAGCAAAGTCGGCGGCATTTCACGTTTTACGATACCGGGATACACAGTACGACAAAAACGACAACAACCACCCGAGCATGGACGCAGCTGATTCATTCATCAGCTGCAAGAGGACACGGAAGGGCTGGTTGTTGAGCGGTCTGTGGAAGAGGAGTACCAGAGGAGCAAAGAAGTGGCGGTCACGCGCATATTTTTTCTTGGGTTTTGTTTGTATCGGGGCTTTGTCATTATTAGCATCACTATTACTTTTTGTTGAGCTGCGGGGAATTGGTCCCTAGCAAGGCGTGGCGCACGGCGCTGGGTTGTCTTTTTGTCCGAATACAAAAAAGATAATTGCAATCACACTACCTACCTACTCTCCTTACCGACGGGACCCTTACCTGGCATTTAACGCTGGACTTGATGCAATGATGACGTTTGAACTGAAGGTAGGTCGCCTCGTAACCCTTGATCCGGCTGTATGGTGTCGCGGTACCTGACGCTAGGTGGCGCTGACTGACCCTTTTTTCGATGTTACTTGGTCTGTTGTGTTTGTGATGGAGGCAGCGCGTAGTACCTATCTATCTATCTATGTACGTGTGTACCTTTCAAGGTGTAGATGCCTATGTACGTAGCACCCATCCCCTATCGTCCTTGATATAGGCAGGCAGGGACAGAGTACCATAGGGTCTTGAAGGGGTCGACCCGATGTCCGCCCCAAGGTTATGCAGGGCTGGATCAAAAGAGGGGAAGGTACAGCTTGGGCCGGTGGCTGAGGGGGAGGCCTGACGATAGGCTTCTTTGATTTTCTTGCCGAGGAGCTTGTTAGTCGGCTATGGACGAAAGGATGAAACCGAAAGGCAGCAAAGCCATATCTATATTCTATAATGGGACAAACGTAGTGGTAGTACATGATAATATACATGCCTTTATCCCCTATCTTTTTTTAGCTAGAAATACATCTTGTTAAATGCCAAGCATAGTAAAAATACAGTGTACATGAAGTGTACAGCGCGCAATCACCCCCCCCCCCCCCCCCTCCCCCGCAAAGGCGGTCGTCGGTACTTGATATGTACCCGTCTGCGTGAAATAGGCGGCGTGGTACTTTGTTGGGTTAGGTGACTTTTCTTTTTCCAACCCCCCAAGTCACACACACAACCCCGTTTTTTCCGGGGTCGCATGATGCACGAGACCGCCCAGGTCCTTTTTCCCATTTTGCCATGCAAACAAAAAGACGTCATTTTCGGGGGGTGGCGAGTTTTTTTGATTCGTTGCAGAGGACGGCATTGGACCAATAGGCGCATTGAGAACCTCTGCTGCTTCCTTTTTTGTTGGGGGAGATTGTTGAACGCTGACAGGGCGGGACAGCGGAGGGGGGGGATGACGACAAAAGCTTGGAGGACCCTTGGGCAGGTGACGACGCCTTCAGACACTACCTGGGCAGCCCCATTCGAGTTGATGCGTGGACGGGTACCAGTACCTGCGCAGCTCACTGACCGGCTCCCGGCCAGCATTTACTGCGTCGTCGTCGGCGGGTGACTATCGTGGCCGCCGCCGGCGCCCTTGTTAGTCGCCTTCGCCTCCGTCGCCGTTGGGCCAGGGACACGCCGCAGCGCCCTCACGAGTATCTGCCCCGCGTGCACGTCAACGTCGGCGAGCGCCACCTCAAAGCGGTCGGCGACGCGGACGTCCCCGATCAGCGCGCACCCGTGCAGCCCATCAACGTCCAGGACGGCCTCGAGCCCAAACAGGTCCAGGTGGCCCACCAGGCCCTCGCGCAGCCGCACTTCCACTGTGAAGACGATGCGCGATGGTAGCACCGATGGCTGCTGCTTCGCGCTGTCTTCGTCCTTCTGTTGCTGCTGCTGTCGCCATGCCCGCGCCACCGCCATCACCATCCAGTCCGACGTCGATCGGCTCACCGCCCGGCCCAGCTTCTCCCGCAGCTGCAGCAGCGGCAACGTGTCTGCCAGCTGCCGCCGCGGAAACGCCAGCACCTCGTCTACCGCCTCGTCACCCGTGCCTAACCGTCGGCCTGTCGCGCGCTCGTGCGCAAGCGCCGCGTGCACCTGCCAGTGCACCAGCAGGTCGCCGAACCGCCGCAGCGGCGACGTCGCCTTAGCATACATGTCCAGGCCCAGCAAAAAGTACGGCCCGGGCTCCCCCGCGAGCTCGATGCCGCCCGTGAGCCGCGCCAGCTCCGCACGTTGCGCCATGCTCGGCTCGATGCCCTCGCGGATGAGCGGGTACAGCTCGGCGCGTGCGTACGCCAGCGCCTCCTCGTGCCGCGCCCCTATGTACGCGTCTCGGCGGTACGGAACGCTAATCTGCCGCTCCGCGCACCAGCGTGCCGCGATCTCACCGGCGAGCACCATCGAATTGCTCACCAGGGCCGATCCGTTGCTTGACTCCATGCCGACGTGGATATAAGGATCAGCCGGGATAGCAATCTCGTTGGCGGCAGCCGTAGACGGGTTGGCGTCAAACTGCACCGAGACGGCCGGTCGTGGGAAGAAGTACGGCCAGGCTCCCTTCTCCAGCCGCTTGTCCTTGACTGCCTTTGTAAGCTCGTACAGTAGTAGCACGTCATCCTGCTGCGCCTTGTCCAAGTCCTTGGCCAGTACCATTGTCCGCTCAGTCTCGTAGTCGGAGCCATCTTGCTTTTGTCCCACTGCGAGCTCCGTGCCTTGCTCAATCTTCGGCCGCGGCTCTAAACAAAATTGTGACACATCCTCCGGCTCCATATAGACAACGTTGCGCAGTGTGCTCGGCTCAATCTTGTAATCAAGCACGTTGCCACGGCGGTTCACCTTTGCGCTAAACGTAAGTGCTGGACAATCTTGCCGCAAGGAGTACTCCTCCACGAGGCTCCTCGATGCGTTATCACCATCTGTGCCCCCAAGCTCAGCTGGCAGCATGGCTTGAAAGTGGCCGGGAAGGTAAATGTTATCCGGGATGAGCTCCATGTACTTGCAAAGCTCCGAGTTTGGCTTGATGCCAGACGCCGGATCAGCTGCGTGTACATGAATCCAGAATTCATCTGCAACATCAGTCCGCTCCACCGAGATGCCATCATCAATGACCCTCGTAGTCGCAGCGTCAATGCAGAATACTGGAGCAGTAACGTCCTGACGGGCACCAGCGGCAATATCAGGCCGCCTCGATGCCTCGACGTTTGGCTCCTCACGCTTCAACCCTGCACCGGGTACAATCTCGGTGCCAGGAAAGCGCACCTTGTAGCGAGATGGGATTTCCCAAGGCATGATGTGCCCAATTTCTTGCAGAAATGCCCACGCTGTTGTCTGATTAAGGGGCATATTCTCGTACACACCGAGTGCCCTCAAGATCATAGCACCACTAGAGTGCAGTCGCGCACTTGATTCAAAGAGGCCATAGCTGGCCCATAACTCAAGAAATAGTATAACGTCTTTGCTGATGGGCAGCCATTGCAGTTTCGAAATTGTACCACCATTGGATGGAGTTAGAATTCCGTATGGAGTAATGCCGCGGACCTTGCGGCTATTTTGCACAGCAGTGCGGGCTTGTTCGATGAACTTGCTCAATGACGCTTTCTTCATCTCTGCATCGCTGCCAATGACTGTGCTCTTGGACATGGCAACAGTGTATTGCCGCACCAGCATATTGACCTTCTCGACGATGCTAGTTTGGTCCAGTGGAAAGACTTCGTATAGCTGATCTCGTCGGTGGAGCGCTCGGGAGGAGCTGACGGGTTGGAAGCCAAACTCATTTCGGGTCAATGCCAAATGTACGGCGTACAGCGCTGGCGCAGGGACTTCACCGTCCACTTGCATTGACTCGGGAAGCAGCGTGTTTGCCATCTGGAACAGGCTCATATATCGAACACGATCGGTAGAAGCGAGTTCTTTGTGTGCTGCGTCGAGGTTTGCGAGATTTCGTTGGTATACAGCCTCGGCAGCAACGCGGAAAGCGTCCATCTTCTCAATCAAGGCCCGTGCATCTTCTCGCGACGGTCCGCTCTCTTCGTCCTTCATTTTCTCGAAGCCCTCGACATTTGTATCTGACGATAACTTGGATAGGATGGGCTCTAGCTCCGCAGGCTTGACAAAATTGGACACGGTAAAGAGTGAAGAGAATCCCCGGGTCATATTCCAGCTACCGTTGGAGGCATAGAAGTGGTTTCTATCACCGTAGTAGCCGAGATAGATGGCCAACAGCGGCATACGAGAGCCAGAGCTTTTCAACTCAACAAGGTCACCTGGTTTTGAAATATCTGTTCCCACAATCGAGTGCTCATCGCGTCCAAGATTAAATTCCATTGCTGAGCCGGTTTCGGACCCAGCCGGTCCGGCTCTTAGATTACTCAAGTTTGTAGCTTTGGATACTTGAGTACGACTCATGCTATTGGACATGGTGTTGTAAAGATTGGCGTCTGTAAGCATCTTGGGCGCCTTTTTGCTTTCATTTTCCAACACCCAGTACTGCAGCCTCTCCCTCACGGGCAGTTCGGCTGTACGCTCTGGGCTGGGAGTTACTGAAGACGGAATGTTGTCTTTTCCGACACGATGGGTCTTTCTCTCATTTGTTCGGGTTGAAGCCCAATTCTTGAATATGGTTAGTTCATTCTACCATGCAGCCTCAGCGCAAACGTACCACGGAGCGAGTCAACAGACGTGGTGACTTCGCACCTCTGGGTCGCCATAGTGGCGGCTGAGGGAGCTTTCTACATGTCTGGCAGACAAATTGCCCGCCAGATATGCGTAACATTTCGAGCTGGCCAATACTGTGACCTCAGGGAGGATGGTTTGGCATGTCGTCAAAAATCTACCCGCAAAATACAGGGGGATGGGAGGGGATCACGTGACCCGTGTCGCCCGTTTGATTTGGCAGTTACGGCCAACATCAACCGTTATCCATCTACTAGGTTATTCTCCTCGGTACTAGGACATTTCAAATGGCATTGCCATCGTCAATTTTCGCCCGTGGACTTCACTATCAAGCATAGCGTGGCCGCCGATGTTTGCTGAACTGTGCAAGTGATTTTCAGCTAGGTCGATCTCCCACAGTACAGAGTACAGTACAGGTACGGAGTAGCAATTGCCTCCTTTTTCGTTATATTTGGGGTGGGCGCGTAACGGCTGTCATGTTTCACAGGCACGATAGAGATGGCATATCAAGGAGAAGGCTGCAGATGAAGAAACATGTACGGATACATGGGCCGCACGTTTGCATAATATCCGGATGGGGTTCTCGACCAAGCCAGCAATACGAAGCGGCCGGGGTCACTTTGGCTGGCAGCTAGCACGATCAGGGGCGCCCGGGTCTTGATCGGAGCTTATTATAATAGACAGGATTGTGGCAGTGAGCGCAATAACTGCTGGGTATCTGGGATCTGGGGCCATTGCAGGGTGAGCGGGCGCGAACAGCCGTCCATGATGCTGAGCCACACAGAATCGAGGATTCGTCAAATGATTAACACGACGGTGGGCTAATTTCGTCCTGAGCTAGCTCTCAAGCTTGCATCTCCGAGTGGGGGCTCACGCAGGTACACCCGCTGGCTTGCGAATAGCACTTGATTGTTATGCTGACCTGGACAGTGCGCCGAGCCTCGACAATCATTCCTGTCGAGCGTGGATGGCGACAAGGAGGTCGCGACGTCTTCGACTACCCCGGGAGATCATCTGATATTTGCTTTCTGGGTACGGGAACAGGGAGCATGATAGACAGCAACGTGCAAAACTGGAAGGGCTTGCTTGGGAGTACACCGCATAACTACGGGGTAGTCGAGAGAGAATAATGCACAGGCAAGCGGCAGGGGCATAATATTTGCGATGCCAAATATAGCGCCGCACCAGCCTCGTATGGCAACAGCGCCGGAGAATAACAAGCCACAAGTCAACACCCCAGCTCGGATTGTCGGGCAACGACACCTGAAAACTCTTTACAAATTCTGCACCGGAAGCCTCTTTGCCACGTCCCGACGGAGGACAAGAAATGCCTCTTGGTTCCCTCAGGAAACTACATTGTCAAAGTACGGGCACAGGCTGTGTGAGTCATGTCAGTCAGTCTCTCAGTGTCACCCAGACAGACTATCAAAAAGCTGCAAATCAAGATAGGCTGGTCGTAGAAGACAGGATTGCAAATAATTCTCACCAGCCACATCTGGACTCGATCGATGGCCCGAGGTGGAATCTTTGACCTCGTATTTCTGTCAAGACAAGATGTGCACATTTTTGAATTATGCAGTCTCCTGAAGAGCCGAGCAGGCTGGTCAGGCGTGACACCAGTGACAGCACACCGCTGATGGGACAACACAATGAGAAATGATGGAAAATAGTACGTTCAAACAAAGGCCGCTACTGGTAGGCAACGTCCCACAACCTACCTTATTTAAAATTAATTAATGCCCAGGGAGCCCACCACAGCCAGCGGCAGGACGGAGGGTCTAGCGGATCCTTGCCTAACAAGGTTCGGCTTCACGCGCTTGGGCAAAACCTGTTCCTGACTTTGCCTCATTTGGCACGCTAACATTGTGTGTCCTCCTCAAGCCGAGGAGAGCTTGGACGGGCTAACAAGAGGCAAGGAGAGGGACAGGTGGTTGGTTGGTAGCGTAGCCCTGGCAGGGCGAAGGTTGGGAGGTGTTGCGGCGGTCAGAAACGAAACGGACAAGGGAAAAGGTGGATTATACAGGTGAGAAAAAAAAAAACAAAGAACAGGGAACGCCTGCAGCAGCGCGATACGGATGCAGAGCCGACGGGTTTTGGGCCTGGATGGATGAATGATGACAATCTGCGCATGGTGCTGCGTACGGAGTACTGGTACAACCAAAAAGTCGCAGTCAACATCACATCGGGCCGTGAAAAAGGGGATAACACGAAGCCCGATCCATCTCATTTCCCCAGGCAAATACGGCTTCGGTGGCAGCCAGCCATTCATTTCAACAACTGCCCCGGCTCATGACAGAGTCGCAGCGCGAATACAAATAGTGGCAGAGGGGGGGGCTGACAGGTTGCGGCGTAATCTGCAGCAGCCAGCGAACGGCAAGCCTGCAGACCAGAAAGCCCCTTTTGAGTGGCGGCGATGGCAAATTAGCAGTACGAATAGCAGATGGTCGGCTCTGTTCTGGTCCACCCCCTAATAACTGGAGGGCACGGGAATGCTGCCGCCCGTTTCTCTGTCTGCTAGGTTGGCACTACCAAGGTCCAAGAGGCTTGGCCTGCCAAGTTGGCCAAGGCCAATGGGCAGCAGGCGGCAAGCCATGAATGTATCCGTACTGTATGTAGGTATGTATGTCTTTGTTCCTGTTCCTGAATGGAGCAGATATGGAGGCATGTCTCACAGGCTGGGGTGAGCAATTGCTGGCGCTGAACCAAGTGGGACGCAGCTCCAAGAGGCACAACACCAAGCATGGATCCCAGGCAGGGATTCCAGGCATGGATCCGTCTGCTCCGACCACCAGATTCGTGAACCACGAGCTGGAAAATCCACTCTGCCAGTGCCATCCCTGCTTGGAGCTGGGGGCTGGCCGAGCGAGAGCAAGCCAAGGCAGGTCGGTGCCTGTCGTCGGTACAGGCGAATTGGCTGATTGATGAAGCCCAAGGCTTCTCCCCCTCTCTCCCCCCCCCCCGAGTCCAGAGCCTGAGCCGTGGCCGCTACCATTGTGCTGTGCCCACGCGCGCTCAGGTCTCACTCACTCTCACGCAGGATAACCCGTAGCTAATTAATTGGTACTAGCAATCAGAATACTGATAATAATAACTGGTCGCCCACCTGCCGCCTCTCCCGCTCGTTCCCCTTCTTCCCTCTCCTCCTCACGAACCATCTACACACACTTCGAGGTCGTAATTGAAAGCTCCCTGCAGCCTTTCGTCCTTTCGTTCCCTTCCTTTCTACCCTATTACCGCTTCACTCCTTTAGCGGGCATTCTTTTTTCCTTTTCACGACTCACTCGAACAGGTTTCAACCACGATGAAGGCCACTTTCTTCGCCGCCGCTGCGGCCATGGCTGGTGCCGCCAGCGCCGCCAACCACCGTCACGCTCACCAGATGTTCGCTAAGCGCGGCCACGCTGCCAGCACCGGCTTCCCTCTTGCGCCCACTGGTGAGGTCTGCCTGCCTGGCTGCACCACCATCTGGAAGACCATCACCGGCGAGGCCACCCGTACGTAGATTCTCGTCCCTCACGATTGATCGCTTGGCGCTCGCCGCGACGGCGTCAAGATGGCGCAAACAACTAACACCCCAGCAGTGGTCCCCGTCACCGTCACCACCGTGACCTCGACCTCGACCAACACCTCGACCGTCCGCATCACCCCCAGCCCGACCTCCGTCTCGGTCCCCGTCCAGACTACCACCGTCGTCGTGGTCCCAACCCCCGAGGTCCAGCGCTGCCCTACGCCCGGCACCTACACCTTCCCGGCCACCACCCTGACCGTCACCGACACCACCACCGTCTGCGGCGCTACCACGACCAAGGTTCCCTCCGGCACTCACACCGTTGGCGGTGTTACCACAGTTGTCACTACCCAGACTACCGTTACCTGCCCTGTCGCTACCGTCGTCACCTCTGGCGGCGTCACCACCAGCACCATTCGCATGACCGAGTACGTCTGCCCTACCGCTGGTACCTACACCATCGGTGCCCACACCACCGCTTGCCAGACCGAGACCGTCATCGTCTACCCTACGCCGACCACCATTGCTCCCGGTACCTACACCAAGCCCCAGGTTGTCGTGACCGCCACCGAGACCGACTACGTCACCGTCTGCCCCTACACCAGCTCCGGCCTTCCCACCGCCACCCCTACTCCCGTCGCCGTCAGCACCCCCGTTCCTGCTCCTGCCAGCAGCTCCGCTGCCCCCAGCCCTGCTGCCCCCAGCTCTGCTTCTCCCAGCGCCGCCGCTCCTAGCCCCTCCGCTCCCGCCCCCGGCAGCAGCAAGACCGAGGTCAAGGGCACCAATGACCATTACGCCATCACCTACGGCCCCTACGTCGGTTCCACCGGTGCCTGCAAGTCCAAGGCCCAGGTCGAGATTGACATTGCCTCCATCAAGGCCGCCGGCTTCCAGGCGGTCCGCATCTACGGCACCGACTGCGACACCCTCGTCAACGTCGTCCCCGCCTGCGTCAAGCAGGGTCTCCAGGTCATCGCCGGCATCTTCGTCAAGCCCGGCCAGCAGTGCTCCATCAACACCCCCGACGTCAAGAAGCAGGTCGACGACCTCATCGCCATGAACAATTGGGACGTCATCCGCCTGCTCGTCGTCAGCAACGAGTCCATCATGAACGGCGTCTGCTCCGCCTCTGCCCTCGTCCAGCTCATCAAGGACGTCAAGAGCGCGTGCCCCGGCTACCAGGGCCCCGTCACCGTCGCCGAGACGCTCAACATCTGGCAGCAGCAGGAGGTCGCCGACGCGCTGTGCCCCCTCGTCGACGTCGTCGGCGCCAACATCCACGCCATCTTCAACCCCAACGTTGACGCCTCCGGCGCCGGCGACTTCGTCAAGAAACAGATGGACATCCTCAAGGGCATCTGCAACAAGAACGTCATCAACCTCGAGACTGGCTGGAAGAACAACGGCCCTTGCAACGGCAAGGCCTGCCCCGGCGCCGACGACCAGAAGAAGGCCATCAGCTCCATCCGCAAGACCTGCGGTGACGCCTCCGTCTTCTTCTCCTTTGACGACGAGGGCTGGAAGCCCGCCGCCGACCAGGCTTGGGGCCTCACCGCCGTCTTCAACTTGGCCCAGCAGTAGAGGAAGAGCAAGCCATCTTGCGAAGCCCATAATTGGACATGCCTGCCAACGCCCCCCAAACGCCCTCCCCTGAGGGCCCCTTGTTTATAATAGCGTCAGCGGCCTGCACATTTCTTCCGGATGCTTGCTTTGCTGCCAATTTTGTATAATGCGGTAACAGCCTCGTCAAGTTATATATATATTAAAACTTTTTTTTTTCATCCCGTCCCAATATTGGTTTGAAGGATTTTGCTTCTTTTTTTGAATTGCGGAAGAGCCGAGTTTTGACTTAATTCTAATGAAGCCTGTTTTGTTAAAGCCTCTTGCCATGCGCTCGTGCTGTAACAACCTAAAACTAACTACATCTTCATGCTCTGCCCTGCCTTGCCTTCGTAGACAAAGGCCTTGTTTTTGTTGTAGTGCACGGTGACCTTGTGTCTTGCTTTATTCCCAGCCAGCCCGGTCCAGACGGAACTCGACTAGCAAACGCGCTCGCGTTTGTGTTTACCCCCCATTGTTCAACGTTTTTAACTTTCTGGTATGGTATGCCATGTCGACAAACAAACGCATTCCCACTTTATTAGTTCATCAACCTAAGAATGAATGGAGTGATTCAGTCACCTTCTCGCACGGGTGTCTCGTTTGTCTCTTTTCCCTTTCTGTTTGTTTGCCCTATTTTCTATTTTCTTTTTGGCTACTGAAATTTTCGTTCTTGTCCTTTGGTTTTAGTTCCATCCGACCAATGCTCGTCCCGTCGTGTATGAACAAAAATGTCTTGGCTTAGGTTGAAGGGGCCGGGCGGACGAGGGGAGACCAACTTGGTTGTCACTCTTGCCTGCTTGCGTTTTTTTTTTCTTCTTTCATACTCACCCTGGTAACAACGCAAGGGGAGTAAGGATCTACCAAACCCGAGCATGTACCCCGTAGAGAGTTGAGTTTGAGGGTGCTCGTGCCAGGAGGGTGTTTCAGTCCCAACAACTACATGCACCATGCTACACTGAGATCGAGGCGAAAACGTGCAAAAGAAACGACGGCACCAGTCCGGTTCGGGTTTTTTGGTAATTCTTTTTCTAATTCAACTTCTACCACAGTGAAGAAGAAAACAGACCTTTAGCCACCTGCAAGCACTTCATCCTTAACAGGCGACGGACGTGTGATGTAGTAGAAATCTAAATGACGAAGGAAGGGAACAATTCAGGAAAACATAGACAAACAAATAACCCAGTTTATAGAAACCATCATATCAAAAGTGCTCCCTCCAGCTGCTGCAGAGATGAGAGATGATCCGACTGCGACCTCGCACTGTCGCATGCACCCCTTTGTTGTTAAATGGACAAGAGAAGAGGCGGGGGGGTAAATGGAGCAAAACGCCATAATAGATGCATAAGAATAGGTATACATCATCGTATACTACGTCATCCAAGGGTATAGGTGTTGTTGGGATAATGATAGGTGAGATATGCACATAAAATTAAAATATTGGGGGTATCTTGTGCATGGCAGGTGTCGACTCGGTATCAGGGAGCCACGAGTGACGGTTCGCCATGGCTTCCTCGTCGTAGCTACGCACAAAGCTGCGTCGCCCACGACAGCGCTGCAGCTGCAGGAGGCCGCCGCGATGTGTATCGCAGCACAGCACGTTGAGGTCTTGACCGTCATTGGCAAAAGCAACGCCGCCAATCTCGCCAAAGACATCAATCTCTTGTTTGTAGTGAAACATCTTGGCGTCGATAATGTTGACAAAGTCAGCCTCCTCGGCGGCAACCAGTACGGGCGGGCCACTCCCAAGAGGAGAGAAGCGCAAACTGCGGGCTCCCGCCATCTCCGTGCGGACCGTACACAGCGGCATAGAGACGCCGCTCGAGTTGCACCAGCGTCTCGCATCCCAGATCTTGACGGCCATGTCCTGGAAGCCCGTGGCCACGGTCCAGCCGTCGTCGGACCAGTCGCAAGCGAAGCCATAGTCGCGGTGGCCGCCAAGCTCCTGCAGCACCTCGCCTGTGTCGGCATTCGTGATAAGGACATTGAAGTGATCGCCTACCACGGTTCGCAGTCGTCTGTCTGGAGAAACAGCTGTGCAGTTGAGGGCAAACGGGTATTTCTTTTCTTGCACGACTTTTTGAGTTTCCAAATCCAGTAGTCGGAATCCGTGGTCGTTGCTCGCAATGGCTGCCGCAGGCCCACAAGAAAGTCGTGGTTTGTGGATTTTGATATGATTGGTGATGCCGCCGGGATCCGAAGTTATTTGACCTTCTGAATGGGCTTGCCTTTCTGGAGCGTCAAGACTCTTGATGTAATACTCACCATTGAACGTACCACACATAAGAACGCCGCAATCGGCATCGACAGTGGAAATGATCGCTCCAGCACCCGGGAAATCGCGCGTGTTCATGAAAGGTTCCGATTTTCTAGATGCTAAATTCATGCGCGCGATGCCCTGGGGTGTTGGATAATAGGCGTGGGTACGAGTCGGGCAGGCAAGAACGCTGCGAAGCTGAAAGTGAGCGAGGCAGACGTCTTTGCGAATGTTCATTCTCTTGAATCTGTAAAAGCTTTCGCGAGAAGACACTGTCTCAAGGGGTGCCTGCGGCGAGAAATAATTAGAAAAGGATAATTAAGAAGGGGCGGAAAGTGCTTGCCATCCACTTGTCTGAGCCCATTCTGTTGACATAGTTTCTATACGTGTGCTGTCGTCGCAAACGCGCAGCTTTGCGTGTAGTCTCCATAGAGGTCCAATTGAGTCCTTGAAAGTCATACTCGTCGCCTTTGAGCTGGGTGAAGTCAATCTCATCCGGCTGCTCTTGAGTTTGGCGCAGCAAGCCATCAAGTGCAGGTGGTTGAGATGGGCCAGCACGGCCATAGCGGCCCTGGAAGGCCCAGTCACGCAGGAAGTCGGCCAAGTCCAGGTTCTCAGAACCGAGTATACTGGGAATCGCGTTGCTGATGGTCAAATTCTGGTCGGTGATGAAGGCGGGTAGAGGAACCCAGTTGGGTGGCGGTTGTGGCAGTGGCGGCAGGTTGGCAAGGTCAGTAGGGCCAGCAGGCATGCTAAAGCTCATGGGTTGGACCGGCATCGGTTGCTGACCATGCTCAACGGAGACATCGGGAGGGCTATTCTGCAAGAAGAAGGCGTTGCCGAGATGAGGGAACAAAGGCAGAGGTGCAAAGTGCGCCATTGGTGGTAGGGAGTTTGGATGCGGCTGTGGAAGTTGCATTTCATCGTCGCTATCGTCATCTTGGCTGTTGTCGTCATCATCGTCACCATCATCGTAGTCTTCCTCATCTGAATCGGAAAGATACTCGGATCCTGGTTCGGGGGTTGGCAGGGTATTGATGATTTGATGGGCGCGAGCCGGGGCGACCAACGGCAGCGGAGCGCCACCAGTTTCGTATTCGGTGTCAGATTCTTCAACTTCGCTGTCGGTCATTTCGACGTCGGACTGGGCATCGTATTGCGAATGCGATGACTGGTGTGTAGGCTGGGCATGGCGGCTGGAAGAAGAAGCCGCGGGCCCGTCTATTGAGGTCGCTGTCATGAGAGCGGCGCTGTTGGCTTGGGACGATGCGCCGGTAGGAGGGGAAAGAATACGGAAGCGGGCAGAGGGTTTCCGCGATATGGCGCCGTCGGTGGTACTGGCGGAGGACTCGGGGTCAGAGTCGGACTCGTCTGCGTGGTTGTTTAGGCGGCGACGTTGGCAGGCGGGTTGGGTGTCATCCTGTTGATGGTTGTCGGGCGGTACTCGAGAGGTATGCGAGGACGAAGGTCGCATGGCCGGGGGAGAAGGAAGCAGGCCGAAGGAAGCAACTGACAGGCAATAAGTTTATGTCATGCGGCAGGCCAGGCGGAGGAAATTGGTCGCAGTTGTCGGTCGGGCTCGGGTAAGCTTGAGGTCGACATCCACGGGAATCAAGGTGACAGCGCCGCTAGTCTTTTATTTTTTTTATTTGGGAAAAAGAAAAAAAAAGAACGATGATGGCTTGCTGGTGCGTGGTGGTGTCGAGCGATGAATTAGTGGCGTGCGAGCAACCGTTTCTCGCTGAACCTGAACGCAGGGTAATCTGTTTTAGAAAGGAGGATTGATGGCGTTGAGGATGTTCCGGGGTCAGCGGGTTCTAGTATTAGTAGTAACTAGGTAGGCGGGCAATCAGGCTTCCTTTTCGATGTTCGGTATGGGGTGTGTGGAGGAGGCGTGCTTGTGTCAAGCTGTGTGCGCGGTGAGGCGTCAAGACATATAGGATGACGTTGTAATCTGGACCTCCCTCGGCGATGAGTAGGGAGAAGTAGTCAACGATGATGGATCAGACAGCAGAGAGAGCAGAGGGGGAGTCGTGAGAGAGACTGAGGATGAGGGTGTGAGGACTGCAGTGGCAGTTAACTTAGTTGGGAGGGAGGGAAGGGTGGAGTTGGGGGGGGGGAGCGGACGCTAGCCTGGTGAGAAGTACTTAAGGGTACTGATATGGGCGTGTTGCTGTCACGGATAGAAAAGTATTGCTAGAGTATCCGGAGTGATGGGAGGAAAGCCACAGGGAAGCCACAATTGAGGTAGGGAAAAGGCACTCCGACTTCGTATGGTTGCCGCGTTGGGGGCCTTGTCTGAGAGATACTGATGTACATACATACAACCTTTCCCTTTCCAATTCTGTTCCTCACTCGGGGTGTGCCAGTAAAAAGAAAGTCAATCACGTCTGCATCGATAGATACACAAGTAAAGTGTCAAGTACGGTACAGAACTGTGTTCTTAGTAGGAATAGTCAGCTACCCTACGCCTATGTATGTATGTATGTATGTCCTGGAATTATTGCGGCGTGCGAGTGCAGCCAGCCCCAACTGTAGTCCGCTTCCCTGTTACACCTGCAACACCCAACGGCCATGCCTTGGAAAGAAGTACCTTGGCGCCGCGGTGGCCACCGCCTCACTGAACGAGGGAGGTACTTTGCCCAGTACACTCGCCGCACGCCCCTCTTACCCTTGCTCTCCCTCCGCCTGCTTCCTACTTCACCTATTCGACTCCTCTCGTTGCACCGCTTGGATGATATCAAAACCTGAAATAACGAGTCAAAGAGCTTTCCCGTCAATAATCATGCTATCCGTACCTCGTCCTCCGTCACTGCTGCCAACCGACCCGACAGTACTCCCCAGCACCAGCATCCTCACAACAAACGCCCGCGCCGTTGTGACTTGGCGCACACAATCGAGAAAATCTCGATGCAAAAGGTTGCCTATCGTCTCAAGGAACCCATTAGTCGCCAACTAGTGGCCTTGCGCCGGTAAATAAATGGTCACTCCCGGGTCCCCTAGCGGATTACTGAATCAAACTGACCTTCCTATCACTCGGAACTTTGAGGTACGGAGCACTCCGCGCCTCAAATTGCCAAGATTCCCTCCATCACTGCTCTCTCGATCGTCCGTAGGTTGGCACTGGCCGCCATGGCTTGCTCGCACCCAGTTACTGGACGGACCATGCCGATAATCAGGTAGCCTCGGCTCTTCTACAATGGGAAATTGAATCGCAATGCGCTTGCTACCACCGAGTTTTGTCAATACTGATACAGTTCCCTCGGATTACCCAGTCTGTCGCAGCAGCCCTTGGCTTGCAAGCAGAGGGTGGTCTGTCGGTCTGTCCAGCGAAAAAAAAAGCACGATTCTGTCTTATTGTCGAACGCAGTTCAGTGTCCTCACTGGCCATGCAAGCAATGGCTTACATGCAGCTGCCACTGCAAGCCCCCCAAAGGCCGGCGCCATGCATATCCAAACGAAGCTCCACGCTGTCAGTCAATTAATAACGGCACGACTTGGTGCTGCCATTATTGAGCGCGCTCGCCGTCCCAGCAACCATCCATTGTGCAGCATCTGACCAGCCGGAGAGAGCCATAGGTCCCCTGCCATCTTTTGCTCATGATCGAACCCATTGAAACACCAGACGACGCCCGCAAGCATCTCAGCAATCGGAAACTGCTCGCGTGTTGCCAAGCCTGTGTTACAGGTCATTTCCAGTTTCTTTCGGCCCAAAAACACGCGGGTGCCCGAGGGCCGCCTGCAAAGAAACACCTCAAAACTTACACATCATATTGCCAGTGCGGGCCCGCTATAAAGAATAAGGACACAGCTGCCTCGTTTCTGACATGTCCCCTTGGTCCTACGGCATCCCTACTGTTATTCCAGCCCAGTGGCGTCTCGCCTGTGGGGATGGTGTCATAGTGTGTGTGGACTGCCAGAGGGAGGGTCTGAGCTACTCAGTTCAAGCCTTGCTCACCATACGAATGTGTATTCCGTAGGCTCGTCGGATTTATCAGCCACCAACATGTCAATGCCCTTCGCTGCCTGTGCTGTCACTATACAACGTGGGCCGAACTGTCGCTGTCGCTGTCGCTGTCGGATGCAATTGCACGTCAACACCCCAGCAATGGCTTTGTATTCTTGGTGTCGTACCCATCCCCTGACCGGCGTTATCTCGATCATGGCAGTTCAATCGATTCTGCATCCCCCGCCATATGATATGAATCGTGCGGATTCGTGCCCACAGCACATTAGCTCCAACAGACTGGGGCCGATCCAGACGTCTCAAAATTATTGTCGAGCAGTCGTCCTTCCGCAATCAATTGAAAGGGGCTTTATTAACCACGCTATTCCGTCTCTGAGCTCAGAAGTGGAATGCGGTATGGACCGTCAGCAAACCTGCCCTGCGTCAAGGTTCGGCGAGACGGCGAGACAAATCAGATTTCTCGCAAACAGTCTTTCTGAGAAGCAAGTCTATCAAATGGCTGCCCATTCCGCAATCACGTTGAGAAACGGGCGGTTTACGCTGGCAATCCGGCGATGCCAGTCATGCTTGTGGGAGCTCACCACTGCTGCTTTGGACCAGTGCTCAGTCCCGAAAGCGCTTTATCAATTGTCCTGGTCCCGGAGCGCCACAGGTTCTGTCTTGCTTTGGCATTTTGTGAGAGATGATCTATCCGCGCCTCATATCTACACGCCCCCAACTGGCCCACCGAAAGGGGGTATACCTATGAGGTATATGTCGTCCCCCGAATCAAGAAAAAGCAGACCGCTAGTTACATACATACATACATATCCAGCTCGGAGAGAGAAATGCAGTGGTTGACCACATCGGAAAATCAGAATGCCATTTGACGACAGCTAGTTAGCTCGAGCTCTGCATCCGCCCTCGTCACATCTCAGCCAACACGGCGGCTACAAATTACAGGCTTGTCTCGTCGACCGACTACTCATATCTCATGTCTGACAAGACCAGCATTCTTCTTTCCCACAAACAGCAGAGAAACCAGGGGAAGAAATGTGGCAAGGTATCATCCCAGGCTGTCATCGACGGGCGAGCTACTGCCCTGTGACACGCCCATCACAGTGCAGCCGCGGCGACAGCCAGCGCTGTGCATCCAACACCACGCACTCCAAGCAAACATTCGGAGTTGGCATTGCGACATGGCAAGAAGAGCGTTGGCGCACAAATTGCGCCGTGATGTGACACATCATCAACGTTGCTCTACATATTCCTCGGGGCCGTCTATTGCCACCACCCACTTTTGCTCCGGTTCAGCAGCCAGTCAACAGCCCAGTACGTCTCTGCACCTCGGTGTCTATTTGTATACATGGTGCCCTTATTTCTAATGCCGAGGCGATGTGTTGTGTGCGCGCATGATGAGCCACTTTATTATCATCATTATGAAGCAACACCAGACCCTTAGCCTGCCGAGTCCGTTCCGCATCATGTACGGAGTACGGGTATCGGATACGGATGCGTGATTCTGATCCGTTTGCCGTCGTTGCGATTCCGATCTTTCAGCCTCTCGTCTCTTCAAGAAACAAAGAAAAGACGCTTTCAACGGTGCTGCAGCTGGATCCCGGCTCTCGCCATAGGTGTTACCCCAGGACAAAGCTCCGCCAGCACCGTTGGCACAACCAGTGCAGCCTCATCTCTCGCAGCGACTCACACCCTGAACGATCCTTGATCCTCCTGGCGCCATTCACGCCACGCCCTCATGCCACACCCTCTTTACTACCCTGCGCGTCGTCTCTCCTCCATGGCTTATTAGCCCATGGCGTTGAGGAACGGTCTATGGTTCTTCTTGATCGTCGGACTTTTAACTACGGTCAATTTTATTATTTGTCATACACCATGGAGGAAAAATAATATCAAGGTACCAAACAGGACAAAAATTCCCGACTCCCAAGTGCACACCGACGAACACCACCAACCAAGGCGTCACCAGTTGTTGTACATCGACGGTGGACTGCATCGCAGTTTCCCCTCCTCACTGTAAGAAATATTCCCCGCGGGGATCCTCCAAGCTTCCGCTCGGAACACGCCGCCCTTCCTCAAGACAAAAAAGAAAAATACCAAAGCTCGTAAACCCCTGCCAGCCGCTTCAAGACATGGCGCACACTAAAACTACCACCACGCCTCAGATCGCCAGACCATCAAAGACGAGGGACATACCCCCCTTATTCGGTGTACGTATATTGACTCTGGATGTCACTGGTCTGTACGGGCCATGCAAGCATGCTTTCTTTTTCTCTTCGCTCAAGCAGAGCAGTTGACATACGCCAACGGACAACTTTCTGGATTTATCAGGCCCCATCGCAGCCCAATGTCCCATCCCATCTTTTACTCAAACGCGTGGCTCGCTCCCCCCCTCCCCCCGTCTTTGCCCGACGCCGTGGCGTCAATAATCGTTTGCTGGTATGTTCCTTCACGTGCCTAGAACATTTCGGATTGCCAGATCTGAACTGTGAATACTACGTACGAATATGCAAACGCCCGGCGAAGCAAAAGTCAGGTTCAATCAGCTGTGTACACAGGATTCCATCGTAGCTGAACAACAGGAAAGGAGGAGGGGGAAGGAGAGGTGGAGGCGTTGAACGAGAGAATGGCCATCATAGCACAGGCAGGTTTGTTTCGTTTCTCTTTTCTTCTCTTCTTCTTGTACCGGATGTCTTATCACTACTCCGTACATGCTATATTTGTCCTACCCGCCGCCCTTTTTCATCTCATAAAAAAAAGCCGAAAAACAATCATGAGACACCCCACGTCCTCTTCTATACACACACACATATATGTAGTCTTGCAATGCCTAGATTTATTCATCGCCCTTACAACTTGTTGACGCGTCGCCTCTCCTCCTTGAGCTTGATCATCTGATCCAGCGCGTCCTGCAAGGGGACCAGCTCGCCCTTGCTCTGCGTGGCCTGATCGTCGCGGTTACGGATGTTGACTGTGCGCGATTTTTCCTCTTCGGCGCCGACGACTGTTATGTGAGGTTAGCGTTGCCGTTCGTAAGAGGCAAAAGAAGTTTGATATGGAAGGAAAGGCGGAGAGGGGGGAGATGGGATTGACATGGATAGTTATCGAGGACGTACCGAAAATAAAGTTATACTGCTCCAGCTGGCCGGTTCGGATCTTCTTCTGGAACGTGTTTCCGCTGAGGTCGACGTCCACGTACAGGCCCTTGGCCTTGAAGATGGACTGCACCTCGACGGCGTAGTCGTTGACGGCGGGCATGATGGGGACGACGAGGACCTGGCGGGGGGAGAGCCAGAAGGGCCACTTGCCGCCAAAGTGCTCGGTGAGAATGGCGAACATGCGCTCGACGGAGCCGAGGATGGCACGGTGCACCATGACGGGCCGGGCGTAGCCGGCGGGCAGGTCCAGCTCGTCCTCGCCGCCGCCCGGCGCGTCCTCGTCCTTAGCGGCGACGTAGCGCAGCTTGAAGCGTTTCGGCAGATTGAAGTCGAGCTGGATGGTGCCGCACTGGAACTCGCGGCGGAGCGCGTCGTAGACGGTGATGTCGATCTTGGGTCCGTAGAAGGCACCATCGCCCGGGTTGATCTCCCACTTGCTGCCGACCTTGGAGGTGAAGGCATCGAGCGCCTCGGTGAGCTTAGCCTCGGCCATGTCCCAGACGGCGATGTCGCCAATGTACTTTTCCGGGCGCGTGGACAGCTTGAGGCGGTACTCGAAGCCAAAGAGGCTGTAGATGGAGTCGAGGAAGTCGAAGCAGCCGACAATCTCATCGCGGATCTGCGCGACGGTGCAGAAGATGTGCGCGTCGTCCTGCTGGAAGCGGCGCACGCGAGTGAGGCCCGACAGCGCACCCGAGAACTCGTTGCGGTGGAGGACGCCAAAGTCGGCCATGCGCCACGGCAGGTCGCGGTAGTTGACGTCGGCGTGGCCAAAGATCTTGCAGTGACCGGGGCAGTTCATCGGCTTCATACCGTACTGCTCCTTCTCGACCTCAAACGTGAACATGTTCTCGGCGTAATGGCCCCAGTGACCTGACGTCTTCCATAGCTCCGACTTGTACACGTTGGGAGTCATGACCTCCTGGAACTCGCGCTTGCGGTACTCGGCTTTGATGACGTCCATGAGCGTGTTGTAGATGCGCGCGCCGTGCGGCAGGAAAAAGGTCGACCCGGGCGACACCTCGTCGAAGAAGAAGAGCTTCTGGTCCGTGCCGATCTTGCGGTGGTTGCGCTTGGCCGCCTCGGCCAGGAACGTTTTGTGCTCCTCAAGGGCCTTCTTATCGGGGAAGGAAACGCCAGCGATGCGCTGCACCGACTCGTTCTTGGAGTCGCCCAGCCAGTAGGCGGCGGAGCTCTGGGGAAGAACAGAAATCGTTAGTAAAAGGTGGCGGTTATTCTTGGGAATCCAAAGTATCATACTCGGAGGACGGCAAAGGCCTTGATGTTGCCAGTGTTGGGCACGTGAGGACCGCGGCACAAGTCAATAAGGGGACCGCAGCGGTAGACGGTGGACTTGGTGCCATCGGGCACGCGCTGCTGGATAAAGTATTCCTTGTACTTGCTGTACTTGAACATCTCCAGCAGCTCGTCCTTGGTCATCTCCAGACGCTCAAACGGCTGCTTCTCCTTGATTATGGACGACGAGAGGGTCTCCAGTGCCTTCTTGTCATCGTCGCTGACGACCTGTCTGCAGCGGCTGTTAGCATGCTTGCTACATATTCTTCCCCTCGCCCGCGTCCCCTTCGTCACACCAGCACGTAATTAATGCTTGTGGGACACACGCACCCTTCCATGTTGGCCATGTCGTAGTAGAAACCGGGAGGGTTCTCGGTCGGCGGGCCGTTGCAGAGGAAGCAGCCGAAGCGGCGCTCGCAGGCCTCGCCGAGGACGTGGGCAGACGAGTGCCAGAAGACCTTTTTGCCTAGACCCTAGCGTCAGCATTTCGTCCTCGAAGACGTTTCCAGTGTCCGTGTACCCTCGGTGTGTTCGAAATCGAGGAGCTCGAGCTTGCAGCTCTTCTCTAGCGGGCGGGTGAGATCCCACAGCTCGCCGTCGACTTGCGCAATGACGGTGCGCTCGACGAGGCTCTTGGAGATGCCCTTGGCAATGGCCAGCGGGGTGGTCTCCCACGAGGTTCCTTTGGTCTCGTTGCCATTGGGCATAGTAATGGTGATTTCCTCGCGCGGTTGGGCTGCAACATCGGTGTCAGCTACAATGCAAGCAACCCCCTCCCCCGCGGGTCACAGGTCGTTTTGGGCATACCAGCAATCTCGGCATCCTGTCTGGCCTTGATCTTGTCGAACAAATCGAGACGGTATTGAATGAACTCGGCGGGCTCGGGGCGCTATTTCACACACAACATCAGTATTCCCTCTTCTGGAAGGCGCGTCCCAGGCGTGTCACGGTACCTCGAGGCCGGCGTTCTTGTTGGGCTTGGGCGCCTTCTCCTTCTTCTCTTTGGGTCGGATGGGGAGCTCCTTGGAGGCGCCATCGGCCACCTTGGCAGCGTCAACCTTCTCGGACGGCATGGCGGGCAGACGAGGGCGGTGCGAAACGAGGAAAAAGAGCGGTGGAAGTGCTATTTGCAGGACCGTCAATCCGTGGAGGGGCAGCGCAACCCTTTTTTTGGGAGGGGAGTTGGGAGAGGTGGGGTAGATGTAGTCTGGGAGTCACACGGCAGATCCTCGGCGAAGGGATGTTTTTCAATAGAACTGGATAATGCTGTCTGAAATAGTATGTGTTGAATAGTTAATTATATAGACTTATTTAAAAGGTACGGGAGGTGTCGCATATGTGTTGTATTGGAGTTGAGTCAATGTGCCGAAATCGGTGGTGACTACAGACAGATGCTGTGAGATGAGTCCAGTTGTGACAACCACATATGATTCAGTGTTGACTAGCATACGGAATAAATCCCACCGAGACAGCAGGATGAAAAATCGTAAAATAAATAGCATCTTATGAAAGTTAGCGTCTAAGCATTATCAACATACCAGTCATACCTTGCAGGCAGCACTCCATCATGTAAGATGTTGTCCCGTGCCACCTCTCAATGAGTAATCGATCCCATGCTTTACTCCTAGTCATACGCGTTTATCAACCTTGTACGTTTATCAACCTTGTAGGAGAAGCGTGCCTTCGTAGTTGTCGCTTAGGAACTGGCCAGTCCGATCGGACATGATACCTCCATTCAGAAGATGGAAAGCGTTAAGTCACTGTTACCGCTTCGCTATTCACATCTAGAGCGTCGTCATTACACACACTGGGTCCCAGTAAATCGTAGTATTATAACAATGATGCTGTACATCGGGTATCATATCAAACGCCATCAACACACAAACAAAGCTCTCCCCTTCCCTTCCCTCCCCCACGCGCGTCTTCTTAAATGCCGTACCGCGTCACGCACTCCTCGCGGTGTGTCTCCAGGCAGTCCAACGCACACACCCTCGTCCCGCACTTGAGGCAGCGCACGCGGCCCCAATATCCGCACACCTCGCAGAACCCGCGCGGCGCCGGGCGTTGACCACGGCCCTCACCACCGGCCCAGTTGCCGCGGGCCTCGCCGTAGCTGAGCGGCGGCGCCGCCAGCAGCCGCCTCATCTCCGCGTCGGTCGGTAGCGGCGGCACGCGGCTCACGAGCAGCGGGTCGGTGTCTCCGGGGTGCGCGGCCGGTGGAGGGCGATGCGGCGCCGCCAGCAGCGTCGACGGCCGCCCGTCATCCGCCGCCGAGCCTTCACCCACGTCGGGCATTGGCGTGTCGCCACCGGGCGTGGCGGAGATGTCCTTGTTGCGTGCTGCGGCGCCGGATCGCTTGCTGGCGGCGGCGGCGGCCGCCGCCGCGTTGGCCTCGTTGAGCGCCTGCAGGGCGAGGAAGTCGTCGAGGTGGTTGGCAAACGTCTTTTGCGACTGTAGAATCTTGCGCACGTTGGCCGTGTGCTTTCCCTGTGCTGTATTTCCTCGTCAATAAGCTAACCAAAACCATTTTCTTTCCCTCCACAGTGTAGAGAAGGGGGGGGGGGCTCGGTCACGTACTGCGTCCGCTCTTCCCAGGAAGCGGGATCGTGGCGTCGCGCCCGCCATCGCGGTCCAGCGTCTCGAGCTCCTTGCGCGCCTTGGTCTCCTGCCGCGCCGTGAGGTCGCTGAGCGTGAGCCCGCCGCCGGGGGCGTTCCTCGCACGCTTGCGGTTCGTTGTCGTCGTGCTCGCGGCTTGCTGGGCTGCGAGGCGTGTGTCAGGGACGTACGCCCAGCCGGGCGCCGAGGTCGTCTTGGCCCCGGCGAGCTCAATAACCCCGAAGTTGTTCATGTTGTCCTTTTCGCAGGTTTTAAATCTGCATGATTCTTTTTTTGTTTTTTGATGTTGCACCCGTTCGAAACCGGGTTGTCGTGTGCCTGGTGGAAAAAACGTCCGTCAAGTCGGGCAAGTCAGCTTCTCAGCAGTGGAGAGCTGGCCCAAGCCGAGGGCCCCAATCAGCTTCCGTTGCGTTGCCACCCTTCGCTCCCCCAAACCCGAGCATCGCCTTTCCCTTCCTCCCAATCAGCCAGCGCAACCACCAACCTCTCCACGCCCTCGAACCGATTCGTCTACATACCACACACCTCCATAATCATGTACAGCGCCGCATCGAGAGTCCTCATGAGCCGCGCGGCCGTCGCCGGCCGCGGCTTCCACACCACCGCGCGTCGCATGGCCGACGCTCCTCTGGCAGCCAAGAAGCCCATGGGCGCGTTCCGCGGCGGGTGCGTCCCCTCCCTCTCCCTCTCATCACTCAATCTCGGACCGCAAAAGGAGACTAACACGATTTTTTTCCCCAGTCTGTTTGGCTTCCTCCTCGGATGCACCGTCGCCGGCAGCAGCGTCTACACCTATCTCGTGCAAGAGTACAAGACCTCCAACGACCTTTTGACCGAGGATATTTACGTTCGTCGGCCCCTTGTTCCCTATAAGGCCAATTACTGATGCAATTGCTGACATGATGGTAGACACTGCAAGCTTCCGTCACCCGATTGACCAACTACGTCAAGAACCTCGAGCAAATAGCTCAGGAAAAGAAGAAATAAAAGAGCGCAGGCCGGAAGAACACGGGAAGACCGGGAATGCTACATAGCCAGGCGGTTTCAATAACATTGACATGTGTAATTGAAGCTGCACAATTGTACAACATTACTGCAGAGAATATACACGGTTCATAAACATGGCAGACACGGCAGAGATGGCAGACAGCAGTGACGAAATTGCAGTTCGATTCGGAGTACATGATCTATTTTGATCCTCAATATGGCTTGACTCGCAGAAAACTATAAAATCATCCATCGGTGCAGCTGCGGCGACCGGATTAAACAAAAAACAAAATCGTAAACATTCCCATTTTATGATTTGACTAATACATGACCATTTACAGTTCGTCGTGGTCTTCCTCCTCGGCGGCGGCGGGCTCCTCTTTGGCCTCGGAGGCAGCGGGAGCGGCCTCCTCGGTAGGCTCCTCCTTGATGGTGACGCTGGCCTTGTACTTGCCGTTCTCCTTGATGAACTCGATGAGGTCCTCGGGGGTGCGGGCGCCGTTGTAGGTGACGGGGTTCTTCTTGTCGCCGGCGGGGTAGAGCTTGATGGTGGGGAAGCCGGAAATGTCGTCGGGGACGTCGTTGAGGGTGGCGTCGACCTTGGCGATGGTGACCTTGTCCTTGAACTCGGACTCCTGGAAGGCGGCGCCAAGCTGGTCGTACTTGGGGGCGAGGGCCTTGCAGTGGCCGCACCAGGGGGCGTAGAACTCGATGAGCACGTCCTTCTTATCATCAAGGACAATATCCTCGTAGTTCTTGGCGACGACGACGGTGACGGGGCCATCCTGGGACTCGGGGATGGGCTCCGACTTGATGCTGGGCTCAATCTTGCCGGCGACGTAGTCAGCGACAAACTTGCCAATGGACTTCTCGGTAATCTCCTTCTCCTGGTCAAAGGGGAACTTCTTGTTGCCCTCAATGTCCTGGATGGCAAAAGCGGGGAACTTGTCGGTCTTCAGGTTCAGGTTGCCGGCGTGGGCACCAAAGGACTTGGCGTCAATAGTACCGAAGTTGACCTTGCCCTTGTGCTTCTCAGCAACAGCCTTGAGAGCCGCGGTGAGCTCGGTACGCTCCTCCTCGGTCTCGGCGAAGATGTAAGCGAGGGGAAGACCGGCGGCCATGTAGCCAGCGTAGGTCTCAGGGCCGATCTCGCCAATGAGGGGCGTGGCGGCGGTCTTGGCAAACTCCTCGATGGCATCGGCCTCGAACTTCTTGCCCTTGAAGACAGTCTTGCCCTCGTCGAAGCTCTTGTAGAGCACGACGGCGGGGGCCTTGACACCCTCAGCCTCGGCCACAGCGACGTCGGCGACGGAGCCAAAGAGGTAATCGTTGCGGTGCTTCTCAGCGACCGTCTTGAAGACCTCGGCCGAGGTTTTGTCGTCCTCGGCGACGTAGGCCACGACGACGACCTTGTCGGCCGTCTTGAAGTCCTCGAGTGTGTCCTTTTCGAGGGTGGAGACGGCGGGCAGGGACTGCTTGACCATGTAGGATGTGATGGCAGCGGCCTTGCGCTGGCCGCCGTAGGGGGAGACGTTGTCGAGGCCGCGGAAGACCTTGAGGGTGGGGTAGCCCTCGACGCCGTGTGTCTGGCAGAGGTCGGCCTCCTCAGTGCAGTCAATCTTGGCTAGCTTGATGTTCTTCTCCTTCAGGGTGGTGGCGGCCTCCTCATACTCGGGGGCGAGGGCCTTGCAGTGACCGCACCAGGGAGCAAAGACTTGAAAGAGGCGGCGGTGTTAGCGAACGTGCTGCGATTGCTGGACGAGGCGAGTGCAGGATTGGCGAAATTACTTACACTCGGCGAGGACCAGGTCATTGGCCTTGACGAAGTCGTCAAAGGTCTTGCCGGTGAGCTGGGTGACATCGGAATCGTCGGCGGCGGTGACGAGGCTGGCAAAGGCGGCGAAGAGGCCGAGGCAAATGCGCTTGTGCTGCATCTTGAATGTGTTGTGTGTGTGTGAAGTGTGAAACGAGGGGGGGGTATATGGGACAAATGGACAGGATGAGCGACACTGAACGTTGATCCAGATGTTGCGGAAGCAAGAAAGAGAAGGGACGGTCGGAGGTTTGGATGATTGATGGTAAATGTAGGCATGGGCAGGGCGTGGGGGAGGCTGGCATTGTGGGGAGCTGGGACGAGGCGCTCAATTGAACAAGTGTCCCTTTCCAATGGCGGCAAGACAGATCGCTGACCTGACGACTGAAGGGAGGGGCAACAAACAGGGTGCTAGAGTGCAGCCAGGGGGGCCGCGGGCTAGAGCGCTAACAGCTGCACTGTGCGACGGACCCAGGCACCGTGTCCAGCGCTGAGAGGCCCTGAAGTATTGACGTACATCAGTAAAGTTGCGCCAGCGGGGCCCACTAACTAGCAGCTCCAGCTGGCACAAACTCAAGGGAGCAGGCGGCCTTTCGCCACGGCGACTAATAACAGGTAGGCTACCATCGACGGACAGGTGGTACCTGGCTAATCATGCGAATTCCTTACCGCCCATATGTACCCGATGTCCCACACGGCCCTCCACTGACAAATCCAATGCTAACGGGTACCAGGTTCGACAAATAACTACTCACACATCAACAGGACAAAGAATGGTATTGATAAAGCTAATTCAAAGGGGTTTAATACGCGCCAAGCTAATTGAAATCTCGAGTGTATCCCCCAAGTAGCCTCCCTCCCGGCCAACAGGTACAGTACAGTTCCCAACCTCTCCCTTTGCCATGTCCGTCCCATCCAGGTGCACATACATATGAGCAGGCATGGCCAAGCTTCCAGGTCTCGGGCACAGGCGCATTTCAGCTGCCTGTCTCAATATAAACCCAGCCGCTGTAGGCTGAATCACCCGAAATCTGGCACATCGTGTGTGTGGATCTTGGATGGTAATTGACACCTTGTCGTCCCCCGGGGTTGTCGTTGTAGATGATATCTGGCCACAACGACAACGCCGTCTGCAGCGGCATGCAGCAGCATGCAGATGCTTCAGTAGTCTAGTTGCATATCAAACAGTCTCGTATGCCAGCCCTAGGTCCGGACCGGCTCGTTAATGCGAATCGCGCTGATCCATCTTGATAAACGTGTCCTTGTGTTTCCATGCTTGGCGGGGGAACGGCTCGGCCTCAGCTCTCAGCCACAGCAAGCTGGTAACTCAATACCAACAAGAGACACCACAAGAGACACCAACCACGAGCGAACACGTAGACAACTACCTCGGGAAGTTTCAGTATGTGCGTCAATTCGCATTAGTTGCAGAGTACCATCTAATTCTACCCTTCTTTATACACACACATACCTAACGCTCAACCCGGCTCAATGCGCCGCCACCACACACACTCCCGGCTAGGCTAAAACGGCCGATCAAACGTCGCCCGCGGCCCGGCGCGGTGGTACTGGTTCGGCCACTTCGCCGTCACCTTGAGCCCGTGCGCCGCGCGGAGCACCCACTCCGGCTCGCGCAGGAACTGCCTCCCCAGCAGTGCAAAGTCGCCCGCCCGCGCCTCCGCGCCCTCCTGCACCAGCTCCGCCGCCGTCCCGCCGTCCTCGATGTAGCCGACGGTGCCGACCAGCAGCGGGAGCCCGTCCGCCTCGACGGCCTTGCGCACGGCGCGCGCCAGGTCCGATTGGAAGCGCTTGCTGTCCTTGGGGATCTGCTGCGCGGCGCTGTTACCGCCGCTGCTGACGTCGAGCACGTCGACGCCCAGCGCGGGCAGCTCCTTGGCGAGCCGGATGGTGCTCTCGAGGTCCCAGGACGGCGCGCCGGTGGACTCCATCCACTCGGTGCCGGAGACGCGCACCCAGAGCGGCATCGTCTCGGGGATGACGCCGCGGACGGCGCCGATGACCTCCTTGAGCAGGCGCGTGCGGTTCTCGAAGCTGCCGCCGTACTCGTCGGTGCGTTGCTGCGGGAAATGTTGTCAGTTGGCGGGTTCTTGTATATCAGGAGGAGGAGGAGGAGAAGGGGAAAACCTCAACTTACGTTGCTGAGTGGTGAGAGCGAGCTGCTGAGGAGGTAGCCGTGCGCCGCGTGAATCTCAATCGTGTCGAAGCCTGCCTCGACCGCTCGCCGCGCCGTGTCCGCAAACGCCTTGACCAGGCCCTTGATCTCCGCCACCGTCAGCTCCTTGGGCGCCGCGTGGTCCTCCGCGAACGGGATCGGGCTGACGGCCACCACGTCGTCCGGCCAGCCGTTCGCCGCGGCGTCCGCGAGCGTCTTGTCCGCCGTGCCGCCGAGCCACGGCGCCAGCGTGCTCGCCTTCCTGCCCGCGTGGCCGATCTGGATGCCGATCTTGCCGTTCTGGGAGTGCACAAAGTCGACGATGCGCTTCAGCGGCGCGACCTGCGAGTCGGCCCACAGGCCGCTGTCCTCGGGGCTGATGCGGCCGCGCGGCTCGACGGCGGTGGCCTCGACGAAGACGAGCCCGGCGCCGTGCAGGGCGAGCTGACCGAGGTGCACGAGGTGGTAGTCGGTCAGGTGGCCGTCGTGGGCGCTGTACTGGCACATTGGCGAGACGACGACGCGGTTGTGCTGCTCGAGGCCGCGGACCTTGATGGGCCGGAAGAGCGAGGGCACGTCGGAGCTGGCGTCGACAGCGGAGCCGGGGGCGGGCTCTTGGGCTGGCGTGTAAAAGGGCACGCCGGGAGCGGCCTTGTTGACGGTGCTCCAGGGAGTCATGACCACGGCGGAGTGATTGGCGATGCTAACTGATGTCGTAGATGTGGTGAGAGGTAGACGAGGAAAGTCAGGACGGCGCAAGCTGGCACGGCTGGTTGCTGTTGTCACTGTCAACGACGTTTGGTAGGGTAAGCCCGCAACAGATGTCATGTACAAGTTGTATTATACAGATATCCGACAAGAGGAGATACTGTCGCCTTTATACTTTGCTCCGGTATCCGGGAGGGGTTGGCTGTGAGACCATTGTTCTCTTGGTTGGTCAATGACGTGCCGGCGCTACTGCCGCCACTTCGGAAGCGAATCGTAGCGCAACAGCCCCGCAAGGAGGGTGATGAAATATCGACTAGGTTGGGCATTTCTCATTAGTTACGTCAAGTGATTTGGTGATGGACTATTTAAAAATATTTCCTGAATATTCCTATACATTGAATGAGACTGAGCTGGGAGTTGTCTTGCTGCTCTCGATGTGCTCCCGAACAACGACCAATCTCTCGCATCACTGTAAGGAAACGAGGAGATATTTCGGAGAATACTACGGAGACAATGCTGAATAATGCTCCGATTAGAAAGAAAAAAGGCACTACATTATAAATCGGCTAGTCAAGAAGCTAGCCTCTGGCACCAGGGACCAAGCCACGCCCTTGCGATACGTCCTTGGGTGTGCCTTGATGATGGACAGTGTATTTATCAGCAGGCGGGGCGCGCCAAAAATGGCAGAGCCAAGCAAGAGTCGTCGCAATCTGTCATGAAGAAGGGGTAGAGGATGCGATTTCTAGTCCTGGCACTTGTTCAAACCTCTCACGATGCGTTGCCGATCCAGTTGGCCCGAGTTGCTACAGATCAGATGGCAGCCACATGGCGTCGGCACGGGTGGCTGGTAGGCGATCACAGGCGACCCCTTATTCCCGTCCCTACGCCACTGTGTCATTATGCCAGGGACAGCTATATCAAGATGATTTTAGGTAAAAATCGTACATTTATATAAAAAAAAGGAAAACAGAAAATGGTCTCTTATCTAACATGACAAAGTAGCCACTCGGGCTGGACCTGTCCTAGCCGTCTATCGTCTAAAGTTCTCTCCATGTCTACAACACGATTTTCTCTCTGGTCAACAACAACAACAACAACAACAACAACAACAAACTTTAGTTGCTCTCGTCCCAGGTCGGCTTCATGGCCCAGCGCTGCGACTCGGTGCCGGCGGCAAAGGGCACGCCGAGCTCAAACAGGCGCAGGACGACGGCCGAGAAGTCCTTGAAGAACTCGTCGTTGCTCTTGGCGTAGCGCTCGACGTGCGGCCGGAAGGCCTTGTCCTTGACCAGCGCCATGTCGGTCGGCAGCATCATGAGGCTCTTGGTGCTCTTGTCCTCGTACTGCAATGGCGTTAGCCTGATCCTTGAAGTTTGCACCAAAGTCTTTTTTGGGCTGGACATACCTGCTTGGGACCATCCCACTTCTTCCAATCCCACTTCTGCTCCAGCAGCAGCGTGTAAAAGTCGTTGGTCAGCACCGTCGGGGAAAAGGTCCACGGGCCGTCGAAGCCGGAGCGATCGCGGTGGCAGCGTCCCAGCGCGTGCGCGCCCGACAGCGCCACGATCTCCTGGTCGTTGAAGCCCATGCGGTAGAAGATGTTGCGGAGGTGGTCGCCGCCCTGCGTCGCGTCCGGCAGGCGGCCGTCGGGCGTGCAGGCGGCCACGTCGCGGTCAGAGCGGCCCGGGCGGTAGGGCACGATGGGGCCCTGCATCTCCTGGATGGCGCAGACGCCGCCGAGGATCCAGAGGTCCGAGTAGGTGATCCAGGGGAACTTGGCCTTGACGGGCTCGAGGAAGTCGCGCGCGGCGATCAGGCCCGCGTTGGCGCCGTGGCTCGACTCCGGGTGGAAGCGCATGGTGGCGCCGTTGCTGCCGCCGGTGCCGGTCTCCTTGTCGTAGGTGCCCGAGGCGTGCCAGGCGAGGCGCAGCAGCACGGGGCCGAAGCTGCCGTCGTCGTAGTCGTCCTTCTCCTCGAGGCGCGACGCGATCACGTCGTACACGGCCTGGTAGTCGGCCTTGGTCGGGGTGGCGGTGGTGGACGGGGAGGAGTTGTTGGCGTAGAACCAGTAGCCGAGGCCACCGGCGGCGGCGGCACCGCCGAGGTAGAGCAGGCTGGAGGAGGAGGACTGCTTGGGCGCCGAGGAGGAGGAGGAGGAGTAGAAGCGGCGGCCGCTACGGAAGGCCTGCCGGGGGACGGCGGCGGCAAAGGCGTTGCGGGCCGCGACGCGGGAAAATTGGCGCGAAAAGGAAGCCATCTTGAAACAAACGGCCGGGTTAGCAGACTTGCAAAGGGAGAAGAATATGAGTTTGCGCAGCCGGGGTTGATAAAGACAATGGCGTGCTTGAGCTCGGTGATGACTCGGGGAAAGAAAGCCGGAATTGGAGGGCCGCAAACTCACTATGAATCAAGAGATGGGATTTGGTGATACAAGATTTACAGGGTTTGAAAAAAAAAAAGAGAAAGGAAGAACAAAGTGGCAACGACTGTGGGGGAGTCAGGCTGAGAAATACAAAGCAGACGAGAGGGCGTGTTGGATGGATATGGATGGGATATGAATGGAGCAGGAGGATCCCGGTTGTGTTTGGGCATGCAAAGCCGAGGACCGCGTGCCCTGTGACAGATTCATCTCCTTATTCCTTATTGATAAAGCTACCCGTGCTAGTTATCACCCTTTGCTCACAGGCACAATTGAAATTACGAGAACCTGACTGGTTCAGACCCGGCGGGTCGTGGGCGGGTCAACTTCTTTTGGTTTCTGAGGCAGAGGAAAAAAAAAAAGAGAGCGTGAGAAAATGGGTCGATGTGGAACGAGGGAAGCCGAGCAAGCCAAAGCCAAAAAACAAGGTACCCGGTTGGCCGAAACAAATGATCCGATGTTAAGGTTGACTGCGGAATTGACATCACTCAGTGGCAAATGCTTGTTGTGGTAAAGCAATGTAATGAATAGAGTTTAGTTTGCCGTAATGCTCCGTGAATGGCCGTTGGCCGCTGTCGGTCGGTTGTTGCTGACTGACACATCCATCTGCTCGGGTCGGTCTCCGATAGCCCCAGCCGGAATCGGGTCATCTTGAGGCTCAACTGACCGGACCGTGAACCGCCACACGCCAAATACCCGGTAAAATTCACAAGCTTTTCGTTCCAACTACATTTTGAATTAATCCTCTCTAGTTTCCCTTCTTGGTAGTCACTCAACCCGTCATTCTCCCCACCCATCACGCAGCCCCTTCATTCACTCAACATATGCACATCACCAAAACACGCCGTGACAAGAAATTAACTTCGCACCCTCAATCAATCGATAAATAGTACACTTGGCTTTCATTCACATAGTCCAAACACTATACCGCCCTGGTTTCCTGGCCGCGCTGGGCCGCCTAGCTATAGCCATCACATTACTACCCCTTACATATACATCCTTTGCCTTGTTGCATCCTCTCAGCACAACCAGCTCCCTTCAAGTTCCTTCACTCCCCACTCTACTTAATGGAAGTCTGCCGTCTCTTGCGCATCCGCCGGCGCTTCAAAGTGTGCCTCGTAAAACCTGAGCCACGTCGTCTCCGCCTTGCGCCGGCTCGCCTCGTCCAGCTCCCCGGCCGGCAGCGTCGCCCCGTTCTCCTTGGACGACGCCGACTTCGCCGATCCCACCGACGCCGGCCCAAACATTTCCCGGTCCACTTCCAGGAACCGCTTCATCGCCTCCTTGCCGCCTTGCTGCACCAGGTAGCTCATGTACGTCTGCGCCAGCTCCCTCTTCGATGCACCCGACAGCCGGCTCTTGCTGCGCAGCTCCTCAAACACGTGCTGCAGTCGCTCCGCCTGGTCTGCCGCGCCCCGGCCGTCGGCCTGCTGCTGGCCGAGCTCAAAGTCGAACCACTTGTCCCAGAAATGCCGGCTGTCCGCGTACCACTGCACGTTCTTGACGAAGATGGCGCGCGCCTCCTCTGCAGACCCCTTGTCGCGCCACACCAGCAGCGCCCACTCCGCCACCAGCGCCGCCTTGGTGTACAGGTCGACCGTCGGCGCGTCAATTTGGTCCTTGTACACCCGAATTGCAGCGTCCACGCCGTTTTGCCTCCGCTCCATGTTGGCCCACGACACTATCACCTCGATGCAGTCCTGCAGCCTCGTCAGGATGGCCTCGTGGATCCCCAGCGCCACGCCTACCCGACCTGTGCTCTCTTCAAAGTAGGCCCATTGTAGCCGGATGCCGGGTCGGCTCACCGGTACAAACATGGTAGCCGCGCGTATAAAAATGTTCCTCGTCTCCGACTCCTTTTCCTCTTGCGCAGACATCCACCGCGTATAGCGGAACCAAAACTCATCGTAGAACGCGCATGTCGTCAGACAGCGCTCGTACAAGCACACAATGCGGCTGTAGTCACCTTCGGCCTCCTCAAAGTCGAGATATTTGCGCCAGTTGCTTAGCTGGGCATGTTCCAGCTCCGTAACGTGAAAGTACGGCCTCTTAATCTCAGACTCGTACGTCCAACGCTTCGACACTTCACTTTGCGTAGATTGAAACAGTTCAAAGTACATGCCGTCAATCTTGGCTCGCACGTCACGCTCCACCTCGAGTTCTGGCCGTTGACCAGGCACTTCCTCTGCAACCTCAGCCTGAAACTTGGTGAGCGTCTCGGCATCGACAACCTCGGTCAAGGGCCTTGCATGAGCGAGCGCGCGGAAGCGCTCGTAGTAGCGCGCGTACTGGTGCAGCGGGATACGAACGATGCGAGCCAGCAGCGCAAAAATGCGATCCTGCGCCTCTTGCCTCTCCTCGTACTCAATGTATTTGTCCCAGAATGGGTGGGCCAGAAAGTCTAGTCCGACAAACGAGGCTCCCCGCTCAAACAGCCTGCGAGGTGTGTTAGCTGAACTCTCAGAAGGAGGACGTGGATCAGGGGCGTGGGAGTGAGGGTAAATACAAGGGCCATGATGTGATGATATCCAGTTTCAAGACTGAGTATCCGACGAGGGAAGTGATGCTGGGCATCGGGTGGTGGAGCATTCAGTTCTCAACCGGGGGAAGAGGTATGTTGCGATCAGAGGCATATTCACTGGCAGAGCGTAAGGGAGCATCCAGAAAGTTGGGGAGCACCGGATATCTCACCAGCAGACTGCAGGGGCAGGGTCTGTCAGGGCTCGCGGCCACGGATCGATGCGCGAGCGCGTGCTGTTTTGAGTGATATGTTGGCGGGGAAAAAGACTATCAACTTACTCTCTGACGACATGTGGATCGTGGGTCGTCTCCATGGTGAAGGAGCAGTAGTCCGTCCACAAGTCGACAGAATTGGTGATGCTGGCGCATCCTTTCTCGTACACCTGTTCCACGCCGATTAGTCAGTTGCTGGTTCGCGCCCTGCTCCGTGTATGAGGCACAAACGTACCATCTGGGCAGATTCAGGTCCCGCGATATTGAATTCGAGATCGGCATATTTCTTCCAGTAGCCAAAGAGTAGAGGGAACTTGAGGAGAAATCGGTCGTACGCGTCGCGAAACGCGGCGAGGGCCTGGGGACTGGAGTTGCGGTTCAGGCCGCCGTCGAGGGATTCGCATGCCTTGACCAGGTTTTCCCAGTTTTCGAAGCTGTCCGAGTCGGACTCCTGCGCGCACCGTGGTTAGTTTTGCGACCAATTTTGGGCGTCGCACGCCAGTCATTAACAACTTACCACCAAGGCATTGTACTTGCGCACCGACGCGAACTCCTCGTCGGAGCCGCCGTAAGAACCAAAGTCACTCATGGCTTGTTAGAAGAAAGGTCGCGGGGATGATGCGCAGCCGATGGATGAGGTACTGGTAGGCGGCATACGCGATGTGATGAAGCTATGAAAAAAAGAATGAAGTGAACTGAGATTAAGGCAGGATAGATTGATGGCTGGAAGACGGTTGGATGACCAGGCTGTTCAAGTACCTACATAGGTATCCGCACAGCGACAAAAGGCGCGCAAGGTACTTCAGACCCACACTGGCAAAATGAACAAGCCCACTCTAAACCCCTTAGGTAAGCAAAATTTGGCTGCTGTATTTTATCTGAATTGTGGCACGCAGTAAAAATTTCTGGCTCTTCATCCTAAAAATGGCTGGTGATGATTCCTTACAAATAAACATATGATAGGAAGAGACTGAACGCTTTCCAATGGAGAGCATGATCTCAATGTCGAATCTGAAGTCATGTTATTCTTTATCTTTTTTTTCGAGGCTGTTGTGCCACGGGTTGACGGGTTGGTGAAAATCTGGGTGGGAGGCACCATCGCAAGCAAGCGGTCCGAGTGGACAGCCTGCTTACACGATAAACAAGCGACATGATACGAATGCTGAGATGAGGATTTTTTTTTGAAAGTAACCGGCTGTCTCTATCTCCAGTCGGGGTGTTACTGGCGTTACTCCCACATGACTGCATTTACGTCAAACGTGCCTGTCACGGCAGCTATAGAATTTGTAGAGCACCAATTACAAGCAGCAGAGAAAGAAGAATCATGAAAGAAACCCGAGTAGTTGTTACACGGCTGATGTGCCTGAAATTCCGCCATAAATTTTGTTGGCTGGGAATATGCTTGTTTTAGCTTTTTGGCATGCCACAGACCACGACGTCATCCTGCGCCCTCAGTCCTGCATCCACACCAGCTCGACCATGCGCGGCGCCTAACCTCTCCTTCCTACCTGAGCTGCAGTCTTCCGGCGTGCGTTTGCCCGCGCCCTCTTGCATCCTCTGCCGACCATGGACCACCAGTGGACGTCGCAGCCGCCGTCGCCCGAAAAGTCCTGCGAGCTCTACATCCGCGACCACCCTTCCCGCGCCATCGCCATCGTCTCACCGACGCACGCCCTCATCCTGCGGTACAGCGCTTCGGCCAGCGATACCGGCCCCAATGGCTCCTACACATCGCTGCCGGCCACCAACAGGGCCGCCGTCGCCAGGTGCATGGTCGAGTTCGCGCCCATGACCGAGACGCTGCTGCGCGACTTCCGCCCGCTCACCCACCGGCCCGTCTACGGCACCCTCGGCCTGATTGCTGTCAACAACGAGGTCTTTCTGTCCGTCATCACGCATGCGACCCGCACGGCCACGGTGCGTCCGGGCGAGACGGTCGAGAAGATTGTCAGCGTCGCCTTTTACTGCCTCAGCTCCGACGAGTACGACGATGTGGTGCCGCTCGAGTCCTACGAAATCGAACCATCCGATGCCTCCTCGACATACAGCTCCCAGTCTTATGGCCAGAGCCTCAGCCACCGTGATGTAGTCGTCGAACATCCGTGCCACGAGCTGCGCAAGATTCTGAGCAATGGCTCATTCTACTACAGTACCGACTTTGACGTGACGAATCGACTTCAAGACCGCCCAATCAACGCCGACTCGTTCCATATTGATAGCTTCAACGACATGTATCTGTGGAACTCATTCATGATTAGTCCCCTTGTCAAGTTCCGCTCACGGCTGTTACCACAAGAGCGGGAAGCGCTGGATGAATCCCGCATTCTGACTTCTGCCATTCGCGGGTTTTGCAAGACCATGACGATTCCGCAGAGTGCCTCCCCGCGCAAAGGCAACAGTGGCCGGGCTTCATATTTAACACTTATTTCTCGCTTATCCTGTCGCCGAGCTGGTACTCGCTTCAATGCCCGCGGGATCGACGACGACGGCCATGTAGCCAACTTTGTCGAGTCGGAAACCATCTTCTGGAGCGCTACGGGCACCGTCTTCTCCTACGTTCAGATCCGTGGCTCGATTCCTGTCTTCTGGGAACAGGCGGCCGATCTGATACCCGGACGACAAAAGCTCACAATAACAAGACCCCCGGATGCTACGCAGCCCGCTTTTAACAAGCACTTCGAGGAGCTCGAGACCATGTATAGTGCGGTGCACATTGTCAACTTGCTGAGCGAAACGAAGCCCGGCGAGGTTGAGTTGAGCAATGCTTACAAGACTGGTATCAAGTACTGTCCTCTGAGTCGTCTCCGTCAAGGAGGCGGGATTGACGACCACGCCATGCTGCGACAAACGCACTACGACTTTCATGCTGAGACCAAGGGCCCGGGCGGGTATGAAGCCGCGCGTGAGATTCGTCGTTATATTGAGCACTCTATTGATGGGTTCGCTTACTTTTTGGCCGAGGAAGCCGACGATGATAAGCATCTGCGGAGCAAGGATACGAGGATGATTGTCGTGCTGCAGCAAGAGGGCGTCTTTCGCACAAACTGTCTCGATTGCCTGGACCGAACAAACCTGATCCAGACGCTGATCTCGCAAATGGCAGCAGAGGCGTTTCTCGGTCACCGTGGCGTTTATGCGGCCTCTGACTTTTGGATGCGTCACTCGACGCTATGGGCCGACAATGGCGATTCGCTGTCCAAGATCTACGCCGGCACCGGCGCACTTAAGTCGTCGTTTACGCGCCACGGCAAGATGTCGCTCGCCGGTGCTGTGGCTGACATGCGCAAATCAGTACAGCGACTGTACCACAACAACTTTGTCGACCCGTCGCGGCAAATCACAATTGACATGCTGCTTGGCCGGTTGATCGGACAAGCGCCGGTGCACCTCTTTGACCCCATTAGTGACTTTATCTCGGCGGAGCTCAGCAAGCGGAGCGATGAATACACGTCGTTTGAGAATATTAATCTCTGGGTCGGCACGTTCAACCTCAACGGCAAGACGGAAGGCATTGGCCAGGACCTGTCGCCGTGGCTGTTCCCGCCCGAGGTCAGTGAGGAGCTCCCTGACATCTACGTGGTGGCATTTCAGGAAATCCTCGAGCTCAGCCCGCAGCAAATCATGAACAGCGACCCGTCGCGCAAGTACCTCTGGGAGCAGGCCGTCAAGAATGCCCTGAACGAGCGGCAGGACCGCATGGGTGGCGAGCTGTACGTACTACTGCGCAGCGGGCAGCTAGTTGGCGCTGCGCTGTGCATATTCGTCAAGGCGTCTAGCCTGCCCAACATCAAAAATGTCGAGGGTAGCGTCAAGAAGACGGGTATGTCTGGCATGGCGGGCAACAAAGGCGCGGTTGCGATCCGACTAGACTACGCCAACACGCACATTTGCTTTGTCACGGCGCATCTGGCAGCCGGCTTCGCAAATTATGATGAAAGAAATAGAGATTACGCAACGATTCACCAGGGGTTGCGATTTCAGCGAAATCGCGGCATCGACGATCACGGTAAGTGCCTTACCCTGCCCAAACAAGTTTTCGAGCTTACAAGTGTAGATGCCATTATCTGGCTTGGGGACTTCAACTATCGCGTCGGACTCGGTTCTGAGATTACGCGTACACTGGTGCAGCAAAGGAATCTGCCAAAGCTGTACGAAAATGATCAGCTGAATCTACAAATGGTTGCCGGGCTGGTGTTTCCGTTTTACTCGGAAGCACGGATCAACTTTATGCCCACGTACAAGTTTGACGTGGGAACTGATACCTATGACAGCTCGTACGTTTCCTCGTCTTGATTCACTGCCCCATTCAACTAACAAGCTGTAGTGAAAAGGCCAGAATCCCGGCGTGGACGGATCGCATTCTACGAAGGGGACAGAACTTGCGGCAGCTTAGCTATAACTCGGCGCCGCTGCGCTTTTCGGACCACCGGCCGGTGTACGGGACGTTTGCGTGCACGGTCAGCATCGTGGACGAGCGCCGGCGCGAGGCCATTAGCGGAGAGCTGTACGAGCGGCGCAAGGCGGAGCTGGGCAGCGGCGGCAGCGGGTCGGTGCTGGGCGATCTGGACACGGAGGAGGAGGAGGAGGAGGACCTGATTGGGTTCGAACCGGTGGAGCCTGGGCTGCCGGCGGCCAGCTCAGACCGGCAAAAGTGGTGGTTAGAGGGCGGGCGACAGACGGCGCGTGCGCAAGTCGCGGTGCCGACCGGGAGGGACGGGCTGCCGATGAGGCTCAACCCGCAGCGACCGTCAAACCCGTTCTTCAACGCGGGCAACGACGAGCCCGAGTGGGTATCGGTGTCGGCTCCCGGGGCGGATAGCAGCAGCCTGTCGAGCTCGCCGTTCGAAAAGGTGCCGATGATGCCGGGGACTGTGTCGACGCCGTCACCATCACGACGACCGGTGCCATCAGCGCCAGACGCGGCTAGCAGGCTGCCCGCGCAGATTGGCAGGCTGGCGATGGCGGACGATCAAGGCTCAGTGTTGCCGCGGCGGAGCACCGATTCGGAACGTCGCCAACAGCAGCAGCAACAGCATCAGCCACCGCCTCCGCCGCCGCCGAGACGACGCACGGCGGGACAGCAGCAGGTGCCTTCGACCCCAACGCCGATGGCCTCGTCGCTGCCGCCACGGCCAGAGTCGGCGGCCTCGCAGCAGTCTCTGGCCAGGGAGGGCCGCGGGAGTGTCAGCAGCGGCAGCGGCAAGCCGCCGATCGTGAAGAAGCCAGCGCACTTGGCTGGGTCGTCACCGGTGACGGGACGGAGCCCGACGCAGCAGACGCAGCAGCAACCGCCGCTGCCTCCTAGGGGCGAGGTATCGCGGAAGGCCGTGCCACCGCGCGGCGAGTCATTGATATAGAGCAACTATGGAAAGTGGGAAATGGGAAAACAATGGACGGGATTTATGCATTACGACTAGCGGCGCTTTTGTGAAGGGAGCATTTGATGGTAGAATAAAAGAGTTACAGCATACGCACTGTGATGCGCTGTCAATGCACTGCGGGTGAGCGATGGGATGTAAATTTGCATTAATAAATATGCGTTTTCATAAATGACGTGGTCAGGGATCGAGAGATGCCGTCGCAAGTGGACACTCTTTGCCAGAGAGATTGACGAACGGATCGATGGCCGAGCTGAAACGCCGCGAGTTCGCCGGTGGTGGCCAATCTGTGCTAACGAATCCGGATGCAGTGATAGCTTCGGCCAGCAGCCGAAGCGGCGGGGACGAACCGGGAAGCCACTTTTTTTTTTTTCCTTTCGAATCGATTCATTATTACTCCGCTTCTTTGCACGAAAAACGCAGGCCTTGTTGCAGCTAGGCGTGCCCTTTTTTCCCCCTCTCTTCTTGGCCTTGTTGCATGATGTTTGCTGTTAAAAAAAAAGAAAGATGTTTAATAATAGCCTGGCTCGTACGTTGTGTGCGTTGCTGTGGACGGGCGACACGCAAACCGCCCGCCACCAGCACGCCGGCCGCCGCCCTGTGCAGCAAACCCCCCCCCCCCGGCTTTCCCCTCTGTCCGGCGGCCAGCCCCTTCCCGGGATTTGCAAGGGACGGGAATGATGATGTTGGGAAATAAGACCTAATGGCGGTAAACAATTTCTTCTCATCAAAAACTTGGCGATTGGGAGAGAAAAAAGAAGTGGCAGGCTTCACTGGGCCGCCCGTCCATCGGCGTGGCGTTTTTTTATACACTTTCCCCTCTTCAGCTTCCTCGCAGCATGTCTTGTGGCCTTCTCTCTTCTCCTCACGCCACCAGCTCCAGCCTGCAGAACGCGTCTTTCGCGAGGTGTGGTGTCTTGACTAAGAAATGCCGTGATGTCCCCCCCCCTGCTTCCTGCCTGCCTGCCTGCCTGCCTGCCTTGCTTGGTTGTGCTCATGACCGGCCGAGTGCAGCCGGTCGGCGAGACCATGGTTTTCTTCTCGTCTCATTACACCGCCCGGTGAAGTGGTTGGAAAGAAGGAATTAGGTACAGTAGGTATTTACCTACTTATGTATGTACCTTGTTACAGGTAGTTAGTTACCCTCCATGTGAACCTGGTGGTGGCCTCGGCTCCAGTTTGTCTCGCCTGCCAGCACTCAGGGACTTGTCTAGTTACCTCCCGCCACGATACCTGTAACTCGTTATTGGATTCATTCCGATATGTTAAATACATGCGGACGTACATATATCCATCTCCATCTGGTCTTGCGGCCCTCTTTCGTTGCGCCTTCCCTGCCTGCATCTTTTCCCTACCTCAGCCCAGCCTCTTCTCCTCCTCCTCGTCCTCAGCCAGGGCCGATGACGCTAGTGAGCGGACCCTGGTCGATTGGACTGGCTGGTGCTGAATCGCGGCGCGTCACCTGCTGCTCCTGCTGCTCCTGCTGCCACTGCCGCTGCCGCTGCTGCGACTTCTGCCTTGCATTTGTTTCTCTTGAAAGAATTATCAGCAACAAGTAATCTTAATACACCCCTCCCAAAAAGTAAAACTCCGGCATGCTACCGATCCAATCTCTTTAGCGCATGGGGTGGCGTTTTCATTCGGCCAGGTAGTTGCTATGTATGTATGTAGGTAAGCTGTGTGTAGCTTTGGAGGCGGTGCGGCTGCGACTTGCCTTGGCTTTGGCCTGCCCGTTTGCCTCCCTCCTGCCCTCCAGCTATCGCCTCGTCTCCGGATAGTGGCCTGCTTTTGCCTGCCACTTTCTACTACCTATCCTTAATCTGGACGCCCGTCTTCTTCCCTGTCGAATCGTTTGATTTTTCCCCTCTAGCACCAGGCCAAAAAGAGATAGGCAACAAGGAAGAAACTTTCCATTCAAAAGCCTCCTCACCCCCAATACTCCAATCCCCATACATACATCACTAACGTCCTCAAAAAGAGTCACATCCCCCCGTCCTCACCCGCCAACCTCTTTTTCCTCTTCTCCCTCGTCTACTTTATTATTTGCTTTCCTCACCGCGTCTCCAACATCTCTTGCTGAAAATAACAAGTAATTTGCGTCAAAGCCCCGTCTTCTCCTACCACACGTGCCCTCTTCCCCAATAATCCTTCAACCTGGGCAAGACAAGGTTCCGCTCTCGGCCCACGGTCCATCGGTCGGTCTCCTCGTCCAGAGACAGGCAAACGCGCAGCAACAACAGAACAACAGAAAAACAGCACCACTTCTTTTTTCCCCTTCCTGCTCCGACTCAGCCTTACGGGCGCAGGGACAAGAATCAACGAGGACGCGTTATATTTATTTGCTCCTCCTTTTTTTTTTTTTTTTTTT